CTCACCTGCTGAAACAAGACAGGCCACAGTCAGTCTCACCAGAAGAGTGCACATTAAAAACCAGGCCAACTCACCCGCTGAAACAAGACGGCCACAGTCAGTCTCACCAGAAGAGTGCACATTAAAAACCAGGCCAACTCACAAGCTGAAACAAGACAGGCCACAGTCAGTCTCACCAGAAGAGTGCACATTAAAAACCAGGCCAACTCACATGCTGAAACAAGACAGGCCACAGTCAGTCTCACCAGAAGAGTGCACATTAAAAACCAGGCCAACTCACAAGCTGAAACAAGACAGGCCACAGTCAGTCTCACCAGAAGAGTGCACATTAAAAACCAGGCCAACTCACAAGCTGAAACAAGACAGGCCACAGTCAATCTCACCAGAAGAGTGCACATTAAAAACCAGGCCAACTCACAGACTGAAACAAGACAGGCCACAGTCAGTCTCACCAGAAGAGTGCACATTAAAAACCAGGCCAACTCACAAGCTGAAACAAGACAGGCCACAGTCAATCTCACCAGAAGAGTGCACATTAAAAACCAGGCCAACTCACAGACTGAAACAAGACAGGCCACAGTCAGTCTCACCAGAAGAGTGCACATTAAAACCAGGCCAACTCACCTGCTGAAACAAGACAGGCCACAGTCAGTCTCACCAGAAGAGTGCACATTAAAAACCAGGCCAACTCACCCGCTGAAACAAGATGGCCACAGTCAGTCTTACCAGAAGAGTGCACATTAAAAACCAGGCCAACTCACCTCCTGAAACAAGACAGGCCACAGTCAGTCTCACCAGAAGAGTGCACATTAAAAACCAGGCCAACTCACATGCTGAAACAAGACAGGCCACAGTCAGTCTCACCAGAAGAGTGCACATTAAAAACCAGGCCAACTCACAAGCTGAAACAAGACAGGCCACAGTCAGTCTCACCAGAAGAGTGCACATTAAAAACCAGGCCAACTCACCTCCTGAAACAAGACAGGCCACAGTCAGTCTCACCAGAAGAGTGCACATTAAAAACCAGGCCAACTCACCTGCTGAAACAAGACAGGCCACAGTCAGTCTCACCAGAAGAGTGCACATTAAAAACCAGGCCAACTCACTCCCTGAAACAAGAATGGCCACAGTCAGTCTTCTAGAAGAGTGCACATTAAAAACCAGGCCAACTCACCTCCTGAAACAAGACAGGCCACAGTCATGATCACAAGAACAGTGCAAAAGAAATGGAAAGGGCAGACAATGAGTTATCAGAAGAAATAATAATCAATAGGTGAACAACTTACTCTCTAAGACATGGTAGGTAAGTCAGAACAAATTTATTTCAGAAATTTTACAATCACTTACCCACTAGAAAAAATTCTCATATCAATAGAGACAATGTGAACAGACTATATTACCAGCTGGATTGATAAACAAAACCCTTAGCTGTAAAAGTAGCACAATCAACTGTTGATACTTACTTGCTGAAAGAAAATAGATGGCTGATGATAAGATGTGACATATTATGTGAAATAATTGCCCACCAACTAATGACAACCATAAGAATATATAAAACTTGAACAATTTGTAGACATACATTCTGCAAGAAAAAACAATAATCAGAATGACACTCTTCTTCTCTTGATAATTTCTTTGTTCTTACCTCCTGTAATTTATGTAAATCACTAATAGCAATAAAATGTTGTGATGTCTTGGCTTACATTTTGTAAAACAGATCAATGTTTTATTATGATATCTTTTAGTTGCTGTTTATCACCACATACCTCCTATTGACCTTACAGATTAACTTGTGAGTAGCAATATCCCCCTGTTACTTACTGTCTGTTGGAATATCTCAATAAATTACTGAAAATATCTTTGTTATAAACTCTTACCTCATAGAAATCAATGACTTGTTGAAACCTCTCAATGAAATTGTTTCTAATGATTGACCCTTGCAATGTCTTATACATGTTAAGAGATAATAACCATCTGAGAAAATTGCAATAACTGACCTGAAACAAAATCTTTCCATTCTTCACACAGCTTAAGATCCCGTCTCTTTTATCAGACCTCAAAGTCAGCAGAGTATTATACCATGTTTTCCCCTGAAAAATTAGTAAGTTTTGAATGAGAGTTACCAAAGAGGTCATAATTGTTTCATCCAGATTTGCACTATGCTCCTGGAATCCCAAAAGAATATGGTGTGGCCAATTAAGGCAAGCATACTCAACCACATCACCCTCAAAAAAGTCTTTTGGAGGATATTTGACCAGATGCTGCAAAGACAGTATGGCTAGATGAATGTGTTGCAGAGGAGGATTGATAAAATATTGCTTTGATCGTGATTGGATGGTCAAAAAATCCCGGAGAGATGTGTGATAAAGCATAATTGGCTCCTGGTCATCTCCAGGAATTTTTATGATGGACTGCACTTGCAATAGCCCACAAATGACCTCCTCATGCAGAAGAGAGAGAAGAGAGCTGAGAAAGGAAATGGATTTGTTATCCTCCAGAGTCATGATTGTTCCAAGAATCTGACAGAAGTCTCTAGTCAAAGAAACAGAAGAGAGAACTTGTTCATAGAGTAAATCTAGACCATTAGCTCCTGATGCCAGAAGTTTTTGCAAGGCTCTGTGTGGCATGGAATCTCCACCAACACATTGGACCAATGTAGTAGCAAATGCAAATGAACCACCAGCCTTGTCAAGAAGAATAGTGAGATCTCCCACTGATGGCCAGGGCTTTGGTATGTTCTGCATGACTCGCCAATTTTGGTTATGGATAGAATCAAATGCCCTCCAAAAATGTACTTTGATGTCTGGACGAGCATCAAAATCCTGTAGCTCCAGACGGTGTAGAAAACGAGCTTCAGAACTATCAAACTTTTTTCGAATATGTTCCTCTACCCTGCTAGTGAGGAGAATCCGGAAAGGAAAATGTGTCCCCCCAGAAGATGCACTGAGCAGGACATCAATGAAGTCAGCCATCTCAGCTTTGTCATCACATTCATCAAGAGCATCAATAACAACAACAGAGCTATAGGAGATTCGTGAAGTGTTGAGATGGATTGGGTCTATGATGAGCCTTTGAAGTCGATGAGCCATAGAGACAGTCAACCCAAGCAGGGCTGGCTCATTCTCAAGAGCACGTTCAATAGATGACTTTGCACCAGGAACAGTGAGAGAGATCTGATGGGCAAGAGTAGGCATCAGGCGAGATATATGGCTGCGTTCACCAGCCCCTCGCAAGAAGAAGAAGCTCCCCAGAAGGCGGCCCTCTGCAGCATAGCACTCCGCAATAGTCTGCGCCAATGCCGATTTGCCATAGCCAGCTGGTCCGTTAAGCCAGCAGACAACAGCTCGCTTATCATTACCATGGCCATCGAGCCACCACCGGATCTGAGCAATGACCTCCAAACGAGTTCCAGGATCACATCGAGCGACGTGACCTGCGTGAGTATGTGTAGCATTACTGACAGGCCTAAGCAAGCTCGCTAGACCTATGTGTCATCAGTTGTATGAGTGGTATTCATGAATTGTAAAACTTTGACGTACTTGGAGCGGGCGGAGGGCCATGAAGAACAACATTGCCGCCGGCGTTTATGACCTGTGCGTTTCCAGATATGGTGGTTCCGATAGCGTTTTGCAGGAGCGTGGTGAATGACGAAGAATCCATGAGTGAACGATGTGTTGTAATACGGAGACTAGGAAAGTCGGAAGGCTAAAGACGTCGATAGGTCGGGTGGTCGTCGTAGTCGATGAAGAAGAGGTGATCAGTCGGAGATCAGTTGTGAGAATTCGCTGTCGGGAATCTAATCGGGCGACGAAACTCCTCACACAGTTCTGCTCTAAACATGCCGCTCTCAAAAACCGTGTAGACCAACGTCGACTCTGACTGCCGAGCCAACTCTTGCAACCAGCCCCCGCGAGATTGCACTTTCTCGCCAGCACACTCAAAAACTCAGTCTTAGAGATCCACCTCTCCGCTGGGGCGAGCCAGTGTTCTGAGGCGAAGTCCAACATTAGCAGGGCCTTGACGATTGAAGCATGGGTTCACATTTTCAGGGAACGACCAGTTCGCCCGGACAAGGTCAGAATCTCTGTGTAAGACCTTCTATTTCGTCACTCTCTGACTCGCATTTAACAGTTTGAATGGCAGTCCACTTCTCTGACGGATGTCGACCGACCCTTCAGCAACCAAAAGCGAATATTGCTGAGGCATAGTATGAAACAAGCGGAAACGATGGGCAAGAAGCCTGATCAAATATCTGTCTCCTTCCATCGACATCCGTCCCTTATCCCATTAGCAGCCGTCCAGCTCCATCCGCCTCACAAGCGCCTCATCCACTCCCCCAATTTACGTATCTCTCTTGCGCGAAACATGCGGGCAAAAGTCGAAGAACCGTCCAGAACTACCCTCCACCCCATCTCCATGCTCATTCGCTTCTCAACATTAGACCTCCAACTCTTCTTCCATCACCCATCCCCCCAGCGATGGCTCAAAGACTCCCCCTTCCCTAACCCAACCTCGGTCCTATCCCGCCTCCCGTACACACCGGAATCCTCATACAGGCGCCCACCGCGCTCTGGCATTTCCACGGTTTGCGTTCCTCAGATAGACGGCCAGTTCCCTTTGTTATCCGTCTTTTCAGGGGATTGGAACATCGACGAGCTTCAGACTCGTTGGTTAGAAATGACGTGGACGGGATAGAGAGTCGCCATCGCCATCCTGTAGCGGATACTACCCCGCAGATCTCTTCCAGCTGGAGTTGGTTCGCATTGCAAGCGGACTGGAGAAACTCTTATCCAAGCACTCCGAGAGGGCTCACCCTCCTCAAGTCCAAGCTCCATTTCGAAGTTGAATTGAAGCTCCTCAACGACCGCCACAATTCGAGCGACTGAGACAGCGTCGGCGAGGCTTGAGTTTGTTAGTGGCACAGGAGACGTAAGAAGACGATCTCGACGGTCTCGCGGACATCTACGTCCCCACTGATGGATGTCGACCCTCAAATTCAGCAGATCTTACTTGTCAAGTCTCTCCGGAGCATCACAATCCACGCCAATCCATCTGTCCTTCTCCTCCCACTCAGCTGTCTCATCCACAATGCCCTATGAGCGCAATCTGACCGCATTTTTTGGATCTTGATCACCGTACCGTTGACTCGTTTACATCGTCTCCAGGTACCTCTGCCCGGTCATACCCACATCCTGTCAGCCTTTTCTTAAAGACGCTGGGAGGCACGCTCACAAGAACTTCGACTCTCTCTCTACATACCCTTTGATCCAAGAATTGACGTCCCTATGCTCCCTGTCTCCCACCTACAGCCACGGGCCACGGCAAGGTGTGCCCTTTCCGCTACCCACCTCTGAACTGTCTTTCACGACGCAATCTACCGTGTAGCAGCTCAGCTCGGTTTCAGCTGGTCGTCATTGAAGGTTCCGATTGGGCTCAGACCTTACTAGTGAATTGTGCTGGGAGTTTGAGTTTCGTCGAAGCCTTTAATGTTCACTGGTGAAGATAAGTGACGACGATGCTTGAAAGAGCGCTCGCAGGCGAAGGGATCGTGGTCTTCAAATTCCATTAACTTGAGCTCAAACGGCTTTTGATTCACCGGTTGACATCTTAGTGTGGAGGCTTCCCGAGTATGGCTCTCTTTGTCCCCATCATGGCGGTGGCTCACGAATTTATAGACGGCTGGGTCTTCGAATGAGAGACGCGTATCGACTATCAGAGTCCTACCTGCTTCCTCTGTCACAAGATCAAGCGCGACGTTTACCGCTTCTACTTGCTTCCCTCAAGTCAATGACGGACGACAGCAATCTAACCTCTGCAATTCTTTCACGCACCCCGCTACAGTCTCACCTCTCTGTCCTGGTCTGTTTTACTGCCACGACACAGGGACACAAGCCAGCCCCGAACGCCTTATGCTGGACTCGTTGGGACTTTTCACGAACTACGGATGCGGTCTTGTAGCCGACTTGGATGTTATTGGCTAGTACTTGAGTAGGAGCTGGTCCACAAGTAGTGATCAAGGACGTTGTGCACTCGTGTCATTCGGATACGATGTACATCTTCAAGTTGCGTCGCCCTGCACGCGCACTTGCAGGCATCATAGTCAATCTCCGCCCATTGTAGTCCATCGTATAGCCATGTACTTGAAAAACAGAGTCAATTTGTCCAACTATGTAGCATGATATCCATGTGACGCCCATCACAAGCAAACATCAACGCCATCCGCCTTTCTTCGAAAACTCACGAAACCAGTCAAATAACTCCTTTCAAAGCCCCTCAAAAACCCCATTCAACTATCAATGGAAAAACTCACGATAAAACCTGTCTATAATGCCGCAGAGAACAATTTCAACACCTCCAGATCAGAGGACACCTAGCTGCGTATTGCGAGGTGCCTGTCCAGAAACTCTGCAAGAAACTCGCAGACTCGGTGCTAGCTGAAGAGAGGACGGAGGAGAGATAGTGTTGGGTTGCGTCTTGGTTCCGTTTGGGAGCTGGTGAGTACTTGGGTTTGGTGCAGATCAAACATATCTGTCCTGATTCTGCCAAATTGTTCGCTATACGTACCGTCCGTCATAAGGCCAGATTTTACACCAATGCCATTGGAAACGACACGTACGTCCCCTCCCCATTTTCGTACCTCCTCCGTCTCTGATTCCAGCTAGAAGCCTTTCAGACGAGCAACAAACAGTGTTCGGACGGCAACTCGAACACGCCGTTAGGCTGGGAAAGCCCGCTGGTGATACGTCCCCATGAGGCGAAGGACGATACGTAGCGGATCTCGAGGGGAGGTGCCGAAAGAGTCCAAGGTTCGTTCCATTCCTTTTCCTGGTTCTTACAAACCCATACCACTACCACAGATTCAAATATTCATGTCTTATCCTGAGTTCGCAGCGTGTCTCGTGGCCCAGTTACCCAACCTTTACATCTTCCCAGCGTTGTGATGGAGCGTCAGGTACGCAGGGCCCGTTCTGAACGTTTGTTGGTCCTCATCTCGCTACGCACAACCCGGTTTAGGGTGCAAACAGCGCGAAGATCGCCGACGTCTAATTACAAGTAAAGGACCGTAATTTGGTTCTCCCGAAAACACTTCCGGTTCCTCACTTACAGTCATAAAAAATCTCGTGAATCACCCATATTGCCCGTTCCATTCTCCTTTACGAAAGTCATCGCTCCTTGGCTGCTCCCCAGCATCAACGATGAAGAACTCGAAAACGAGCATCGCCATTCTTCCTCCCTCTTTCCCTTCACAGGGTAGCTCAATGACATCACCAACATCGTCATCCACCCAATATCCTCCAACAACTCTCCCTCAGGCCACTTTGAGTTCTCTTCGCAACAGACGCACCGTTCACGACTACAGGCACCCATACAACACCCTGGTCCTTTGAAGAGGAAGAAGCTACCGATATGCCATACATCGCTGATACCGTGGGTCGATGGAGGGGATTGTCCATAGGGTTAAGATGGAGGGGAGGGATAATGCGTGGAGTGTTTATGGGGTGTGGAGGTGCTCGTCATCGCCAAACACAGCCTGCATTTCTGTCCCACTTTCCCCTTCTTTTCCGCCTGGAGAGTTGTGCTACGAACCTAAAAATGGCGAGGGCGAGTTGGATTCAAAGCCGCAGTCTGGTCCTCTCCCCTCCCAACGTTCACCGCTAATCCTTCTAGCCTGAAACCGCTCCCCCACTACCCAACACCACCTTGTCAGCCATGCTCAAATTACTCCATCTCCCGCCTTCCTCTCCCTCCTCGCTCACGCTCTGCACCGTCAAGGTCTTGATGTCTCGTTGGCGTTGATAATGGCGATACTTGAAGGAGAGCTCACTGGCGAACAGAAGGCTCGTGGCCGTTTCCAAGTTATTGGGGTGAGGTCATTGGGCCCTTAATTCATCAGTTCACATTTATTGTGGCGGCTTTTCAAGTAGGTAACACCATTTCCATTCTCAGAATGGTAGCTGACAAGTCTACCCACAGCTGGCTTCACAGGAAGTTCTGCCTCAATCTCTCTACGTCTCGAACTAACTCTCCTCGCGAGGAGACTACGAGTCCTCATCCGACGCTATCACAACGTTAAGCGCAACTCGAGGCTTCCGAACGAAACCCCTTCCTTATGACGATTACAGACGAAAACAATGGAACCTCTCCAGCACCCTCATCCAAGGCCCTTTTGCAGTGGCGCCTCTTCTCTCTGTTTTGTTTCGCCGCTACAGCCTGGGGAAGAACTTGGCTAACCTAGATAGGCTAGCCAGGCAACGTAGGCTGGAAACCGTTCGTGATACATACAGGACGATATTGAGCGGATATTGGAGGTGTTGCAGGATTTCAAGGTTCGTTTTGTTCCCTCTTTTTTTGCCATCACCTTATGGTCGTCACTAGTCACTACCGCAGCTCCACATGCACTGCTTCTGCGATACACCTGATTTCGCAGCTGGCCCGCTTGCCTATTTTCTAACTGTACCTCAGGTTGCAGGTAGGCAACCCACTCATTTCTCCCCCTCCCCTCTCACCCTGTCTCTCCACAGGCCTTGCAACTTACACCACAACATATCTTCTGATGTCCAATGTTCTCTACCTCCTCCTCCTCCTTTGTATGCTACGGGCATCCTTGAAGACGAAGCTGGCGTTCGCGACGAGCATGGTGGGTGGAATGCTGAGGGTTATGATACCTGGAGGAGAGTGCGATAGTTTGCAGCAGTGGTTTTGGAAGGAGTGCCCTGTGCTGGATCAGGAAATGGTATCCATGACGACGAAGTTTTCAACGTTCTCGACTTGCCACCCGTCCGCCTAACGGCTACAGCCCCGAACTCGTTAAATCTATTTGGTGTCACAAACATCGCTTCGTTCCTGCGCATCTCTCTTCCTCGGACTCGAGGATGAGTCCACGATCCAGCCGATTTCTTTGTGGGCGTCGAAAACTACGTCTTCAGTCGCCTACGTCCTGGACATCAGACAACAAGTCCGCTCTTGCCTTCCACGACTCAATATTCGATCCCCGCGGAGCAGCCATCTTCTTGGAATGCAATGGCTTCTTGTTGACGTCCCCAGTCAATGGGGGCTAGCCAAGCGCATGAAGAGAAGAAGCACCTGCCAAACTTACCCAAAACCACCCATACCCAGGCTCACCTTCACAGCTCAACCTCCTCCCCTGTCACAACTTCATCCTCTTCACCACACCATCTCTTCACCACACCATCTCTTCACCACACCATCTCTTCTCCCTCCTCACCTTCCCCTCTTCCAATCCCATGTCCCATATACTGACACATAGGCTCCCCTCCAAGGCCTTGCGTTACAGCAGAATGTGTTCGAGACGCAGGCTTCGGTGTCCCCTCTCTTTGGACGAGGAAGATTTCAAAGTCTACCAACGTGTACTTGCATGGCGCGGATTTGAAGACAGACAGACATCGTGAATGGAGTCAAAGAATTCCGATCCTGCCATTCTGGTATGCTCCTCATCGACGACGTCTCCACGATGCTCAACTCAAATGCAGCTCTTCCATTAATATGGGGGGAGGAGCACAGCCGCCACGTCACGCGTCACGGCTGTACTTCGAAGCAGGATAGCAATGTTCTCGTCATGCACCCGGGAATGGGGATGAAGATGAAGATAATTCTGCTCAAGTTGTTCATCTTTTGGCTGTACATACCACTGCATCTCCTCGTGAACCGTCTACTTTTGGTAGGACCTCAATTCTTCTTAATTTTTTCTGTGAGAACTAACATCAGCAAGACTGCATCTGTCTAGAAATACTAGAATTAGTAATTTCTAGTATTTCTAGTACCTCTAGTCATTTCTAGTGTTCTAGTTTGCCAAACTAGGGCTAACAAACTTATCTGATTCTAGATGCTCAACTAGGAAGGTTGGACAACTAGGACTAGCATTTCATACTTATTCTAGTAGATTAGTCAATATCCTAGTACCACTAGGACAATCCCTTCCGGCAAGACTTTTATAATAAATGACCATATATTTTATTCAATGAACTAATGACAAACAAATTCCTACTTATGAAAGGTAAGATGAATGATGTTGATCAGCTGAAAAGACAACTCCTCATCCCTCTTAGCTGCCCACCAATACAAGAGGTACTATGCAGGCCATGAGACCCTGAGTGAACAGCAGATGGGCTGACCTTCACAATGAAAGGTAAGTAAATAAGATTCGGAAAAAGGTGATATTACTTACGAGAAAGACATCCAATACACGTGTGATCCACGCCGGAAGCTCTTCCTGCGTGCGCCCCCAAGGATCATACATAGGAATAGGGGTGCATGAAGTTCTTCTAGGATGGCGAGAAGAGCTTGGGTCTCGGCCAGCTGAATAAGGAGAGAGGGTTAGCATCTGTTAGAAAGAAGGGATGGAGGTAAGAGAGTGTGTGAGGGATGAGAAAGGGAGGTGCATCAGGAGGCACTGACTTGGGTCAGTAGTTACAAATACTCTTGGTATCCTGGGTAGCTGGGTACACAAGTCCCCTAGTGCATAGTTACCGTAGTCATCCTACCAATCTCAGTAGCACCAGTAGTTTCCTGAATTCGGTACATAGCTCTACATTGTGTGTGTTGCTCTGTGTCTACCGAAGCTACCAGGTGAACCAGGGCTATGTAACAAAGTCTAATCATACATTGTTGGCGTTGTTTCCGATCTACAAAGGCTACTGGTTCAGGATACTCAATAAAATGCTGGCCATTTTTTTGAACCAAAATGGCAGTAATAATCAGAAAGCATCGTTATATGAGACAGGATATATACACATTCAAGCTACTAGCCTAATCATGAGCAGAAGGAAGGGTGTACCACATCTACTACCTGGTGACAAGGAGAGCAAGGGGTGGGGGAGGGGGAGGGTGAGTACTGGTGTGAGAGAGACAAGGAAAGTAAGCACTGCCTGGAGATGGGGAGAGAAAGTGGGAATGGAATGAGGTGGGGTGAGTACAACGAACACCGATAAGAGATGAGGAAAGCTGATTGAAGAAGAGGAAAGCTGATTGAAGAAGAGGAAAGTTGATTGAAGAAGAGGAAAGTACGCACTGCCTCAAGATGAGGCAAGAAAGGGGGAAGGAGGGGGGGAGTACAACAGACACCAACAAGAGACAATGCCTGGAGATGAGGAGAGGAAGGGAAAGGTTAATATGGCAAAGACAGATGAGGGAGGATGAAAGTACGCACAGAGATGCTACACATGCTTGAGGGTAGGTGGTCAGCACTGCCTGGACAAGAAGGCAAAGGGGGTATGAGTACAGCGGACATGGACAAAGACAGATGAAAGCACGCACAAATTCGAAACGAGGAGAGAAAGGGGGGTGAGTGTGAGTACGGCCAATACACGCGCTGACTAGAGATGAATGAACAAAGAGGACCGTGAGTGTGGAGAATGTGGACGAAGAAGGAAAGGACGAACTGACTTGAGATGAAGAGGACTTGGATGGAAAGACTTACGAGTTGGCGATGTGGTGGGGGCAAGGAAGGAAGAACGTGTTGAGAAATTCAAAAATCAACATTGTCACATGGTGTCGGAGTTTGAACGGATTTCAACGAATTGTCGAAGTTGTTCAACACCAGCACATCAACCACTTCCTCACGCTCATCCTTTCACCTTTTCCCCTCTCAACCCAACCCCTCCCGCCTTCCAAGCCCTGTTCGCCCATCCAGGTCCCAGAGCCAGTGCACATATCAACCGTGTATGTGGCCTCATGGTGTATGCGTGCAACCTCTCAACTGATGACGACATTGAGGACGACATCCATGATGCAAGGGAATGGAAGGAAGTGGCTCGGTCTCATGGTGAGGAGAAATCAATGTCATCACAACGTTCACGTCCAGTACAGCTATAGCACGGGGGATGTGAGTTCATATCGTGCGTATTCCACCGTCTTTTGCTGGCAGTCGGTCATCGTCGTGGTCCACGAATGCATGGCTGGGTGAGTCTTTCCTCTTCTGTACCCCCCCACACATGAATCCCATTGAACCCCATTCTCCTCCATTTCACCCTTCTCCCACCCATCACCAGCCTACTGTTCTTCGTCTTCCTCACCTTCCAATCACCTCCTGCACACCCGCTCCCTCATTCCTCTCTTTCGCACTATTCAACCACTAACGACCTTCTTTCAGCACTATTGCGGATGGTTTCTTTCATTACAGACATTCTTGGATGTATAGCATACACCTAGCATAACCTATTTACTTCATTCTTTGTTGCGCACCTTTATTCGGAAATTTCAGTTTCCTTCTCTCAACTACTACTGATTGTTTGGTTGAGTTGTCTAATCTACCGAAGCTACAGGACTTTGGTGAAAGGATATTGGGGCTACTGACAGTTGCCGGACAGCTACTGGGGAAATGTACACTCAAAGGCCAACTACCTAGACACATTGTGGCTACTGCGTGCTATGGAGAAGAACCAAAATGTACCAGCGCAACGGATTTTAGTGAGAAACTACGTATAAATTTGCTGTTTCCTGATGTGAGGGGAGAGGAAGTAAGGGAGGAAGGAGGTAGGAGGCTGGGAGTGTGGAGCAAAGGCGAAGATACGCCCACACGAAAACATGACAAACCCGAGGAAAGAAGGAAAGAAAGTTGGGGAATGGGGGGAAGAAAAGATGGGGACTTACTCAACAGCTCATCCGAGAAGAGAGTTTTGCATGTGTGGATTCGTTGATTCTATAAGTGAACAACAAATCGAGTCAGAATCGAAAGAAAACAGGGGGTAGAGGAAGGGATGACGCACCATTGGTCTTGGTGAATCACCCTCCCCACTTTGCGAGGTAAATCATCTTGTCTACGACCGCTTTCCTATCCCTTTGAATTGATACATCTCTGTTTCGAAGCCGGACAAGGGTCCTTGGTTGGCAATGGGGCTCGCTCTGCAACAACCGTGCTGCTTGGAGAGGGATGGAGGTTAAACGTTAAACGTGAGTGGCATACTTGCATGTAAAAAATGTGAGGCATGGGAGGGTGGTCCACTAGGTAGAACGAGGAGGTGTATGGCAAGGGCGTTGAGAGAATAAGCCCTGGAGAAGTGGAAGGAAAGAAACGGAAGTGTTCACACTGACGAATTTCAACCGAACCTCACGTGATCGTGTTATTGCGTGAGGGCCGGCCAATTTGACTTCAATGTCGACGTCCAGCGCTCAGTTCACAACACAAGTCATCGCTTCTCTCGGTGGCCGCAAAATTTTGCTGGTGAGTCTATGTCGCAGATGAATCAGGCATTGATGGAATGCACTATGAATGTATCTGATCAACACCGTTATGGAGGGGCAAGGTGCAGTGTTGGGAATGCATTTCACACTGAGGTTGAGGAGAAGCGATGAATGTGATGCGGGTAATGCGGTGCTTTACATGAATACCTGACTTCCATGTACACATTTTGCATTATTTAAAAGTTTCATGGGTAATAGATACTTCTGCATAAAGAAAGTGACTAGAAAATGACTAGAAAAAGTAACGATTACTAGACACACTAGGACATACTAGGAAAAAAAAAGATTCTAGTACTAGCATTTCTAGCATGCCTAGTAATTTCTAGTGTTTTCTAGTGCTTCTAGTCCCTCTAGCCAGATGTCATCTTGCTGATGAAGTGACCATTTTGTTAGTATCATACTAGGGATTCAAATCCTCCATCAGAATCAAGTGTTACAGGGGACTCAAAGGCATAAAACCTTTTTCATTAGTAGTTAATTGACATTTCTTGGATCTTCACTTCCTCGGTCACGCACCTCTATCCCTATGATCTCACAGCGGTATTACGGTTCTGAGGAAGACCAATTTCCTCGTAGCCATACCCCTAAGGCATGGATCCCTCCCTTTTCCTATATGAGTTGGCTTCTTCAACCATGTACCACAGGCACGCGCACGGGCGGGGAGATGGAATGTGTTGAAGTATTGGTGTCACACAGGGTCTGGAGTGGCAGACGTAAACTCTCAGCTCTAGCTGCGTGAGCTTGAATGATGTCCTTTGGGCATCAAGGGTGACATTTTGGGAGTGGGCAGACCATCGCCATGTGACACACACTTGTCATGCTCGATCTGCTCTCGAACGACCATCTCCAATCTTTCATAGATGTTCCCAGGGATGTGGCCTTTTCTCTCCTGTTTTGTTCCAGACGGCGAAGGAGAATGCAAAGTATTCGTACTTTCCCACTGCTGCTGTTGACTGTCCTCGGGCCCTTCCCCATCCCGTTTGACCCCGGATCTGTGCCACCTCGGGGTGGGTGTGGTATCACCTCTCCTTTGTAACTTGTGTTGGTGCTTCTGTCGCAACTTTTCCAACTTCTTCCCTACCTCCTCCCTCCATTCGTCACGGCTCTTTTCACAGTAGCCTTTGATGGAAAGGATGAGCTCTCTGTCACGTCTTTTGTTCTGGAGCTCTGTAAGCCAACGTTTGGTAAGCTTATGCATAACATGTGCTGCCTCGCGATGACAATCCGTCAGCCGCCGATCCGCTGACTTTCTGGCGAATTTGGTGAGTTTGGGGGATATTGATTTCAAAAAATCGAAAGCCCCTTTCTCCAAAAACGGCTCAATGAGTATGATGGGGAAAATGTCGGGACCGCTGAGAATCCTGACGATTGGCTTGTCATTCTGGTCGCCCTTCTCTTCATCGACATCGCCACTGCTCACTTCATCCGCGTCATTGCTCTCCTCCTCATCATCATCTTCCTCCTCCTCCTCCTCCTCCTCGTTGGCATTGCCTTCCTCCTCTTTGTCGCCATCCATGTCGGTATAACTCGTCTCGTACTCCTCTTCCTCATTATCGACATTTGCTGTCCTTTCGAAATTACGTTGTACATCCGCCGGCAGGAAAAGCATATATTGGAAGTGTGGGGGCTGAGCATACTTGGGTTGAGGTTGCACAATTGGCCGGGCTTGCCTTACTGAAAATTCTCCGCTGCGCCTGACGTCGTTGGCCCGCAGGTTCTGAAATGTGTTAGCTTCATTCAAGCTCATATAGACGAAAGCTAAATACACCAACCACTGAAAAAGCTGGAGTCTCGTGCGCAGCGTGGGCCAGCTCATCCGGATTCCAACCAAGGAGGGCGAACACCTGAGCTTTGTCCTTCTCCGTCATCATCCACGCCCCAGGATCCCATTCATTCTCAGTGAGTACCTTCAGCCACTCCTTTTGCGCTTGAGGGGTCAGACTCTCCAGGTCGTTATCATCTCGGGTCTTGTAGATTTCTTTGCTGAAAACCTTCCATGCCGCTCGGATAGTGTCACTCATCCCCTCTCTTTGCCAGTCTTGCTGCTGTAGGTAAGGGTAAGCCATGGTAGGAGATGGTGGTTGGGAGTAAGGAGTAATCGGGACTCACGACGAGTGATAATGCAAGGTGGTGAAAAAAGCTGTTGTGTGCTTAGCGTCTAATGACTTTTATTCTCCGGAACATGTTGCCGGTACAGGTCATCCACTACTTTTGCACACAGGTTCCAGTGCTGCTCAGAAGCTGTCCATATGGCCCACTTGCATTCCTGTGTTTGTTGGGTATGGAATGTAGTGTTGAAATTATTAGATCACGAAAATCTGCTGCAAGAATTACCGAAAATGTGGCGCTTCTGGATACAGGCATCTATCGGGGATGTTGATGGGTGTGGGCCCACGTGGTGATCCATAAAGCCAATTACGTGTGCTGTGTCGTCGCTACAGTTTTGAGATTCCACCTTGAACTTTAAATATAAAAGGAAGGTGCTAAGAATAAGTCCCGCCCTTTGGGCTTATGTTTGGCTACATGGCGTGATCACTTGAAGGATGTATCTGGAAGTGCCGTGCCACAGACCCTGGCAAACCACTCACTCGTCTTGGCGATTTCTTGACCACAGCAGATGATATGCCGAAATTAATTATTGTATACTGTACATAATCGGATACTCAGTCACCTAAGACCGTTTTATTCATTACCAGTGTATAACTGTGTAGAAATGCCTGAAATTTTGAGAATGCGCTTTCTTGGATATCAAAAACACCTACGCAAAATTTGGGAATTTTTGAGTGTCTTATTATTTCTCTATGAATATTTTACTGTTGAGACTCGAGAGCTGGCCAGCCTATCGGGTACTCGGCCACCTTGAACTAATACAAATTTGTATTGGCTCTGTTCGGTTCATTACGTTTCAGGATCACTGCCCGTAATAGGAAATACACCATTTCGAGGTGCTCAAGAATCATCCAGTTGTAACTCAGTCAGTTCTATTCCAATTTACACAAAGTTTTTTGAAGGTTTCAAAGGAAGTTCCATAAAAAATTCTTCTCACCTTTGAATATGAGATTTTTATAGTTCCTAAATTTATAAAATCACTATTTCACATGTTCGCATTTTGGGTCCTTGATGCCGAAATGGCAACCGGCTGGGAGATAGGAATTGAAAAAAAAATCTAAAAGATACCCAATATGATGCAGCATCATCAGAAAAAACTTTCTGACAGAAAAAAATTGTGTCCACTTAAGTTTGGTGAGCTGGGCGCAAGAAATCTGGCTCATGCTCCAAAACCTAAAATATTTTCTAATAGTATGGTATATATACCAAATATCTTCAGACTAATACACCCTATTGCTTTGTACTCAAATGAATTTATCATTTAAAAGGATATAAATGAACTCAGTACTTTTGTTTTACGATTGGTATAAGTTTCGTCGCCCCAGTGCAAGAGATATCTTGCTGCAACCTGTTCTATTTTAAGAAACGGACCCTGATGGCTGACCAACTACCCTTCCACAAGCTTTCTCCCTTTCGCACTTCGCCATTTTCAAGATTTAACAGTGCAGTTGTGTAAGTAATGTCCAGTGCTACCTAGAAATACAAATTCTATTGCTAATTGTCTATGTCTCAACTGTGTAGAAAATCAATGGCCAGCTTCCCAGGGTGACCGGGTACCTGATTACATACAGTATGTAACATAATATTGTTTAAAATCATCAAATATTTCCTATTTGTCAAAGCGCCGATTCGTTTTAATTGCCCTACAGCCATTCTGTCCTAATTCTGTCCCCAGCAAGAAGGTTTGCATTGCATTGCGTCATGCCATATACTTCCGCTGACCACTCTTCACATCGCAGCAGGTCTAACTGTATTCTCATTTAACTCACCAACAAAGGTCTCCAAGAAGCTTTTCATGAAACTTACCGACAATGTGGCACTACTCTTCTAACCGACCCTCAAATCTCAACAAACAGGTGATTGAATCTTCATAATGATTTCTTCATCTTGTTGATCATAGGAATTTATATCAGCGACCTCGGACATATTTTAGCAGAAGGGAACATTCCTGTGGCATTTCAGTCTTCTGAGACTGAGCATGTTTGCAACTGCTTCTGCAGCATGATTTGGCTTGCCCACTGATTATGAAGATTGCGAGGTTGTTACATATAGTGCTTGGAAGTCCAGTCTCAAGACTGCAAAAAGACTGCAACTGGACTGGACCAAGACTGCAAAAGACTGGACCTGCAGTCTTGGTCTTGCAGATTTGAGATTAAAAGACTGTAAAAAGACTGGTTAAGGTGGACCGGTCTTTTGTACCTACATAATAACCCTTCAAAACACACCTAAGATCATATTTTTAGGCCAAAAACTGACAAAGATACATATAAAATAGTAAAATATTTCATGAAAATAGTAGATGTACCTTGGTATTTTTGTAGATACATCAATTCTCAACGGAATTTAACGTTCTTGCACTCGTTTTGAAGCTACAAAGAATTTCAATAAATTTACCGACTCACAATTCCAAATATTATAGCCTATTTAGTTGAAAAACCGGTCTTGAACCAGTTGTAACCAAAGACCGAAAAAGACCACAGTCTTGGTCTTTTCTAGTGTTTGGAAGTCCAGTCTCGTGACTGGAAAAAGACCATAACCAGACTGGACCAAGACCGCAAAAGACCGGACCTGCACTTACGGTCTTTTATTTGTGAGATGTTAAGACCGCAAAAAAACCGGTTAACGTGAACCGGTCTTGACCGGTTTGGACCGGTCTTTTGTAGCCCCTTAAATACCCTTTAAAACGCACCCAAGAACGTACGATTTGGTAAAAAAAACGAGAGAGATATGAATTAAAATGTAAATTACTTTTGGGAATAATAGATGTACCAGACTTATTTTATAGAAGCACCAATTCCTAACGGAATTTGACGTTCTTGGGCTCGTTTTGAAGCTAATAGAGATGTTAATAAATTTACCGATTCATAATTTTAAAATATTAGCCTAAAGACCGGTCATAAACCGGTTAAAACTGATGCAGACCGAAACCAGTCTATAGACCACAAAAAGACTGCAGACTGTGGTTTTTTGTGGTCCGGTCTGGTCTTTTGACTTCTGGGGAAAAGGCAGACCAGTTACGGTTACGGTTAATGCCCCTGGGCATCAAAAAACCAGACCGAACCAGACTTTCAAACACTAGTCTTTTCTGGTTCTGTTCTGGTCCTTTGACGTTTTAGGGATTGTGTGGACCAGTCTAGGTCTCGGTCTTTTTATTTTGGGCCAAAAAACCGGACTGGACTGGACTTTCAAGCACTAGTTACATAGCTCCAGTCACTTCAAACATATTAAACTTAGTGCTTGGAAGTCCAGTCCCAAGACTGAAAAAAGACTGAGACTGGACTGGACCAAGACTGCCCAAGACCTGAAATTCCCAGGACCATCAAAGACCGCAACCGCAGTCCAGTCTTTGGTCTCTCACGATTTCGAAAATTTGAAGACTGTGAAGACTGACAAAAGACCGGTTTAACCAGTCTCAACTGGAACTTGTAACCAAACACAAACACCAAATGCAAACACAACTCATAGCCAAATACAAACCCAAATACAAACACTTCTACCACCTTCCCCGTCACCATCACCACCTTTCATGACTACCAATTCGCATCATGAGCACCTGCGATGGGCTAAACGACCTGTTTGCTCACACATCGACCACCACCTCATGCACTGGATGCTCAGCAACAACATCCATAACCACGGCACAATGAGCACCTGCTATGTCGATGGTGCATGGAGACAACGTGGCACATCAAATGGTGAGTACAGTAAATTGTAAGCCCTACCAGTCCCCCTATTTATCCTCACAATGCCCAGCAGCCATTGTCACACCTGCCAACCACTGCCACATCACTCCCTTGCCCTCTGCCACCTTTGGTGTTGACAACACACAATGACGGCCATGCGACGACAATGGAGATAGGTGGATGATGATAATGTGACATGGCAGCAACAACAGATGACCACCACGACGATGGACGACTGATAGACGATGTGAAGAATATGAGATGGGCGACGATGGACAATAACAAGGATGCGCGAGTGCTCCCCCTGCCCCCCTGCCCCTCGTTGTTCACCCTCATGTAGTACTTGTATATTTAGTAAATTACATACATGTTTTCCCCATGTCAGTAACTACGAGACCAGTCCTCAACCAGTCTCAACCAGTTAAGACTGAGACTGGTTGAGACCGGTCTTTCAACCAATGAAAACTGACGAAAACCGCACTGAACCGGTTGACGTCGGTTCAGTCCAGTTTTTTGAGGTTCGTCAACCTGTGAGGACTGGTCTCAGTCCCGGTCTTGTCAAATTTTGACAAAAGACCAGACTGGACCAGACTTCCAAGCACTAATTAAACTCCTCTTCCTTCTGAAACACTAGTTAGCATCCTTTACATAGTAATCATAATGTGATTAACTAAATAGAACTACACAACACAGGAAGGTTGTGACTGAGGAAGATACTGGAAAATAGTTGAGACCACTGTCTGTGGTGCGTACACAATGTCGGCACTGTCACTGTGGTTTGCTTTGTGTGTTCGGTGTACTTTACTGAGTCATGAATGACCTAAGTGCAGAGAGTTAGAAATGGAGAGGTGACAAAGTGAAAATCTTCAGGACACCACAGGTCTCCTCATAGATAAGACCAAAATACACTTCACACCTCCGCGACGAGCGAGACGATGAATAGCGAGCTTCATAATGCCTATGAAACCACTGAGTATATGAGAGGACAACGGTGGCAGAAAACACACCCTGGATGTTATTGCAAAGAATCTTACAGTGACACTCAGCGAATGTTGACTCTTGCTCCGAGATCCACCTGAAAGCCCAGTCCTCCTCGCGCTTGACACAAGGAATTATCTTGGTTGCATCGAAGAGATACTTGTGCCGGCCTGGGTCCGTCCTTGAGAAGCAACATGCCTCGGCTGCTTAAACTTCACTTGATAAGCCTTTCAATGGCAATAGTGTTAGAGGCAGTGAGAAAAGCAACATGGGATAGTGTTTAAAAGTTCGGTCTGGTCTGGTTTTTTGATGCCCCTGGGCTTTAACCGTAACCGTAACCGGTCCGCATTTTCCCCAGAAGTCAAAAGACTGAACCGGACCGCAAAAAACCGCAGTCTGCGGTCTTTTTGTGGTCTAGAGACTGGTCTTGGTCTTCTTCGGTTTTAACCGGTTTAAGACCGGTTTTCTGGCCAATATTTTAAAATTATGAATCGGTAAATTTGTTAACGTGTTTCGTAGCTTTAAAAAGAGCCCAAGAACGTTAAATTCCGTTGAGAATTGGTGTTTCTATAAAAAAAGTCTTGTACATCTACTATTTTTAACGAAATTTTACATTTTTATTTATATCTTTGTCAATTCTGAACCAATTAATACGTGCTTGGGTGCGTTTTGAAGGATATTTAGTGGGCTACAAAAAACGGGTCCTAACCGGTTAAGATCTGTCCATTTAGACCGGTTTTTTTGCGGTCTTTAGGTCTCAAAAATAAAAAAACCGGACTGCAGGCCCGGTTTTTTGCGGTCTTGGTCCGGTCTGGTTACGGTCTTTTTCCAGTCATGAGACCGGACTTCCAAACACTAACATGGGAGATAAAGTGACATTCGTTGTCATTCATGTGGCTATTCCAGTCGTGGAAATGCTTTGAAAGGTCCTTTTTCTCAGCCATCCAGAAAGTCATGAGATAGACACATGGCTTACCTTGTTGTGCTGTGTGGGAAAGAACACAGATTGGCACTATGACCCCTTGAGCAGAGGTTCCTCATCTAAGAGCCTTCGTGAGATGCGTGATGCTTCGAAAACATCAGAATATGTACTGTCCGGAAGGTCAACCTCTCCGATAAACTTCTTGCGAAGCTCTCATAGTTGAGCTTCCTTGTCAACCTCCTCATCATCACTATTAGTGTTGGGTAAGTCAGGCAATCACTCATTGTCAGTGAGTTTCATGAAAAGCTTCCTGGAGACCTTTGTTGCCAAGTCGAGTGAGAACACAGTAGACCTGATGCGACGTGAAGAGTGGTCAGCAGAGGTATATGGAGTGACGCGACGTGACGTGAACCTTCTTGCAGGGAGACAGAATGACAGTGAGATCTGAGATCTGAGAGGCGTGCATTGTAGGGCTGTAGGATGAATTGGCACTTTGGATCGGACAAATAGGAAATATTTGATGATTTTGAACAATATTATGTTACATATACAATAATTAATTTCGGCATATCAATCGGCAGTGTACAAATATTGGTGTTAGCCATGATTTTGAAGCTGGCTGATCCCTGTTGCCATATATTTCTCTGTGTAATTTGCAGTCTTAGGCATTGAAAAATAACAGAGATCATGGATGCTGTGTTCCTCCATATGCAAGCGTGTTTCCATTCCAATCAATCATGCAGCCATGTACAAGTTCGATGATGAGAAGATCACCTCTAATTAGACAAGCCAACACTATTGGAACATGCATTACATCATGCACAGGACACTCTTGGGGAACGAAGATATGGAAAGGGATAATTTGGGGATAATAGGTATGTTACCGTATGCACGTCCATCAAATCTCTGATGACATTCATTTCAGAAATGGATTGTTTTCGAAGCTGGAGCCTACATAGGACCTGAGGGCGCATGATCGATTTTTTTTCATGATTGAGATTCGATTCACTCACCGGTTTTAGATATTTCTATTTTATGCCAGTCATCGACTTGGACATCCACCCCCCACAACTCAATGTTGTGATAAACACCACTCTTCATGACTTCTTCATACCTGCCGCTCCGATACCAAATGGACTTTGTGTAGGTGAAAGGAATATCGATTATAGACTTCTTGATTAAAATCGTTGCCACCACCTTCTTCATCGGAGGAATGGCAATGGCTGAACTCGATGTCACTGTCTTGGCATGGGTGGTCGAGCCACCCCATGTGTATGATGTGTTGACAGTGTATGTGGTCTCCACTCCGGTTTCTGCAAGGAAAGGTATTTCAACTTTGCCAGATATTCTTGTGGACAATGATCCCCCGATTGTGGTAGTCCAGGTGCTGACATCAGAGACGAGGTAGGAGTATGTAAGATTCTGGGTGATGGTATCCGACGAGGAGTCATTGTGAACCATTGTTGAGAGCGCGATTTCTGGTTGCAACTTGGTGATAGAGGTCTCGGATGGATCGGTATTGTAGTTGATGCTGGTGATCACTGCATAGAGAACTGGTTCGCTGACCTTGATCCATACCAAATCGGACTGGGCTGTGACCACAAGTATCTTGCTGTCAGCGAAGTTGGGATCTGATTTGAGCTGGGGCACAATGAAGACCCCATAGGGAGTACAGAATACGAAAGTGTCCTTGATGCCGGCAACATCTAGTAGAGTGAATAGTATGGCATTGGGTATAATAGACTTGTTGAAACTGGCAATGAGGACACCGGAACCAAAGTACTCAAAGTAGGTCCCTTCCCAGGACTGAAGGTAAAACTGCTCTGGGTTATCGGCGAGATATTCAACAATGACCTCGCATTGTAAGTCTGGCTCGGTCTTTTCGAAACTGGCAATTCCCTCGTATATGGAATAGTAGCGACCTTGGGGATCGATGAGGTAAATCCTGTCAGGAAGACAAGGAGTCTTTCGTTGATAAGTTTGCGCACTGGCATTCGAAACCTATCAATCCAGTTGGATGAGTGCGCATTATGCAATGGTACTCATCGGTATCAACTCACTTGTGTGGGTAGAAGGCGTGAGTTAGATATGTAAAAAAATTCAGGACTATTCATATAAATGCCAGCTGAGTGAGCAGACCGTCCTCCTGGTGGACAAAACCGTAAGTGTGAAAATACACTGCCCATGAGATGCAGAACTCTAAAATAGAAAAGATTATCAATCGGGCGGATCCCAGCCAAGTGTCATGTGTGAACCTCACCACTGGCATAGGGCTGCTGTCAATGCATGTGGGAGAGCACAAATATTCATCAGCAAAACCTGGGTGAGCTAAGCAGCACATGGCAGGGCTGTGCAGTGCCATAGCACCATAGAAAGGGGTATCACCTTTGCAGTCACCTGCACATTCTATGCAGCCCTACATAGAAACACATGGCTACTACATAGTGCTCCCTAGAATCATAGAGCAGATCTGCAGCCCTCAGTAGCAACCCCTGGTGTCTGCAGATTGCTAGAGGGGGGGGTATTTTTTGCTCATTTTAATACCATATTGCAGGATTTTTATGCAAAAGTGGTGTTATGAAAAATGAGTTTATTGTCTACACTACTACATTATAGTGCTACATACCCTAATACTCTACATAGTACTGTGGCAAGAGAGTCTAATGTAACGATAGCAAGAAATTGCAAGTAAAATAATGGTGGTGGTGGTGTAGACATGTGGACTCACTTTGTTATACCTGCAAGGTGACTGTGGCTGCAGTGTTGTGACCCATTCTGTGCAAGGAGGTTAGGTAAATGGCATGTCACAAAGAATAGGGCATAGGACATGCTCACCTTGTGGCCTGTAGGTCGTTGCAGGCAGGTGCCAGCAACATGTGTTCACCTCCCCTCATGCATCCTGAGCCCTTGATTCCAACCCAAATCCTTCCCGAGTCAGCCCACATCCATCAATGAGAGGAGGGGCACACAACATCAAGAGGGTGTCATCGAGAGGCATAGTCACAGTGTACCTAAGTAGAGTATCATATGTCAGTGCTGAGCCATGGACAATTACTTACCTTATTTCTTGAGGTTTGAGTGGTTGGGTCAGGCAAAGACAATGTGCGAAAAGGCGGTGGTGATGTTTGAGGAAAGAAAGAATGGTGCAACTTACAAATTTCTTGATTTTTGGAAAGTGAACAAGTCACATGGTGGTTTAGGGTATGGTGCACCAGACTTAGTCACCGCTAATTTTGTACAGTGGCCAATTTGGCTGCGGAAATTTTTCAAAATTTTGGGGGAAGAAATTTAGACCACAATTTGGGCCAAAAGGAGGCTGAAATACACGTGTGCAACCCAATTAGATATATCAGATGTGTTTTTAAGCTATTTACTCCCTAAAATGCCCTACAAAAGCAAGTCGAAGAAGACATCAGTTGCAAACACATGAAAAGTTAAAGCTCAGAAACGTCTAGATACCGAATTCAACGTGCCCAATGCTTCCAATGCGACGGATCCAGATTCGGACATCGAAGTGACAGCATGGACAGGTGGTGTGAACAATCACCCCCTTGTGTCCGACTCGGATGACAGCGACTCGGATTTCAGTGATACAGAAGAGGAAAGTGATTCAAGTGGTGATGATGTTGATGAGTTGGAAGGGGAAGAATTGGTGGAAAGCTTGCGGAAGGAAATTGAGCACGAGATGCATTTGCTGCAAGAGCTGGAACTCACCCCATATGAGAAGATAAGCAGTGTTAAGATAACTGCAAAGGAGTGGAAACGAGCAGAACAAAGTCATGGATTCAGGTATAATGGACAAGGTGAACGGATGCAGAGGAGGCATCAGGAGATGGCACGGAAAAAGGCTGAAAAGGATAAAATAACAAGAAAAAGGTAAGCCGTGGTCATTCACACAAATGGGGAACTTGCTCACAAAGAAGTCAGCCAAGGTGCTGCTATGATGCGTGCTTTTTTCAGCACACCAAAGGTTGTTGAAGAAAGAGCACAGGGGTTAGAGTGTGTCGATGAATGCAAAGAATGCAAAGAACACTTACAGCATGTTGATGAACATGAAGAACACGTTGCATCTGCCAAGTCCACGTCAAGCTCGGTGCCCCAGAAGGATCCTGACACATCTGCTGTCATCACGGACGAGGTCTTCACCGGCTATATATCCAATGTCGAGGAAGATGTTGATGAAGAAATGGAAAGGATTCTTCAGGCCGGAGTTGAGGTCAGAGATGCAGTGGATCATGCAGAAATTGAAGGATCAGGAAATGCCAGTTGCACCAGCAACGTCACTCACGAGAACTCGGAATGGGAGGATGTTTTTGAGGGCCCTTTTCGTGTCCCAAACCCTCCACCTCTTAAACGACAATGCCATGCTGTTCCCATTCAGGTTGCATGGAAGAGGCGAAGGCTTGAAGTGGCACTCGAGTTGAAGCAAGCGCTGAGTGCAATAGAGAAGCTTATCGTGTCTTGGAAAAAGAAAGTTTTCGACACGGGAAGGAACAGTCTTCAAGAGTATCGAGCTCGAGTCATACAGTCACACTTACACATGGTTCTGCATAATGGGAGGAAACACATCGAAGTGTCAGAAAGGGCTGCCGAAAGTCAAGGTTTCGCAGCAAACTGGGGTGGCAGACTTGTCCGTCGATGGGTCAGGAAGTGGGTGGCAAAAAGAGAGTTGCCGGAGTCTTCTTGTGGTGCACATGGGAAAGTTTATTCCCTTCTTGATGATCTGGCTGTCCGTGCAAAGCTCAGATCATATTTGAGATCAAACAAATGGTCCGTGGATCCCGCAAAGCTGACTGAGTTTGTGAAAGCGAAATTGATACCAACCGCTGCAGAGAAATATATCTGCCAGGTGGTTGACGAGGAGATGCCGCGAGGATTGAAGAAATACATGGAAATGGAACTATTCCCTCACGTTCAGTATCGCAAGGTTGGGAAAGGCATTACCTTGGAGACCGCACGTCAGTTCCTGCACAAGGAAGGTTTCCGATTCACAGAGCACAAAAAAGCGCTCTATTACGATGGCCACAAGTGGCCCGATGTTGTGGAATATTGACAGGATGTCTTTCTCCCAGCCATGGAGCGATACAGAAGTTGATTGGTGGAATATACCATTGGTGAGGTTGGGAAAGAGCTTGAGAAACAACCCGCAAATTATGTTGAAACACGGTTGGTTCTTGTCCCACACGACGAGATGACAGTACAGCAGAATGATGGAAAAAAGAAGAGCTGGGTCCTTAACAGCGAACATGCGTTGAAGAAGAAAGGCGTGGGACGCGGAATCCACGTTTCCGGAGTAATTTGTGCGACGAAGGGGTATCTCACAGATGCAGAGCAGACAATGGAATATGGGAAAAATTATGAGGGATATTGGACAGGTGAATTATTTGTGAAACAGGTGAGCTTTCCACATTTGAGCTGCATTGCACGAGATGATTGACTTCAGTTCAGCTTCGTGAAAAAATTATCCCTGCATTTGAACGTGCTCATGGACCAGGATATCAAGCACTTATCGTCGTTGACAACTCTCAGGGCCATTCTGCTTATGCAGAAGACGCCCTCTTGGTCTCTTGGATGAATCTTCACCCAGGCGGAAAGCAGGCGCATATGCATGCGATATGTTTTATTCGTGATGGACAGAGTTTTGATCAACCAATGATTTTTCCACCAAATCACTCCAAATTCCCAGATCAACCAAAGGGTATGCGACAAGTCCTCATCGAGAGAGGACTTTGGAAGGATAAACTTTGCATGCAATGCAAAGGTGACTGTGCATCTAATCTGTGCTGTGCAAAATGGATCCTTGAGCTCCAGCCTGACTTCAAAGCCCAGAGGTCGCTTGTTCAGGAAGTCATTGAGGAATTGGGCCATCTTTGCATCTTTCTCCCAAAATTTCACTGAATTACATTGAATTTTTCTGGGGTGCAGTCAAACGATGGCTGCATGAAAACTGTGACTACACCTTCCAGGGCTTGCAAGATAATTTGCCGAAGGCTATGGATGTGGTTGCGCTTGACACGGTTCGCAAATGGGAACATTGAATGTATTGGTGGATGGATGCTCACCAAGGTGGGCTATCCGCTCGTGATGCTCAATTCAAAGTCAAAGCATTCAGCTCCAGGAAATACACGTCTCACCGACGAGTTCCAGAGTCTCTTGCAAGACAGTTTGATTGATTAGATGGACCCTAACACGTCCATATATAGACCTACCTTCCATATAAATATAATATTACATAAGGCAGCCAAATCAGAGGTACTGAAATATTTTATCTCCGTCAGTTTTGAAGTAAATAAAAATCAGTCTGGTAGTTTTTATCAGCTGGCTAAAAGGAACGTTTCTACCAGATGGATAAGAAAAAGGTGAAGTTTTCGGCCTGGAAATTTATTTGTACAAAAGTGGTGGTGACTAAGTCTGGTGCACCATAGGTATGTTGAACTTGAAGCAATTAAATTTCGACGAAATGAAAGAAGTTGATAAGTCATGCCACCATGAATGGGAAGTCACTTGACCATATTACTTGTGTTTTGCATGTGGGAATGATGGCAAAAATCTGACTTTTTTGCCATCACTCTCACCACCTTGACCCTTCATGCTTACTCAGCTTAACATTTGTTACTCACTCAACAGCACCATATACAGTTCCAAATATGTTAGACACTTCATAGTTCAAGTTCATTGCCAATATATTTATTAGGCTGGGTTTTTGAGCATGCCTTTGTCTATATACAGCCCTCTACCAACCTGTCAATGCTACTGAACAATGCAGAAAAATTTAACTCCCTATCAGGGCTGGGTAGAAAGTGGAGGCCCCTCTATAGCACCCTATAGTAACGGCACAAGTCTCTGCAGTGCTGTATAGCACAAGCTTATGCCCACACAGGGCTGTGGCACTCTAGGGCATCCAGCCAGCTTGGTGCGTAACTATGGGAAATGATGATGTCAGCGGAAGCACTGTACCTGTCTACATGTGAAAATCAGGTTTTGCTGATGTTGCTACCAGTCGACGCTATTCAATTGATTGGTAATGGTATTGGATTGTCACAACGCCAAAGAATCAGGCTGATTTACGCTTAGGCTCGTCACTGGACAGATACTGATTTTGGATTCTATGGAATCAAAATCAATTACAATGTTGGTTTGAGGTCGAAGACATCTCCAAGACATTGAAAGTGCGGCAATTCGGGTCACATGTTTCTTGGTCATGATTGCCAAAAGCGCAATGTGTTTACCTTGCTCACTCAGCCAGAAATCACCTGTTCCATTAGCTTTATTCAAAATTGAAGTATATTAATGTAACTACACACGGCAGTTGAGGAACAAGAAGATAGGGAGGACAGAGTATAAGTCAGGAAATCCTTGGGAAATCCCTGCCCCCACCTGTGGGAACCCTATGTCCATGATAGGTGAATCAAACACCTCTTGTTCCTTACCCCACTCTTTGGCGTTGCCATATACCGATAGCAATACCTGCACTCTCTCACATGCATCGATGGCAGTCCTATGATGAGGCTCACACATGACACTTGGCTGGGAACCGCCCACTTGGTAAGGCTCTGTTCGGCAACGAGAATATGGTCATATTCTCATTTTGATGGCAGACGGTATTATTCCCACCATGCCAAATCATGTAGCCGTGGCACATGGATAGCTACCTCACACTTTATATGAATATGATATATTATATGGAGATCTTTTATTTATTATTTCTGCACATAATTATTGGTGTTCCAGCATGCAGTTCCTATCTTAGATTCTTAAATATAAAATATGCATATTGATCACAACCTAATTTAAGCTGGCGTTTTTTTTTGAAGAGTATCTTGAAGTATTGTGCATATTCTGAATACTGGGTATATTAAAATCACATATTTGAATTTTGATGAGCTATTTTAATTATTCTAATATTACTTTATATTACTATATTTCTTATTTAATCCTTTGTACCCATCTTAATAGTGGAGATTCAATGTTGGATATATTCGAGACAAATGTGAAGTAAATTGAAGTACAATAATGCCACTAATCAACCAATCCCGCACCTGCTGCGGAGTGAAATCAATGTGAGGTAGCTTTGCATGTGTTGCGGCTACCTGATTTGGCATGGTGGGAATAATACTGTCTGCCATCAAAATGAGAATACGACTGTATTCTCATTGCCGAACAGAGCCTAATCTTTTCCATTTTAGACTTCTGCATCTCGTGAGTCATGGGCAGTGTATTTTTGTTCTGTCCACCAGGAGGACGGTCCGATCACTCAGCTGGCAGCTATATGAATAGTTACTGACTTTTTTTTACATATTTAAGTCACCCCTTCTACCCACACAGGTGAGTTGATACCAATGAGTACCATACATGAAGACTGATGCACACTCATTCAACTAGATTAATAGGTTTTGAATGCCAGCACAAGCTTATCAACGACAAACTCCTTGTCTTCCTAACAGGATTTACCTCATCAATCCCGATGGCAATCGCTACTATTCCATAGACCAGGGATATGCCAGTTTCGAAAAGACCATGCCAGATTATCAATGCGAGGTCCTTGTTGAATATCTCGCTGATAATCCAGAGCAGTTTTACCTTTGGTCCTGGGAAGGGACCTACTTCAAGCACTCCACTAGTTCCGTTGAGGGTGTTTTTGTTGCCTACATCAGTAGAATCACAAATCCGCTTTCAACCGCTTTTACCACTTTTGAAAGCGTGAAAGTGTTTCTGCTTTCAAAAGTGGCAAAAGCGGGCAAATGGTTTTGGAAGTGGCTGTGAAAGAGGCCTGCGGGGCATACAAAACCCCACCATAGGAGCCTAGTTGCCTCAGGGAGATGCACATGGCCACCCCTTTTGATTGTAAGAATGGCTGAACCATTAGTGCAATGCCAACAGAGCAAGGCTAATGTGGTGGCTGTGGACCAGACAGAACACTACCGTCAGAGCCTAGTGACTGTGGAGGAACAGGCATCCCGCAGACCAGACAGAACACTACCATCAGAGTAGCAACTGCAGAGGGATAGGCACCTGTGGGGCATTTTGAGAGGCTCTGGCCGGTCCGTGGGTAAAGGGATATTGTAGAAAGACTGGCTGGGCCGGCTAGCCCATGTTTTACGAGTGATTGTCACATCTGGCTACCATGTTTGGTATGTGACATAGTGACTGACATATGTGTGTTGTGGCCAGTAATCAAGTGGCCTTCTTTGCTAACATTGGATACATCTTCCAGCTCAACGTCGCAGGCAATGTTGATGCCAAAAACTCTCTAGCTGGGAGGGGCTATTCCGAGACATGCTTGGCCATCACACTGGATACACCGACACAGATTTTCGCAGGAATCGATGGATATGCACTTGGCCTATTGTTTCATCCCAAACTGTCCTGACTACATGTTTTTTATCAAGTCTTCTTGTGGCGATCTGGTATTTTTTGTGTTATGGTGATTTGATGGTGATACTTAGTTTTTCAACTTCTTGACGTCTTATCTATCATTTGCTTTCACCCATATACCTCTCTTTATAAGTAATATAACAGAGTTTTTTCTGATGATGGTACTTCTAACCTCCATAGTGTTTGAAAGTCTGGTCTGGTCCAGTCTTTTGATGCCCAGGGGCTTTAACCGTAACCGTAACCGGTCTACCCTTTTCCCAGAAGTCAAAAAGACTGGACTGGACCGCAAAAGACCACGCGGTCTTTTGTGGTCTTTAGACCAGTTTCAGTCTGCATCAGTTTTAACCGGTCTATGATTGGTCTTTAGGCTAATATTTTAAAATTATGAATTGGTAAATTTATTAACATGTCTACTGGCTTTAAAACGAGCCCAAGAACGTTAAATTCGGTTAGGAATTGGTGTTTCTATAAAATAAGTCTGGTACATCTACTATTTCCAAAAATATTTTACAATTTAATTCATATCTCTCTCAATTCTTTACCAAATTGTATGTTCTTGGGTGTGTTTTAAAGGGTATTTAAGGGGCTACAAAAGACCGGTCCACACCGGTTAAGACCGGTTCACGTTAACCGGTTTTTTTGCGGTCTTAACATCTCAAAAATAAAAGACCGTAACCACAGGTCCGGTCTTTTGCGGTCTTGGTGGTTACGGTTTTTTTCCAGTCACGAGACCGGACTTCCAAACACTAAACCTCCAATTACTTGCCTCCTGTTCTACTCTCCTTCTATGGACACTTTGAAGTTCCTCCAGGTATACATATGATTCTCGTTTTTAGTTGATCCCCACTGAATTCATACATGTTACAATAGTCACTCTACCTCTAAATGTGGCAAAACCAAATTGGCATTGCCCCTAAAGTTGCAGCCCCCACTTTCGTCCCGCATGGCGGAGTAGAATTTTTTTTTAAATTGGTACACACTAAAAAACTTGTTGCTGCTGTTTTTTTTCTTCATATTTCCACACCATCGATTTGGAAACACCCAAAAACGCAACGATACCAATGAAGATTACATTATTTCATCGGAGTAGTAGGCGCGGATTGTTAGCCCAGAGGTTAAATTTTATTGGTAGCTTGACAGAAGTGCGTAACTCAGTTAAAGTGGTGCTGTGCGTCGGAGACATCTGTGACACTTTGTGTGGTTGAAGATTCGCTAGTGGCATCAGAAGACTTCAACGCAAGGACCTCCTTCCAATTAACCATCGCCACCTTCATCACCGTTGCCCATGTCCAAGGCTTGTTCGGATCCGGTTCCGAATTGAAATACTCCCAACCTGCTATCCCTCCGAATCGACTGTACTGCTGCAATAACTGCTGCACCGTTGACTTGACAGTATCCAACTCCACCCACCCATTGCCATTGTCTTTGTTCGTAAGGATGCCAGCTACTAACCTGCTTGGGTCCAATGGACAACCCGTTACAATGGCGTCGTAATCTGTCGTATCCTTCATCGACCCGAAGCCCGAGTAGAATTGAGTGTTATACCAGTCGATGGAATCGCCGTAATTCTTCTCAAGGTCGCTGTAGGTGATACCACTGAAAGGATCCTTCCCGCCTTTTAGCGCGCTAGCTACAGGGGCCAAGGTGATAATGAAATCTTCGCCAAAGTCCGACCTGAGTTTCTGGATGAGCTTTACGATATTGGCGAGGCTGTCGGGTTCTTCAATGTCGAGATCGAATCCATCGAGTCCGTGACTAGATAACAACGTGATCAAATCTCACTATCGTCCTCAAGTGCACATTGGGTATAAGAAAGACTTACTTTGTTATGCACGTTGAAAGCAGCTGGTAGTAATCGTCAAAGTCGCTAGCCAGATTTGCATACGATCCCGCAGCTGCTCCACCCAACATGCCCATCACCTTGACGCCGCTTTCCTGCATTTGTGCGACGTCAGCCCACATCTGCGTGAAGGTAGAGTCCTCGGGGGAGACATCGTTGAGGTGGATCAACTTGTTACCATCTTTATCGGCAAATAGGTGGAATGCAGCGACGATGAGATGGGTAACGACAGGTGTCAACGGCGTTGGGGAATAGTACTTGCCACCATGGTACTGTGTCTGATAATAGGCGACAACACGGTTTAAGGTAGAAGGTGCAGGCGGCATTGTCTTGAACAAGGGGGCATGCGTTGGAAAATGCACAGTTGTGACGATGTTAAATAGCTATGTTTTGTGATAAGCGACGAAGATCGTTATCTTGGACTATGCATCGTGTTTTCCCCAGAGGCCTCATGCACATGTCTAATAAGTGTGGGTTATGCGGGGAATGCATCTCGACGGCAATCTCCGTCTCAAGCTGGGCCTGAGGGCCATGGAAACTGAATTCAGCATATGGCCAGGGACCTTGCAGGACGTGTATTCAACTCTAAATTTATTGAAATCGTCGATTCGAACGTATTTGGCAGGGCTCTCGTCGGATCTGAGTCTGAGCGTTGTGATCGATGACGGTTGTAGCGCCCAGTGGTTTAGGTAAGTCGATGTGTCTGAGTGAGGCGGTGGTGATTATTGGCGACAATCCGAAAAGTTTAACCAGTTGAACGGCTGACGAATTTCAATATGAGCAAATTGTGAGGCAAGTGTCGTCATGAACGCGTACCAAATTGTTCAACAGAACTACCACGGCCGAGAATGACAATAGGTGTGTTTGCGTAACATGCACTCCGAAGACAACGGGGTATTTCTCAAGGCATATTTCTGGAGCCTCCGATCTCAGGGGCTGAGCGCTGCCGTCTGGACTGTCACGAGAACTTCTCCGGAACCCGGCTTGGGAATAGAAGCTAGATTCGACCTAAAGAACGACAAATGCTGTTGTGCAGACATGTTCTTCAATTGTGGGTTTACGGTTAACAATAACAAATGAGTTTAGTATTCTTAGATCTGAAAAATCGAGGTCTGTTGGGTAGTAAGCGTCGGCAATTGATAAGAAAAGGGGAAATGGGACGAACGTTTTTAATAATTGATTATCCATGCTGACAATCGAAAAATACTGAAGTCTCTCCAGCACCCACAGAACGTGAGTGTCGGCGAAAGATGGTATGGCTGAGATTCTAAACGTAATCCGAAAGCCTCGGTATATCATCTGGAAGGCGCGCAGATGACTGGATGGCGGCAACGAAGCGACTATAGAGGTAAGAGGACTAAGGTCAACAGGTTGAAAGATGTATTTGCGGCATGGTAGCATGTCTGTAATGTGGGTGTATCATCCTGAAGAGCATTGGCTAACTCCTCAATAATCTTTAGGAAGAGGCCATCTCTAGGTTGTTGTGGCGATACTCCCTATCTTGGGCGGATGCTGTCCACCGAACCACCATTCGGAACATCGACGTAGAGTTGGGTTGCTCCTCGGATGGGTGCAGTTTGGGAGAGGTGGTTATGAGTCAAATTCGTGACTTAGTGGAAACTAAACGGCAAGAGTAAGTATATGAGCCATCATGCATCAACGTCCGAACCTCCGTACCTTATCACCTCTACCTCCTCCGGTTCACTTCTTCGCTGTCAGGAGCCAGAATGCCCGCCATACCCCTCACAATTGCCCTCGTCGCCGTAACCTCCCTCTTCTCATCATCTCTGAGCCCTCCCCGTCATTCCGCAGTCCCGCTTGTTCTCACACTGCTATCGGCTAACCGCAACCCCCTCTCGACGGAGGAAAATGGGACACAGTGGGGGTGTAGCTTTTGCCGGGATGAGCGTGTCGAATATCATAGAACGGATGGGACTCGTTATTGTGCTTACCGAGGTGCCGTTCAGCTCTGAAGAGATCTGCACGAATCAAAGGTGGGTTTATGTCGCGAAGGTACGATTGAAAAGCCACCTACCTCATCATACCGCACTCGGGCCCTTCCTCAACGATGATCCTTATTGTCGTCTGATCGTGTCCGCGTCTACCGCGAACGTAAGTGATTCTTTCCCGCGATACTGTCGTCGCTGTTGAATACAGCCATAACATGTGCGTAGTTGGATTTACAGTCATCGCTGAGGTTCACGGGTGATAGGCGCGCAGAAACCGAGTCGTCTATGGAAATCTAAGTTGTATAAAAACCACGGGTTGAATAGCAAAGTCGGACAAACCATGCATAAAGACAAACCCAGCGTTTGGAAAATCAAGCATGATGGCGTCATGAAGGCGGCTGTCACCCTACTCGAGCCCCGTTATTGACGCGCCTGCACCACAAATTGGCAACCGTTTTCTCGTTTCATGGGGCATAGTGGAAAGCGGCATGGGAACAAGCGCGCATGGGGCTAAGTGCCCTCAGAGTCAAAGTGCCTTGAGACAAAGGCATATGGGCCCAGAGCACAAATAAGTACAATTATTTGACAGCTGAAAGCAGAACGATAGGCCATGCCAGATCTAGTGTTGCCGTCGAATCGAAGTGACTTCGAGGTGAGTTCGATTGGATTCGAAAATCACACGACTTCGATGCACTTCGAGCTACCGAAGTGAGTCGAAGTCCTTTCGTGATGGCCATCAAAAATCGCCAGAAATGGAAGTTTTCCGCACGTGAGGCGAGTTTATCATTGTCGCGTCCTCCGTCGCGTCTTCAGTCCCACCTCTTTCTTGAACTGTGGGGCTCGATGGCTCCTTTATATCGATGTCAACGTGCGCCGCTCCCTCGTCACTCCATTGTTGTCAACGCCGACCGCCGCAGAAGTAATCTCAACACCAATTCCGTGTGAAATGAGTCATGACAGTGAAAGAAAAACAAGCGGAGGAACGTGAAGATTAGAGCATTGCGCTGCGTGATGAACTCGAGAAGAATGAAGGCAAAATGTTCGAGACTTCAATTCAAAACATGGTTTTGACTGTTCCCTCTAATAAAATGCAACTTGAGTATCTAAAGATGGATGAATTTTGTGGTTTCACCACGGAACTCTGAAGATGACAGTACAGATGTTTAAAACTTTCCATTGTATCACGGTCTAAAGCTTAGATACTCTACTAGTACACTACCTTGGTGCGAGAGGCTTGACAATTGCTGATGATTTGATTGGCTGATCAATATCCGGCGACAACCGACTTCGATTCGATTCGATTCGACATCACGAAGTGGGGCGAAGTCAACACATTTCACCACTTCGATTCGATTCGATTCGCTTCGCGGCAACACTAGCCAGATCGACACATACATAGGGCGGACTCTCAACTTTTATTGTGGTACTAGCGTGACATCAATTCGGAGGTTGAAATTTAACACGTTGTGAGAACTCAGCGGCCCCAGCCATCACGTCGCTTTGAAATTTTGGGAGTCCGCCCTGAACATGTGTCGATCTGCCGTGGCCTATCGTTCTGCTTTCAGCTGGAATATTTCACTAAGTATAGGAATCGCACGTCACGCGTTACGCGTCACCACTGACAGTTTCTCTTGCTCCTTGACCCAAGCGTTGACCTCGACAGCGCCTTTGACTGGGCGAAAATAAGCACAACAAAGTTGGTTCGGAACTTCCAAGAGGGAGAAAGTGGGTCATTCGGGTGGCTACGGATATATTTCTTTTACGAAAAAAAAACGTGGACATGAATTTCTGTCTGTCTGTCACATCTTAGTCCATCTACAATCCATCTATCCATCTATCCATCTAACAAAGTGCATACCAAGCAACTCAGGTAAGTATCTAAATACCAACCTCGCCCGCTACTAATAAAGACAATGCTTCAAAGGGGGACATTAGCCTGACTAAATTGCAAAAGCTACCACCGGTGCCACGGCGGCAAAACACCCTCTTGAAAGGAAAAGCTCCGTATCAGTTCGGACACAATCAAAGAGACAGGACTCACCAAGCGCAGGTTTAGGTGGTTTCAATCTGACATGAGGATGTCCTGTCAAGGTGGTTGTGTTAAACGAACACGACCATCTACCCTTAGGCGTGACTGGGACCTTCTGAACATGAGGCAAACTGCTGCCTTTCCGCAGACGCTATATAACACAAAATAGTGGGGCTCCTCTCTCAACGCGGTTCCCTCATTCTCTAATTCCTTGTAGATCATGTTGAAAAACAGACGAACCCCGTCTTGGAAGCCAGAAGCTAACGACATTATCATTCCGTGTGTTACCGTCTCCAAATCCGCTTGGCGGCAGTCTAATATCGAATTTTGATCAGAATAATGGGCCCAACCGGTGCAGGAAAAAGCACAGTAAGAGCTCCATGCTTCAACAACCTTTCTCTCTGAGAATTTACGGCTCCAGTTCATCAATTTCATCGCAGGAAAGGACGTAACAACCGTCGGTCACGACCTCGAGTCATGCACGGCCACGATCCTCCCAGTCGTCATCCGAGACTCTTTACCAAGCGATTTTCCGGAGGGCAGAAGATTGGTGCTCGTGGACACCCCTGGATTTGGCGATACTCACCTCGATAACACCGTAATCTTGCAGTACATCGGTACCTGGCTCGAAACTATGTATGACTCCCAGAAAGGGGAGACGAAGCTCGCCGGTATTGTTTACCTCCACGACATATCATTGACACGCATGCTGGTTTCAACTGAGAAGAGCTTTGATATCTTTGAGAAACTGTGCGGGAAAGATGCTCTGAAGCGTGTGGTTCTCTGCACGACAAAGTGGTCGGACATCTACCAGGACGAGGGAGCGAAGCGGACTGAGCAGTTGGAAGAAAACCGCTGGAAGGAGATGATTTATGGCGGATCGACAGTTGCTAAATTCGAGGATTCTCAGGAATCTGCCTGGGGAGTGATTGCACCAATCATCGAGAAAGACCGATATGGAAAAATGGATGCTCTTGAAATACAACAGCAGCTGGTGATAGCAAAGAAACTTATTCCCGAAACCGAGGCGGGCCAGCAGCTGCGATATAGTCTCGACGGCTTGTTAAAACTCTTCAGACAAGCTTCTAGCAAGGATTCCTCTCGGCGCAAGGAGCTCGATGATCAAATCGCTGCCATCCGGGATTTCGCCAAGTCAGTGGATGTTCCTGTTACCCAACGCATCTTGAGATTGCTCGATTTTGTCGTCGACAAAGTTCGAGACATATTCATGCCATCTATGAACGTCTCCCTGGCTCTGTCACCCTCCAGAGGTAACAAACTCCTTGGTGAGTTTTTTAACGTGTTCGCTCATGAATCATAAGTACTCACTCACCTACCGAAGTGCCCGCCGTGGGCGCAAGGCTAGAAGCAGATGTTGAGAAGCTGGTCATGTGCGATCTCCATTCAAGTCCTTTGATCGTGTTACTTAACGACTTCATGCGCCAATCAGGTTGCTTGGCGAAACAGATCTCTTATACAAGAAAGTAAGTTGCTTGCCTGAGTTTTATGGAAGTAGACGGTGATGATGCGACTTCTAGCTGATCACGCTCTCCGATGCTGAAATAACTAATTTTGGCAGTGATAAACAGGCTACAACTGAAGTACGCTGTTGGTCTGTAACAAGGGAGGACTCCAAGCCTCTCTTTGTTGTCGCAGCTCCAAGCTTTGATTCTCACCAAGGCGGCGACTCCGCTATCTTTGAGAAGGTTAGGTCTTGGTTGAGCAGTTCGTGAGTTTTCACCTGCTTGTTGTTGACCGCTCTCTGATGCGATTCAGATGCCGCGAAGACATGATATTTGGCATCATTTACCTTCGTAGTCGGGTTCATCCACCATCCTCTGAACTAGGGGGGCGCGCGTTGGAGTTGGTCAAACAATCCGGTTTACAATCCAACATCCTCTTTGCATCTTTCGCCAGCGAAGCAACGGGTACAGTCAAGTACGGCTTCGACGGCAGTGTTGCTTCTCCTCAAGAAACCAGCGAACAAGCTTTGGAGATGTTCGACATTGCCCTTGGCAAACCCGTCAAACTTGACCTCCTGCTGGAAGAACTGCGGACCATCTCGGAAGTGGCCACCAACGGGAAAGGGAAGGGGTCGAAAAGCAGGTCCCGGGCCCTGATTTCGATAGGTCGCCGAGGTGCTTAGGCCAATCCGGGGTGTTGGAAAGACTGATGTACAACTAATGCTGGGTAGTTTTTACCATGGTCACTATTCAATATGGTATTTACCGTTTACTCATGTGCCAGCCAACTATACCAGTTCATTTTTTCCGCTCAACGCCCTCACCAGCATGGTCCGTGATCAGGTAGCGAGTTGAGGGGGTTCGTTTGTGGCGAAGACTTGAAATTCCTTGCACCTTTTGTCGACATCAACAGACATCACCTCATTTTAAATTCCATTCTCCCACCAAGACCCGGACATTCCATCCTTTCTAGGGTAAATTCATTCAAATCGCGCGGGTATGGTATCCCACCTACTCAAAAACATACATAAGACTCCGAAACCTGTTCAGTATATCAAGCAAAAAAAGAAAGAAAAACGGGGAAAGTCAAGAAAGAAAGAAAGATGGAGTTCATAAATAGAATCAAATCGAGAATCAAGTAGAAAGCATGTGTATAGAAAGCAAAAGGAGGAGAGAAAAGCTTGTCTTGTATCGTGTCGTTAGGGGAGGTGAGGTCTCGTGTTGGAGGGTGAGTGAGGTCTTGTGTTGTAGTTGGTTACTATCTTGCTGGAGGGTAGATTTCGTCTTGTCAAGGTGTCTTGTTGGAGAGAGGCAATTGTCGAGGGGAGTTTTCTCTCCTCTTATGAGGATAAGTCGTAACAGCGCCGAGCGTCAAGGTCATAGCATCATCACACCCCACCCCACCCCAACCCAACTCAAAGACTAACCCCAACCCCACCCACCAACCCCCACTGCACCTCCTGCCCCTGCCCCTGATCCCTCTTAAACACATCCTCATCCCCCCTCTCACCCCTAGTCCTAGCCCTCTGCTGCTGGGGAGGCGGACTCTGGCTCTGACTTGGGGTAGGCGACGTCGTAGACGCATACCCTCCTCCATTGGCTTCTTGTAATCGCGCACATTCCGCGCCTCCTTCTGATCTCACTAGCGTAAGGGGTCAGCTCGAGTTCGAGAATCACAGCAGAGAAAAGAAAACGGTAGAAGAGGAAGGAAGGAAGGGAGAAGACCAAGAAAGGAAGGGAGGGAGGAAAAGAGGAACGGAAGAAGGGAAAAGAAAAAAAACTCACGATGCCTATTAAGCGCATCCATCCTCGCAAACTGCTTATTACACCCATCGCACGTAAAAGGCCTATAATTCGTATGCAGCTGTTCATGCCGTTTACAATCATGTTGCCTCGCGAACCCTTTCCCGCATCCGGGCCAATGACACTGGAATGGTTTTTCTTCGTTGTGGGAGCGGATGTGGCCTGTGGGTGATGAGTTGATGTCAGTCATTGCCAGGGAAAGGAACAGGATGGAGAGGCAGGGGGGGAAAAAAAAAAAGGAGGGACGAGGAAAACGAAAAACGAGAACAACGAAAAACTCTATTTGCCAAGGAAAGGAACAAGGATGGAAAGGCAGGGGGGGGAAACGTAAAAGAAAAGAGGAAAAGAAGGCGGGTGAGGAACATGGAATGGAAGGGAAGGCGGGCGAGGAACAGGGAAGGGAGGGGAATAGGGAAGGCAGAGGTAATCGAAACCGAAACCGAAAACCGACCTTTCAAATTAAAACTCCTCGTAAACGTACTCCCACACCCCGGTATAGGACACACAAACGTCGCTTCCTGTTTCCTTCGTTTATGGCTCGCATTCGCCGTACGTCCCGTCGTCACGTTCGGTTTGCTCACTACCACTTGTCCCTGTCCTCCTCCTTGTCCACCTTGTCCTATTCCATCACCCAACCCAAGTTCCCCATCACCTCCATACCCCCGATCCCCAAACGCATCCCCCTGTTGTTGTTGTTGTGGTGGTGGTGGTTGTGAGCCCCCCCCAAACCCATACGAAATCCCAATCCGTCCACTCAACGCAACCTCCCCCTCATACCCCGCACTCGACGGAACAACCGGCAAATCATCATACCGTACCCTAGGCGACGCGTTCGGGCTCGGATACGGACTTACCCTCAACCCTCCACCTATCCCATTGGCGCCAACCCAGGACTCGGCCCCGCGCTCAGATCGAGAACCGGACGACGCTCGACGGTAGTGGCCTTTATTTGCGGAGCTTGGTGAGAGGGAGCGGAGGGGTGGGAGGGGGAGGGTATCATGCGATAAAAACGCGTTATTCGACCCAGGACCGCCACCACTCAAAGACGAAAGGAAATCGGAGGGAGGGGGGAACAGGAACCCACTTCCCCCTCCTGCTCCTCCTCCTCCTCCGCTCAACGAATGATGATGCCCATGTCCAAGCGGCTGATAATTCGGCGAAAGGTGCGTTTGGGACTGCGTGTGCGGAAGAAGATGTTGTGGCATAGGTGAAGACCTTATGTCTTCCGACCGACTCTGTCTATGATGCGATGGTCTCCCCGAATCGGATTTCGAGCGCCGGAGTTGAGAGGAGTCGGGGGACAGGAAGCCGCTTACCCCCGAGTTGGGGTTTGAGTTGGGGTTTGGATTGGAGGAACCACCACCGAAAGTGAAGTCGTTCATAGATTGTTGATGTGATGAACCCCCGCCGTATGTCTGCTGCGACCCAGGAAGTACGTCGTTCATGTTCACGGTTCCCCCATCTTCCCGCTGCTGTAAATCCAACTCAAGAGAGAGCGCGCTGCCTTCTTGTAATTGCTGCTGCTGTTGAAGGAACTCTGGGTCCCATGTAGGCGGTTCGAGTGCCGTGTCGGATTTACTACGCGTGCGGGGGTGGGCGGCGAACAGGAATGAGGTGTTGGTACCTCCTCCTGCTCCTGATGACGGTAGAAGGCCCAACCCACCACCAGCGTCATTGTTCAAAAGACGAGAGGACGAGGAAGGTTGTTGTGTGGCGCTGGCGCTAGTTGTGGTGTCCGTATGCGGGAAACGGAATGGGGAGTTTAGTCTTGAGTGAGGGGGTTCGTTGGTCGAAGATTGGTCCCAGTTTGATCTAAGTTCCGTACCTACTACTCCGTTAGTCACATTTTTAGAGGGAAGGAGATTTGCTTTGCCCACCCTGCAAGAGTGGCTCCAGCCGACTTTGAAAGGTAGGAACACCGACGGCGGCGTTAACGCCACCAGCGATAGGAGTAGCAGGTTCAATGTGCAGCTGGGGCCCGCCCATGACACCATCACCATCCGGTGCATTGATCGTCGGTGGCTCGTCGTACCCATCAGGCATGAATAAGCGCGGGGGCGACGGCGGTTTCTGCTGCAGCGGCGGTAGTGGATCCGTGCCCCAATTCGGGGACCTCACCGTCATATTTTCAAACGACTGAGCAACATCAAGACGGGGAGATGGCTGGAAATTCGTTGATTGATGGGTGTTGTTGTTATGTGCGGAAGAGACGGAGGAAGCACGGGAACGACGTTCGTTGGAATCGTCCCCATTGGAAGAGGGCGAGCTGTAGTCGTATGGACCACGATGGTGTTCCGCCGACGAGGCGCTGCTGTTCATGTACGTCGCGTATTCGTTATCGCTGTACATCAAAAGAGAAGATCCAGAGTGCGGGGCGTCGTAGTCGGTGGGATCGTATTCGAACGTGAGATTGTTGGCGGCGTTGTCGTCGTCGAAGAGGGTGAAATTGAGGTCTTCGCCGCCGACGAAGCTGAGCTCGGAGTTCCCGGAATAGGGAGAGTGGTGTGAGCCGTTGTAGGAGGGCGGAGATGTGATTGCAATGTTGTAATCGTCGTGAAAGGGCGATGAGTGATCGGGGGGTGGGGGCGAGGGGGGTATGAAGGATATTTCATTTATATACGGCGAACCTTGGTCAATAATTGAATCCATAGTGTCCAGGTAATTGTGGAAGGCTATGGAGAGGAGGCAATGCACTACACTACTTTAAACTCCGACCCCTTGTTTCATGCGATGTCGTTATTTTGCTCTTCCATCTACATCAAATATTCACCAACACCGTCCATGGCGATGCGAGCGTTGGGAGTCGGGACCAAGGTAGAATCAACCAGACATCAGCAGGACTTGCCAATTATCATCATTCGCGGCTTCCATCATGTTTCGGTGCTCATCGAACCTACTGATATTCCTGATGCAGTCCACGACACAGAAGGACGACGAAAATTCATCAACCGAAAAAACGGCGAGGTGTCGTCGACAAGCCTCCAATCAAGTGGAAGAGTCCAAGTGAGCTCTTTTGTGTTTCGTCAACAATCTGATGAATACTGGCGCAGGCGTCAACCGTACAGTCGTTTGAGAACTTGAACACGAAAGATGAGATAGAACGGCCAGGGGCCTTCGTCGAGGAACCAAATCCTTTGCTCAAACGGTGTGAGCTAATCTCAAGCTCGCATTCAATTCAATTCACGCACTCGGAAAAAAGTCCTTGTTTCCCATAATGTTACTCCACGCACAACGGTCGCCAGCACTTGCTCGACTCTTCAGAAACGCCTCAACCTACAGTCAAACTAACTGCATTGCTACTCGGAATCTGATAAACTGTATGGAACCCAAGGCATTCCATGCAAACAGCATACCCTTCTACAATATCCCTCCACGCAAGAGACCAGTTAAGTATCATCATTTGCGGCATGTTTCGGTACCATCGAAACCTATCTGATATTCTTGATGGCAAGTCCACGGAACCCAGCCGAAAATTAGTTGATTAGGTCGAAGAGTACAAGTCAGCCCAGGTTTTTTGTTTCGTCAACCATCTAATGATTAGGGGCGCTAAACGGCGACAAACCTCCAATTAAGTGGAAGAGTCCAAGTGAGCCCTTTTTTGTTTCGTCATCCATGATCCATCTGATGAATAGGCGCGCAGGCGTCAATCGTACAGTTGCTTGAAGATGGGATGATCCGCCACGAGAACGTTTGAAGGGCTCAGAACGGCAAGGGGGAACACAAGCATTCCCTCGTCGTTGACGCAGGTAGAGATCAAACCCTTTGCCCAATCGGCCCGAGTTGAAGAATCTTCGCAAACTCGCATTCAAGGCATTCACGCACTCGGAAGATTCTAGACTACTCAGAAACGACTCGACCTACAGTTGTCCTCGGGATTCTGACCGTTTCACAATTTAGACATTGAAACTGTGTGGAACACAAACATTATTGCAATGGTTACGCAGTTGTATGTAATGTTAGAATCTTGACCGTTCTACGAACTCTGCGATATTGCTCTGCACCATCGCCTCGCTGAATTACGGTACGGTGCAATTCTACTTCAACTTACAGACGTCTGGCTAGGCATTTGAACGCTGTGGGCTGGGCACTGGCACCTACTAATTCAAGCATTTCTTTACGCACGACGCGTCCCTGAACCTACCTCGACTGGTGCGACGCAATTTGATTTTCACGATGTCATGCAAAAATCTGAAAATCTGACTGTAATTCAGGCGTTTGAACTGTGTCATTCAGGCACTCAATTCACATATGGTGCCCCCGATCGCTGACAATTTGGCAAGGCCGTTATTCTTACCTAGGTGCGTTAGGGCAATCTTGTGTTAAAATTTCAACAGAATATCATGTCGGTCTGACATCTAGGTATTCAACTTGATCAGGCGGCCAATATATCCACCAAGGAACAGTCCTCCTTGCTCAGCGTAAAATAAGTCAACTGTCTGATCAATGGACGCGCTAGCGTCAATCTTCAAAAACTTGAACACAGAAGATGGGATAATCCGTCACGAGAGGATCCGGAACAAAATTTCCCTCGTTGAGTCGAAGTAGGAATGTTTTTTTTTTTTTCCTCAAACGGTGTGCCAAGTTTATCTTAAGCTCGCATTCAATTCATTCTTCTTTCTATGTAAAGTTTCTCCATGCCAGCGCTTGCTCAATTATTCAGAAACGCCTAGACCTACAGTCATACTGCAATGCTACTCGGAACCTGACCGTTTCGCGAATCTAGACATTTGAACTGTGCGGAACCCAAGGCATTATCGAAATCCACGCAAATAGCATTTTTATCGCCAACTAGCATGTTACCCGTGCTTCGCACGGAGTCTGAATATAGGCAAATGAATCTTTGACATTTCATAATCTAAGTTTACAAAAAACGTCCAGGTCATTCCTCTGACACATATATATCGCCTGAGTTCGCGTCAGAGGATTGATCTGCTTCGACGCGTTGGCGCTTCCGAGGAGGGCCTTGAGCCGGAGTCGGAGTGGCTGGCGTGGTAGGTGAAACAATGGTAGTTGTAATTGGTGTAGATGGTCTACCACGTTTGTAGTCGATCAGGCTTTTTCCACGACGCGGCGTCTTAAAGGGACCTAAGGGAACATCAATGAAACCGGAAAGTTGGGCAGGTAAATAGCACTTACTATCCAATGTATTCGGAATAGCTGTAGAAGTATTTTGCTGCCCCAAGAATGCAATATGATCAATTGAGACCATAAAACGCTCAACGATGTCTTCAGAATTTGGTTTATACATAACGTTTGTGAGGAAGCCAGAAATGGAGACATATCGACGATCAAAAGGCACAGGTCTCTTGCGATTCTGGTAGCGTGACGAAAATTCGCAAGTGAACGGTGCAATAGGTTTGATGCCAGTGGGTTTGGAGTTTGAATTGTTCAAGTCTCTGAAGGCGGAGATGTAATGTTCGACATCGAGTTTGAAAGTTTCAGACTCCTTGTGAACATTGGTCACTGGTCCAGAGAGGTGAACGTAAGCGCGTTGGCAGGGATCGATCTGGAAGTCCTGGCAATTGTTTTGAGTGCTGAGAGGAATTAACTAAATTCCAAATGCTGTTCAATTTGATATGACTCCGTGAAAAAATTAGAAACATCACCCATTGTAAATCACCAACAAAGTTATAGTCGGTAATGGAGCGCTGATCAACGCCGTTCTCCATGCGTGCAAACTAAAAGTTAAGGTGTTTGAGCATACATGAAGCTTACGCAAAATAAAGCACTTACAGTAGCATAAATGAGATAGAGAGCATTTTGGTGTTCGAACACCATGTCAGACGCATTGAAAAATCGCAAGCTCCCAAGCAAAGACTCGCAAGAGGGAGAGCCTACATAGATCTGGGCATCTAAGACCACTGTCTTGGTGCCGGGGAGGGCTCTTGGGTTTCCGAGGGCTGCAATCGCAGTGATAGTTGCGATGCCAGCTGCTGTGTCAGCTGAGGTGGGTGTTACAGACATAGTGAGAGCAATAATAGTGAGTGGACTTTCAATGAGAGAAAGGGGATGGTAATGAACCTACCATCGTTGTTGCCTCCTTTATCGTCACAGAACTTACTTCAGGACAACTTCACAAAAGCTTCAAGTGGGTTCCAGGAATTTCCTGATCCTTCGATCATGATCGCGACACGTTATGAATCATGTGACTAAAGTATTCGAACCAAACATTGAAGGCAAACAACTCGCCGCTGTGAGCTCATTTCTGAATCTAAGCTGGAAAGCAATGAATTATATTAAGACTTCATCATATACAACATTATATGCTAGAGGTTCTGTGCTGTTCTCCGGGAGAAGTATCTTAATATTGCGACTCGATGTGGCTCTTGAAAGAGCAACATACAGCTGACCATGAGCAAACACAGGGATGTGCAAGTTCAGGCCAACATATTGTACTGACTGGCCTTGAGCTTTATTTATGCTCAGTGCAAAAGCGAGTCGTACAGGAAACTGCCGTCTCTTGAATCGAAAAGTGACATCCGCTGATGATGCAGATGGGATCAATGAAACCCGGGGTATCAGTGCTACCTCGCCATCATGCTCGCCCCCAATCAATCGCACTTCCAAAACCCTATCACGCATTTGTGTTACAACCATGCGAGTCCCATTGCATAAGCCCCGAGAGGGTGCAAGATTTCGAAGAAGGATGACAGGGCAGCCAATCTTCAAGTTCAGTTCTCCGGGAGGGAGGCTCGATGAATGGAGAGAGCGAAGAAATTCATTCGGAATGGGGTCATCGTCCAGAGGATCAGCTCCAGCTTCTCGTATAAGCTCATCAGCACTAACATAATGGTGGATATCACCTGACATACATTCGAGATTTTTTTGATTTATGTCACCTACATCCGCATTGCGTGGTGCAAGGATCATCCGATTCAAAAAGTAGTCAGGTGGTGGTGGTGGTATAGAGTCAATGCCAGGATAAATAGAAGCAATGAGAGAATCTGAGTTGCCAACTCGCATGTGATCTGGAAAGCGGATCTGGTTGCTGGTGTTCATGTTCTGGCCATGTCCGACTTCGAGAAGCCATCGTGCGAATTCTTGAGCATCCAAATGTCCTTGGTCCAGTCGCATATTCTGATGTAGGCGTAAAATTTCGGCATGTTCCCAGAGAACAGAACACTGAATTGTGGCATCTACAATGTCCTCGCGGGATCCTCTCGGAACAACAGGCAATGTTTGGAGGAAATCACCACCCAGTACAGTGGTGATACCTCCAAATGGCTGGGGGTTGCCGCAAATATCACGAAGAGTACGATCCACAGCTTCAATAGCATGGCGATGTTGAGCCCCAATCTCGTCCCATATAATTGCCATGGTAGCACGCATAAGGTCAGCTCGTTGACTGTTCTTCTGGATACTGCAACTTGAGTGTTCATCCAATCCATCAATTGGGATCTTGAACACAGAATATGCAGTCCAACCACCACGGATGAGAAGGGCAGAAATTCCTGAAGAAGAAACACAGAGGATGATTTTGCCCTCACTTCGTAGCTTTGCACAGATGGTGTTGTAAACAAATGTCTTCCCAGTCCCTCCAGGCCCATTCAAAAAGAATATCCTTCCTTCATTATTCTCGACTGATGATATGATCTGATCATAAGCTCTCCGCTGATCAGCATTTAGGCAAGGAAGGCGAACCTCATGGTCAGCCCATTCTGTGTCTCGATTGTAGTTGAGCTGCTCAGCTATGAGGGGATTGATGGCAAACATGTTCCAGTTTTGTTGGGGTAGAGGCATTGACGGCCATTCAGCGAGCGAGCGACCTGAATCACGAAGTATATTGTCTAAGAGGTGGAGGCCGTAGTCATAAACATCATCATTGGATGGATTCTGGAATCCCATGGTGCGTAACTGGTGTGCGAGATCATCACAGATATGCTCCTTGAACTCATTCCACAGTAAATCGGGTTGTGATGGCTCTCCAAAAAGGAGCAAAGTTGTGAAAAGATAGCGAAGCCGTGTTCCAGTTTGCATCTCAGATGCCTCTTGAAGACAGAGTCTCCACTCTCCATCGTCCTGGAGGAGACCTCGTGCAAGACAGGCAGCATGGAAAGTGGGAAATGGATCATCACGGCCTGGAACCTTTCGAAGATCATCAAATGATGTGGCGCCTTTGACAACTGTAAGCAACAGGCGGAGGTAGTATATTTCTCCAGATGTCGGCTTGATAAAGTACATCCTCCCTAAAGCAAAGCCTTTCTGTCGAAGGACCCACTTCCGCTGATTCTGCTCATATCTGAAGTGCTGCGGAAACTCCTGATAGGTGTGTCTCCGAGCTTCTTCTCCAAGTCGACCTTGATCTTGGTTGGCTTCAAACCATGCAGTAAGAGTAGTGCGATGATTGACACCTCGTTGAAGGATGGTTTGAAGGTCATGGGTGGGATTGAATGTCACAACGTGATGATTTTCGAGATGGACTTGAAGGCGGACAACATTTGGAACTTGTTCATGGGTGGCAAAATGAAGGAGACGCCAGACAGCGTCAGGTGGAGAAATGTAACGTCCATCAATCCAACGTTTAACCTCGTCTTTCTGCCTAAGTTCTAGAGCACCACGATCAGGACCTTTATGAACATATTTGAAGGCATATTTGAATGTTCCAAGGGTGACCGCACATTCCATATTGATGTGGCAGTTGAATTCGGCACAGAGAAATGGTGGAAATGGCACTATCCAACGGTTATCGACCATCCTTCCATTGACCTCATAAGCTCGTCCATCGTCTGGCCGAAAATATAAAGGATAGCCGTGATGGTCCATCGTCGTAAATTCTTGGAAGGATTTCAGAAACCCCTTTGAACATATCTTGCTGCCCCGCCCATTGTCGACCATGCATGGCGCATTAGGATTCTCAGCACCGCAAGGCCCGTGTACCATGCACTTCTTGACTGTCTCGAAAAGGAGCGGCTGTATGTCGGGGTCAGGCCACCGTGCCCAGATGCATGAATCGATGGCTTCTGGGGTCAGGAGTTTGTCAGGGTCTCGAAGAAAGATGAGGCAATGCATATGGGGTAAGCCGCGCTTCTGAAATTCTATTGTATACACATAAGCGACGGCAGAACCGAAAACACCATGCTTGTAAATATAATCTAGCACTGTGTTCTTCTTCATTTCGAATACCCTAGCCACCAAATCAGGACGGTCGTATGCTGTCTGACTTGGAAAGAGCTCCCTTTCAATCTCTTCCCACCGAGGATTTGTTGTCATTGTGAGGAAGATGTCAACTTTTCGAAAGTAGCGGGCTATGGCCATCGAGTCCTGATAACACTGCCCAAGGTTCCGAGGCCCACCAATGTATGACGAAGGAAGAAACACCCGCTGGCCGATTTCATTGAGGTCAAGGTTATCGGGGTCATCCGCTGCCGCATCTTCAAGGTTGTTAAACCGAGCTGCTCTAAAAAGAGGCTGGTTCATCTCGATCCAGCGGAGTCTCTGCTGATCCACTGATGCAAACATGTCGACAACATAGCGGGTAAACAGGCGGCCACCACGAAGAAGTGTGTTGAATTCACGCGGACGGTATTGAATGCGATAGGCGACATAACGTGAGAGTGTGAGACGCCTCGTGGAGGCTTCGTTGGACTCATCAACGTGCAAACCACGGTCTCGTCTATGTTGGCGTCGCTGTTGACGATTCTGAAGACGATCGTTCTGCTGGTCCTCCGTTTCCCGAAGCTTCATCTCTGGATGCCAGCCATTCTCTCCATGAGGGAAAAGCAAAGGATATTGGAGAGGGACGTATGCTGGGTGGAGATCACTAATGCGGTAGAGAGGTCCATCTCGATGTCGAAGAATAATATCGCGAGGCTCTGTTGAGTTCGTGCCAGGGAGAATAACTGCAACTTCATCTGCCATTGGGACATTATATCTCCGGCGGTCAAGGCCAGGGCTAAGGCGAAGTCGAACATCAATATCATTGTTACTGTTGTAGTTCTGAAGGATTTGATATGCATGTCGATAGATGGGGACATATTGGTGGTAAGCTGTCAACATATCTTGCAAGGAGCGCATCACTTGACAATCCAGACCCTGATTCTGTTGCATGCGGGCATCCAGAGCAGCCCGCGGCTCATAGATATAGAGTTGAGCATACCGTGGTGGGCGTCCTTCAGAGGGGGCTAGAGCACCAGATCGATGGTGTAACTCTCCAGAAATGCGAAATACAGGAGGTCCTCGTCCACGGTTGACAGAGTGATCTTCTTCAACTCCTAATGATGTGAAGGCAAATGCTCGATTGTACTTCCATATCTCATCGCGAAACTTGATAGCATCACGGTCACTTGACGTGAGAAGGTGTTGAAGAGGTTGAGGCGCGTCTTCGAGAGGGGGTAGATGCACCTTCCCCGACAGGCAACATGTCCCAAATTTTGGCGACCGCTTCGAACTGTTTGAAAGCCTCTCATCCATCCAATGGAGTGCTCCACAGTAAGAACATGAAACGTTCATCTGTCCAAGATCATGGCGCTGGGAAGGTTCCACATATGGTCGACGGGCAATGCGAAAGAGGTCTCGACTGCGTTGTCGTCGACGCTGCTGGCTCTCCTGATGCCAAGATCCTAAAAAATCATTGTTGTTTGGCATTGCTAAGTGCATAAGGGGGCGAGCATACAACCCACCTTCTCCTTGGCGTGTTTGATCCATCTGCCACTGCGCAACTCTAACGTCGTCTCGTGATGGCTCTAGAATGGTAACAGAACCTGAATAAGAGCAAGTTCAATGTGTAGATAATCGAAAGTCTTTACCCAAATCCACAGGTCTATTCTCATTTTCTTCGACATCACCTCGCCTCTGCTCTGCACGACCATGAGGTTCATTGAAGCCTATGAGTTTGTCTATGAGACCTTAAAAGAGATATGAGGGATTATTATCTACCTCGATGATTGTTTGGCGGTTGCTGAGTTGCTGGGGGTGTTGGAGGTGTCGTAATTTCACCTGGTGGAGGGAAGCCTATGAATTTGTCAATCAGACCTAAAATATATATATATAAGGAGATATTAGTTACCTCGAAGATTGTTTGGTGGTTGCTGAGTTGCTGGGGGTGTTGGAGGTGTCGTAATTTCACCTGGTGGAGGGTCTGGTCTTCTGACGATTGCATCTGGCTGTGTACCTCCCGAAGGTGAAATGGGATTTGTCTGCTGTGCTGAACGCAGTGAGGGTACAGTGAGCAGACCAACGCGGTTGGCTGCTCTTTGTTGTCGTGGCTGGGTGGCACTGAGATCTGTTATGGGGACAGAAGTGGCAGAAACGGCCTGCTGTCTTGTAACTCGTTCACGTTCTTGCCGTTTCCGTTGTGCCAACGATCTCGCAGAAGGCGGTATCTGCCAATTCAAGGCAGAAACTACTGAGTTGCAGCCCGGCCGGCTGTCTGACAACCTCAGTTGTGTTAATGGAGGGGACAGGGGGCGATTTCGATGTGTAGAAGCTTGCAATACTGGGTGTCCATTAGCTATTTCAAACCGGGATTCCTTTCCAAAGAGTAGGACATTAATTTTTGAAGAAAATAGGGTTCAAAAAGTGTACCTGCGCCTGTGTGGTTTGGGTATACCGGGATAAACCAGGTTGCCAGTTTTCATCTTGCACTGCTGCTGGTCGTCGGCGGCGCGGTGAAGCCTGCAAGTCCTTTTCGCGAGTTGTCCGTCTTGATGCTCGAACATTGGACCGTATCCGTTCAACGTGCCCAGTAGTTGGTGTCGGTGTAACTGCTCGCGGAGCTGGGAGATGGCGGCGAGGGCTTTCATCAACAGTCTGGGTAGCGGAGGGATGTACTTGTCGAGCTTTCTCTTGGGTCCATTGAGGAGTGTTGAGCATATTTTGAGACCTAGAAAGTTTCTGGTCAGTACTGAGGAAGCTCTCATAACTAAGTAGGCGCACATATGATGAAAGGAGGGACTATGGAAAGTGAAGTAGACAGTGAAGCCAAGGGTCTGGCTCTGGCGGACATTGGTGAAGGTGCCGCATCCCACTGATGGCTCAGAAATTTGTAGAAATCCCTGGAAAACATTGTAGAAATTCCTGGAAAACATGACAGCAATGCGCACCATAATGCAACTCGGCCATCCGAACTAACTCGCTTTCAATTTTGAGTGGCCTGAGCATTCGAAGCCGTTTGAAGGTTGGACGTTGAAGGTTGGAACATCTGAGCCTGAAGGGTGCAGTAAAACATGGGTTCTTTATTGGTGTCTCTGTCAAGGCGCAACAGAAGGCGGCGAGGCGGCAATTCATGATGAGCTGAGTGTGATCGATGTGATCGCTGGGCGCTGATGAGTGATCAGCCAATCAGAACGCTCACTTAGCCCCTGTGAGAGTTTTCTCAAAGACCGATGTCGTTTATTATATTAGATACTTATCCCTCCGCGCAAAGCATAACTCACTTAAATACCTCGCAAACGGTATGAGGCAATTCACTCTAGTACACACTTTGAAACATCATGATCCGACCTCTGGGTCTGTTTTTTTTTTTTTTTTTTTTTTCAGGGCACCGTTTCTCCAAAACATCGATTCTCCATTCGTTTACGCCCAACCCCTCTCTGGCAAATGCGCCCTTATTTTCATCGACCCCCTCGGACACAAGACCCAGGGCCGGATTTGGATCATTTGATGGACAGTAGGCGTGCTGAGCGTCAATCTCACAAAACTCCTAGTCCTGTTTTTACCGCGCCCCCAAAACCGCGTCAGAAAATGTTTATGTAATCTTCGGACTTTGAATCCACGTCGCGTCAATATTCCCTCGTCTCCCCCGACTCTAGACGCGTTTATAGTTCCTCAACTCCTCTAAACAGTTCAAATCCAGTTTATTTCTCATTTAGAAGTTGATCTCCATGGAAGAGAGTCTTTGCGCCGTCCGATCATACAAGAAAACGCCCACCATCTAAGTTCCCGCAACACCTGACTTCATTTCAACCTTCCTATCGCAATCTGTAGCAAATTCTGGCACGGCGCCACCTGTTATATCTTCTCCTAAATCCCCTCTATCCTCATCACTTTTTGCCTCATTGTCACCTCTTGGCTCTCCCTTCAACACTCTTCGTGAATCCTCCAGTAAACCAAGGCTGATCCAAGCTCGACAAGATAAAACACAAAAGCAAGAAGCAAAATTCAGACAAATGGAAGAGATTTTAGGAAGTTACCTTCGAAGAATCCAAGAATTTTGCAGACGGCAACCGTTGGAGACCCAGGCTCGAGAGTTGCAGTGAGACCAACAATCGATATCAAAGAAGGAAAGCGACCACGTAGAAAAGATCCGATGGTCCCAAAGGCTAGACGAAAAGCGAGACCCCATTCGTTGATGAGATGGACTTCGTCGACGCATGCAAACAAGATGTTTGCTCGAAAAGCTGAATATTCAGTGATTTCTCTCCGCTCCTTGTCGCGCAGGTTCTCGGGATCCACGCAAATGACCTGCCATTCAATGCACTCACTAATTTCTCCTGACAAATGAATCCCAGCCATCCGCGCCGCGCTAAGAGTTTATTTTCAGTAGGAGAATGCAGAGATGTTTAGTCTTGAGCTTGAAAGTTCGTGAACCTAGGCCAAAAGTCATGAGCAGAACGAGGAAAACGACAAAGAAACGTACAATGTTATCGGCCAGCCCCTTTGTTGGTGTGATTACAACCCCGATTGGCTGATTCCGAGTTGGAAGTCCAACTAGATATGCCCCCGGATGTTTGTTATGCTCCTTGAGGATTGGGACTGAGAACGCCGCTGATTTTCCATCGCCAGTTGCAGTACAGCACGGCACGCTCTTTCCATCCAAAAGGGCAGAAACGAGCTCCAGTTGGATCGCATGCAGTCCGTTCGTCCAATCCGGTATGAGTTTCTTCACAATGTTGTTGATCGTATCAAGTCCTTGAGGGTCCTGCCAGCGGGGTTGTCGAGCCATCATTGAGTCATCATAACAGATTCTATGTCAGCCAAAATGTATAATATCAAGTTTGACGTGTATTGGAATAGAAACGCATGAGCTATCGCGTCGAGAGCAAACGGCAAGGACGCGATATTGACGCGACGCGGTTTCAAACTCCGAAGATTATATAAACTTTTTCTGACGCGGTTTTGGGGGCATGGTAAATAACAGACTTCATATTATCGTGAACAAAGGTACGACTTCACATAATATCGAAGTCTAGGAGAGACTACAAAACTCCATACATATTGCAAGTTGTCACGCAACTGGTGAGTCGAGGCAATTTGATTTTAGCGTTGGGATGTTGGAATCTGACTGTCTCGAATTCAGGCATTTGAATGACGTTGATTCAGGCAATCATTCTACTAGCTATGGCACCTCTAATTTTAAACCGCTGGCAACAAGGCAAGCCTAGGTTCGTTGGCGTGATGAATTGATATGTCTCAGTAGACGCTGAACTTGAAATTCATAGAATGGCTTTCTGACCCTCACTGAGTTAGACGTCAATGCAACGTTTCGGTGTTTAAGGGGGGTGTATTGGAAGAAGAGAAACTAGGATTGTACGATACGCTGCAGCGCCGGAATATACATCTACCTCTTCCTTGCCTCTTCCTCTCTACAGAGAAATATTAGCAATAATGAGGGTCGGAAATGTGTCTACTCTTTATCTACTAACCCGATGCAGAACAATGCGAGTATTCTTGACATGGCTGATGGTGTACGTTTTTTAATTTCCCGAAGAATATTTTTGAATACTAGTCCGGTGTGGAGACGGACTGACGCGGCGCCTGTGGATCGTCCAAGTATTTCGTTAACAATCTGCCAAGCCCTCTCCCGTGTGGGTGGATCGAAAACAATGCCATTGGTACTATTGTGTAGATGCCCGTTGTTGTGTGGGCCGTACCCGAGCTTTGTCAAGACGAGCGATGATTGACATCTAACGCTGGCAAGGAGCGACAGTGGCTCTGGTCTATCTATCGCTTGGGACTCCTCCAAAACTAAAAATCCACCAAAGTAAACATTGCCCTTGCGATTTCTTTCTGTTTTTCAGTAACAATAATAAATGCGGTAAGGAAATATGCTGACCTCTTTAACCAGGCGTCAACATATTTGAGTATCTTATTAGCACTGTCAGGTCTATCGCCATCGATCCCAGGTGTATCGAGGAGTGCGATAGTGGCCTTTGAGTCTGAGTGAGGAGGAGAAACCTCCACAAGCAACGGCCGTCGAGTCTCCCTCTCCGTCGAATGACCGACTCGCAGGGCATCATTTCCCGCCAAGGTGTTGATAAACTTAAGGGAACGTCAGTTTTCATCCAAATAATGTTGGATATATGGAGGTGCTTACCGAGCTCTTCCCCACTCCAATCCTTCCCAAAACACTGATAATAATAAAAAGGGTAAGAAATGGGTCGCAACGGTAACGGTAGAGGCGCACACTATCAGAGCTGTAGGTTGTTGAGCCTGTGCAGGCTGCGTCTTTGTATTTGACTTCTTCGCAGGTTGAGGTGACGGGTCCTTCGGCTTTGATTTTTTTTGCGGTTGCTGCAGCTGCGTCTTGGGCTTTGGTTTGGTCATGGGATGCGACTTCCCGTTGGTCTTGTGCTTCTGCGGGTGTTGCAGCTGCGTCTTGGGCTTTGATTTTGTCGTGGGATGCGACTTCCCGTGGGTGTTGGGCTTCGCTTTGTTCGCGTGTTGCGACTTCCCGTTGGTCTTGGACTTTGTCGTGGGGTGCAACTGCGCCTTCTTCTTTGTGGTTGCAGGCATCGAGTGATGGAATGAAGGAGGATCATAGATGGCTGCACTGGGTTTATTTGTACACGGTGGAGATACGGTGACCCGCCGCGTGTACCGACATGTCGGAAATTTCCCTGGCGCCCAATAAGGGTTATTAGGCACCCAACACTGAGGCCTAGCACCTTGACGTGCTTCTGGGCACTCAGAAAATCGAGGTCGCTGCTAGATCGCAATATTCTGTAGCTTGCGGCGCTCGTTCTTGGCTCGTTCCTCTCACTGGCTAGCGCCGTGATGACCCCGCCACTACATTTCAGCCGTCGTCCATCCCTATATCAGCCTGCTCGTTGGATGGCAAGATCCACCACATCAGTGTCCAATTACCGGATGCAACGATGATGCACACCTGGTCACCTATGAGCGCTATGGAAGGGGTGGCGGAAATGAGTACGGTCTGGGTAGTAACCCCACAATGCCAAGGTCACCTCGTGTAGATAAGATAAGATGAGATAAGAAATATTCTCTTTTTATTTTATTTTATTTTTCTAGCCTGCCATCACCACGACTCCTACACTCATCTCCGACCCCTCTACAACGGCTACGATATTCTTAACGCTTTTTAAGGGCTAAAGGAAGACAACGAACCCACGCAACCTCACAAACGATCATTGCCTTTTCACGAAAATGCCACCAAAAGCTAAACAGGAGGACAAGGTGATATCCCTCTCATCCCATCCCAGAGTGAGAATCTTAGGTGGAACAGTTTAAGTGAGGCCTTCTTTGTTTCGTCAACTGGCATCTTATGAATAGGCGCCCTGGGGCGTCAATCTTACAGTTGATTGAGAACTTAAACAGAGAAGATGGAATGATCCGTCACGAGAACGTTTGAAGCGTTCAGAACAGCCAGAGGGAAAACAAACATCCCCTCGTGGAGGTCAAATCCTTTGCCCAATCGGCGTGAGTGAATCTTTGCAAACTCGCATTCAATTCACTCACGCACTCGGAAGAGTCTCAGCTATCCAGAAACGACTGGACCTACAGTTGTACTGGAGAATCTGACCCATTCACAAATTCAGACATTTAAACTGCGTGAAACCCAGGCAATATTGAAATGGTTACACTCGCAGTTGTGGATGTCGACCACTGTTTCACGAACTATGCGATATTCCTCAATGTTTCTTTGCACTCAATTTTTGAAAATTATTTCTCATTGGAACGCAAAGTCGGGCTGGATTGGAAAATGAACGAAAAACCGGCACTACTACGCATTTCGGCTCTGAATTTTCTGTGGGTCACGAGTTGCTACTTCCTAGTTTTCTTAAAATTTACTTTTCCTGCACAGAATTAAAAAATTGCTCAGGAATGAATTCAACAGCTGCAACATACGCTTCCGAACACTCTGGTAGCTAACCTTTTGAAGGACCTACTGACGCGCGAAAACTTATTCTTGTTAGTGGCCAATTCAGCCAGCTGCCGGTCCATTTCGTCCAACTCCGCCTGTATGCACCTCTCCACCTCTCTGTCTTCTTCAGTCATACTGGCACCGTATCGATTCCGATTTCGGCTCACTTCCAGGATCTTACCCGCTTTCGTTTTGGGTACGGCCTTCCCTTCATCGACAACTTCTTTCTGGATTTGAAGCTCAAGCTCCTTTGTCGTCTTCTCGAGCTCATCAAGAATCAAACCGACCAGCTCTGAAGCGTGCTCCTCCGTCTCGATTCGATAAGTCCAAGACCCCGACTTCATCAAGTCTTTCCAATACATCGTCTCGAGCTGGCTGAATCGGCTTTCTGCTTGATCTCTTGGAGAACCGTGTGTTTTCTTTGCTCTCGTTGATTGCGGCCCAGCCGGAGACTCAGACGGAGGCCACTTTGTGGTTCCTAGAGCTATGCGTCGATATGCGGAATCGCCACATAGGCAAGAAAACACCTCTAAGCTCCTTTTTAACGAAATGCTCATTTTGGATTGCGTGATGTCATGAAGGTGAATAATTCCACCTAGACTTTGCTGTTTATTCTTGTAGCTGATTCGCAATTAAAACATGGTAAATCGCTAGGGATGCAGCCATCGGTTGACCTAGCACTCACGATCGCGCCAGCCAAATAGCAATACGCCGTAGAATTACAGCCTCGTGGCCTGCCGTGTCATCAAAGCCGGGTGTGTCGAGCAAGATAAGACGTTTGCCATTAAGAAGTGCCAGTCGACTCGGATCCAAACCCATTTTTTGGACATCAATGATGATAGGTTTGAGCTCCTTCGTCTCGGACTCCATGGTCGGTCCAACCTTTGCTTGGTCCTCCCCAGCGATCATGTTGATGAACTACGCACAAAATCATATAGCAGCTCCATTGAGTACCATGGCAGAAATCTCACAGTGCTTTTGCCCGCCCCTGTTGGACCCATAACACTGCAAGTTGTTGAAGTGGTTAGAAGGTACATATACAATTACTTTTTGCCACCCCAACTTACGGAATAATAATATCGGCTTCATCATTAGCGTCGCGGAAATCAGGATCCGAGCCGTCGGTCATTTTGGAATTGACTGTCGTCGACTCCGTGTCTTGCTTTGCGCAAGGTGGCGGAATGCTTTATGAAGCGTTGAACCAGAAAGAGTACACGGACTGTTCAGCAAGCGTTAAGGTAGGGGTTTGGCGAGTGCGTGAGTTGCAGGATCAATCAAATAGAGCAAGAACACGCACCACAAACGAGGATAACACAACAAGGCAACGTGCTCCACCTCAGTCCATTAATGTAACTCAGTAGACGCTGAAGTTAAGTTCATGAAATGGTCTTCTGACCACGCTCACCGAGCTGGACGTCAAATAAGACAAACTGGAATTGTAGGATATAGTCGCTAAAATTATGATCTACTACAATTTTACCGAACGCAGAATAATGCGAGAATTCTTGAAATGGCTGATGGTTGATGGCCTTTTTCTCGACGTGGACGTTTTTTTAATTCCTGCAGAATATTTTTGAAGACTACTCCGGTCTTGAGATGGACGGATGCGGCGCCTGTGGATCGTCCAAGTATCTCGTTGACAATCTCCCAAGCCCTCTCCCGTGTTGGCGGATCGAAAATAGTGCTATTGGCACTCTTGGGTAGATCCTCATTTTTGTTTGGGCTGTAGCCGGGCTTTGTCAAGACGAGCGAGAATTGACATCCAACAAGGAGCGACAGTGCCTCTGGACGCTGCTTCGCATGAGACTCCTCCAAAACTAGAAATCCGCCAAAATGAACATCGCCTTTGCGATTGCTTCCTGTCTTTCAGCAAGAATATATACGGGGAGGAGTTATGCTGACCTCTTTAACCAGCCGTTAAGATATCTAAGTACCTCATCAACAGGTCTATCGCCATCGATCCCAGGTGAATCGAGGAATGCGATAGTGTCCTCTGAGTTAGGACGAGAAATTTCCACGACCGACGACTGTCGAGTCTCCCTCTCCATTGAATGACCGACTCGCAGGTCATCATTTCCCGCCAAAGTGTTGATGAACTTGAGGAAACGTCAGCCTTCATCCAAAAATGTCGGACCACATTTAAAAAATGGCTTACCGAGCTCTTCCCCACTCCAACCCTTCCCAAAATACTGAAAAAAAGGTAAGAAATAGTCGGAACGGTAACGGTAGGGGCGCACACTATTAGGGCCTTTGTTGTAGGCTGAGGCTTCGTCTGCGTTTTCGTTGGTGCCTTTGTATTCGATTTCTTTGTAGGCTGAGGCAGCTCCTTTGTCTTTGATTTTTTCGTAGGTTTCGACTCTTCCTTCGTCTTTGATTTCTTCGGGGGTTGCTGCTGGGTCTTGGCCTTCGATTTTGTCGTGAGTTGCGCCTTCCCCTTGGTCGTGGATTGCGGAGTCGTGGGCTCTAACTGCACCGTCGTTTTTACGGTTGCAGACATCGAGTGATGGAATGAGGGAGGCTCGCAGATGGCTGCGCCGGATTTTGTTATATGGTGGAGATACAGTGACCCGCCTCGTGTCCAGACGGCGTTTGAAACTGTTGCTGTACTTAACCGCAAGCATTGTATGAATGGTCCTATATAAGGCACGGAAAGATCCGGAATGTCCACCAAACCCGCGGTGCAAATTGTTATCAGAGAAGATTGGGATGGCAATAAAAGAAGGTTTGCAAAACGCGAGGCTCGGGCGAGGACGCACGCCTGGAGATCTAAACAAATAGATGCAACCAAACATGACACGCGTTTGGCCGTGTTCAATCGTTCAAGCTCAAGCTCGACCACCAGGCTTCCAGGTTGCTTCTACAGTACCGACGCAACGTGGACGGCGTTTCGCTGATTACTTACGCCACAATCACTTCTGAAGGCCTCACCAGCAACGCTTGCTGCGACTTGATGGCCAATAATCCCCAATTCTTTCGCTTCAAAGTTGAAAGCGATTCAAAAGCGATTCGTACGAGTCATTCAAATTATATGATCATTTCTCTGAAATATTCTCATTTTTGCGCCTAAATGTTCTTTTGCGTTTGGACAAGGAGCCCCTTTGTTATAGCGAACGACTAAGCTTTAAGTTGGTTTCCATCCTACTTTCACGGCAATCCACCTCATGTCTACCGTGAGGACGACCTTAGGGTTACCAACATGTCGTATAAGTGCCAAGTTCCAGTATCAAGGGGACTCGCACCACCCGCAACTCCTTCCTCATTACAATGCTCAAGAATAGAAAGAAAAAATCCTGGCTTCAGCAGTGCAAAAAAGGAGATAGCCTAATGCAGGGAGGACTCCCCACCGACATCGTCATTCCGTAAGTTGGCTTTCATCATGACGCCGTCTACATTGATATCTAAATCTCTTTTTAGGATTATGGGTCCGACAGGTTCCGGTAAAAGTACTGTGAGCCGGGGTAACGATTGAGGCGAAGTATTGAACAAACATTATTTATCATGCAGTTTATCAACAATCTTGTTGGGGAAGATGTCGTGGCCGTCGGTCAAACCATGGAGTCTTGCACAATAGATATTACCCCCGTTGTCGTTGAAATTCCAAACAACCCATTTTTCAACGGGAGGCGTTTGATCGTTGTCGATACACCAGGTTTCGATGACACCAAGGGCAATGATTTAGAAATTTTGAGACGTATCGCGCTCTGGCTGGCATCCTCGTAAGGCAACCATAACCATCCAAGGACGCTATCCGTAACACCATTTTAGGTATGACGCAGGCATGAAGCTGGGCGGGGTCGTCTATCTTCACGACATAACCCAACCTCGTATGGTCCGTTCGACCCGCAATAACTTTTCCGTATTCAACAAGCTATGCGGAAAGGATGCGTTTACAAGCATCGTCCTCGGAACCACGAGATGGAGCGACATCTCTCCCAGAGAAGCGCAAAATCACCTTGAAGCTTTGTCCCAAACGGTTTGGAAAGACATGATTAAGCGGGGATCCATTGTCCAGCAGGTGGACAATACCAGGGTGTCGGCCTGGCTTACCTTGTATCTAATCCTAGGGAGGCTACAGGAGCAGCAAGGCACCACTATTGGCGGCAGCTTGGACAAATTCACGGTCCTCAAGATTCAAGAAGAGATCGTCAATTTCCAGAAAGCGGTCTCTAGTACCGAGGCTGGGCGGGCGTTGCGATCGGGACTTCAAGAGTTGCTTGTCGAACAGAAGCGCCTCAGAGACGCTGGTGAGGAGGACTTGGACGACATCAATGGGCGCATTGGGAAGACTCTACGACAACTGGATGATCTATGTCTACCGTTGCCTTCCTGCCGTAGATTTCTTAAAATCTTCGGGATCATAATCTACCTTGGCAAACAGGGTAGAAACGATTGTCATCAGGTGACGCTCATTGTGTATCTTGGCTACTGCTCCTGCTGAGTACATTTTAGAGAAATGGAGCGACCATTTCCGCGCCACCCGAGGTCGACTGGCATGTTGTTGAAGCACCTTTTCCAGGAAAGAGTACCGAACTCATCAGGAATTCTGGAGGGTACGTAAAGCCGCTATCACGGCCTGTATAGGTCTATCTAGGTAGCGTAGGTTCGGCTAGGTACCTCTCAACTTCCTGAAGTTATCCTCCTTCATTTCCGTTTCCTGCGTCTTATTTAATTTAGAAGGAGCAGTGAAAGGTTTCCTACTTGTTAAGCTCCTCGAACCTTTTCTTACTCCCCTTCGAATGTCCTTTGACGCTGTTGGTTCCTGGATGAAAAATTCGGCACGTTAAGTATGCACCTGAGTTGTTTTTGAGCCACGTACACCGCCAGTACGCCGGTAAGTAAGTAAACGCAATCAGTGCCAGTCTGATTCCCAATGAACATGGTCATAATTTGATTGTATGTTAGGTTCTTTGCATCGTGCCGCTCAACATCCACGCCTCGAGATCGGCTGAAAGCCTGACCCCCCTCTAGTTCAGCATTCAGTGAGACATTTTTCCATCGATTACCTCAATACCACGCGCTACTCTTCGTTCAACTCCAGCTGGCAGCTAGTCGCAAGGGATTTTAACTTGGAACACTGAGGATCTCCGGCAGAAGGAAGAAAGGTATGCAAAAAGCTCTTGTTGAGACGTCTGAGAGTTAGAGTAAATGTGTCAGGGATTAGACGAATGCATCCTAGAAGGTCTTCTACTTTTGAGGATCTGATTTCCTAAGAAGCGTAAGCGAGGAGGTTTTATTGAAGCCTGGAATTGTGGTATGGTCATATTCAAAATTGCGCAAAGCGGGAAGATCGAGGTGGCGGAACCCATCGGTGAGATTGAAAGCGTGAAGCATTATGGGGGTGCCACGGGAAAAAAGACCTGGAAACGTGCTGATGCGCAATACGAAACAACAAGAGGAGTGGGCACCGCGACAGTAGGCCCGCTGCCTTGTACACGAAGACGCCAGCTACAGGCTCAAATAAACGTCCCATTGTTCAGCTCCATAAGATGCGCTCGAGCAGCTGGAAGCTGGAGGAAATCGTCTTGAGAAACCTTAGAGCCCGTCTTCGAAGTGTGGGTGCCCGAAAACTGTAAAAAGTCGATCGTCACGGTCGCCGAGAATACTGTGGAGGGACCGATCCCGTAGAATGAAGATCATGTGGACTGGAACAACTGGAAGGTTTATAGTAATATTCCTCTAAGTCCGAAAAACAGGAAGACGTGATTCTGAAGAATAACTATCGTGACGTGTGCCGAAGCATAGCCCATTGATGATATAGGGTCGACAGGGAAGTATGTAGACCACCACCCGGGGTTGGTGCGTGCGATATGTGGGAGGTAAGTTGACGAATATCTCCTACTTATCCAGAGGCATTCTTTGGGCTGAGAGGCCAATGCAAGGTAAGGATCAATGTTTTGAACCCGCCTGTCGCGCTCGTTTCAGGCAAACGGCTGTAATCTCAACGTTCAATCTTCCGAAGAAGGAGTGGAGAACTTTCTAGTCTCTTGGTCCGAGGCAAATCGCATGATGGTGGAGGGCTGAAGTCCGGCTAGAACCAGGTCCACGCCTGACACGTGCCACTAGAGTCCACGGGTCCTCCAGCGTCCAGGAATCAATCGCAGCGATCAGCACGTCTCTTACACTCATCTCCGACCCCCTCTGCAACGGCTGCGATATCCTCAAGTTTTTTTACAGGTTAAAGGGCGACGACGAACCACAGAATTTAACAGACGATCACCGAAAATGCCACCAAAAGCTAAACAGGCGTCAGGCTCGAGTAACAAGGTCAAAGAGGACAAGGTGATATCCTTCTCATGCCATCCCAGAATGAATATCTCACTCACCGACGATCCGTATAGACTTTTGGGATGAAAAATGTCAGTTTTCACCCTACGCAAAAGTTAAAATTTGCGTCTGACTCAAGACGCACGAGCACAGAAAAACAAATCCGCAAAAGTCAAAGCAGAGGTAGCCAAGCTGCAGGCGCAAGCCGCCATGACAGGCAAATCGCGCGAAACCGTAGAAAAGGAGAAAGAGAAAGCCTTGCGCGCAAAGGAGAAACTCGAGGAGGAGAAGCGGGCCAAGGAGGAAGCGGCCCTGCTGAAGCCCGTACAGACGCAGAAGGTGCCGTTCGGTGTTGACCCAAAGACGGTGCTGTGCGCGTTTTATAAGGCTGGTAACTGTGAGAAGGGGAACAAGTGCAAGTTCAGTCACGATGTGAATGTAGGGAGGAAGGTGGAGAAGAAGAACTTGTATGCGGATAGCCGGGAGGAGAAGCTGGAGGATACGATGGAAAATTGGGACGAGGAAAAGTTGAGAAGCGTCGTGCTCTCGAAAGCGGGCAACCCACGAACTACGACTGATGTGAGTTTTGTCCTTGTCTTTCCTTCCTCGAGGTTTCTATTCACCGTATGCCAGATCGTATGCAAACACTTTATCCAAGCCATCGAGTCACAAAAATTCGGGTGGTTCTGGGAGTGCCCTAATGGCGAGAACTGCCAGTACCGCCATGCACTACCGCCAGGCTTCGTCCTGAAATCGCAGAAGAAAGCTGCCGAGGATGCGGCCAAGGCGAAGGTCATAAGTCTGGAAGAGTTCTTGGAGGTCGAGGTCCGTCATGACCAATGACCCCCGATAAACTCCGTTTGCTGAGTTTTTTTTTACAGCGACATAAACTGGGGACCAATCTCACACCTGTGACACCTGAAACGTTTGCGAAATGGAAGAAGACACGCATGGACAAGAAGGAGGCTGAGGCTGAAGCGCTGAAGAGGGCAAAGGAGACTCAAAACACAGCAGGCAAGAGCAGCGGCATGAGTGGAAGAGACCTGGTACGTTCATTTACTTGGCCTACATATCTACATGGTATGCTGACTGCCCTTGCCAACAGTTCCAATACAACCCAGAATGGTTCGAAGACGAAGACGAGGGTGACGCCTCGGATGACTGGGATCTCTCGAAGTACAGACGCGAGAAAGAAGCAGAGGATTTGGCTGCGGAGGAACTCCGGATCGCTAGCCTAGGTTTTCAGGACGGATTCCTTAACGGTGAAGCGGCAGGAAGTGGTGGCGGCAGGGAGTGAGCACGAGCCCATTTAGCATATGGCGATCACTGCCAACATCATCGATGAGATCCTCATCATCATAAGTGCCACTCAACCAACCATGGGTGGTTACGACGCTCCCATATTTTCGAGAAACGGAAATGATGTACAATCGATTTATCGCATTGACTCCTAAATAATAAGGAATTCTAGCACAGTGGTATTTTGAGCCCTACATGTCGGTAACATACAATCAGTCATCGTCTTCTTCGCCGCTGCCGTAGTCCCCTAGATTGAGGCCCGTCGTCAGAGGCCGTGGGGGTGCTTTGGGCTGAGGAGGCACAAAGCCATTACGTTTTCGAATCTCGGCAAAGTACTTCAGACCCTCCAATGTATCCGCACTTAATAGCCCCATCGACTGCGGTTGCGGATCTTCTCGTGGAGGTGGAGGTGGTGACAATGATTGTTCGAGATGGGGTGATCCAGGCTCGATCTCCAGTCTTCTTCTCTTCGCTCCAGGTTCGGCGCCTTCATCGGCATCCTGCATGTCCTCATCGTCGAGGATATCGCCGTCCTCCAGTGCTCGCACAGACCTCATGGCATCAACGACGCGGGGGTCCATACGAGCTCTGATCGCTTCCTGGCCCAAGTCCTCCAACCTCCTCTTCTCCGCGACCTGTTGGACGGGATTTGGGTCCTCCGTCGCCCAACGAACGTTAAGAATCTCGTCGTTGTCCAGAGACTGACATGCCATGGCCTCCTTGGCGAATTGCGCATGGAACTCGGACACGTAGGTCACGAAAGCGACACTGCGGTATTGCAGTACGCGGACTGGAAAGGAAGATGAGGCGTCAGAAACTGCTCTCAATGCCACGTCGTTCGTAATGACTCACTCCTCTCAATCTTCCCCCACTCCCTGAAATGCCTCGTCACCACCTCCTCCGTCTCCTGTCCATTCCCAGTCTCCTTGATCCGCCCAACATACAGCGTCCGGTTCTGCCGGTTAAAGCTTCCAACACCGCCCATATCATCACGATAGTCCGCAAACTTGTCTCGCGCAAAACAGTCTTTTGAACTGTCAGGCATCGAATCGTCGGGATCAGGTAGAGTATGCCGATACTCGCATTCCCAACCGTAGGGACAGCACCCTCGCGAGAAGAAGAGGCAAATGTATTTCATCCCAGTTGTATTGGCTCGGGTGAGCCCTTGGTCGCGCTTGATGTTGCATCTCGATTGCGACTTCGTTTTACTTCATCTCCATGTCAGTATCTGGTCGTTTTGAAAACAAATGAACGAAATACTTCGAATAGCTATCTTCCCTATCACCCCCTGCCCATTTGTTATACCAGATATCTGAGTGCCAACCAAGTCAGAATGCAGTCCTGAATTTCCTAGAAGCGGTGAACGCACTGTACTCTTTGCCTGTCTGTGGTGTTTCACTTTTGACAACGTCGCCCGGCTTCACCTGCTTTCTCGCAGGCTTGAGCCTCTTTTTTGAGATCTTGGCGACGGGGGCGACGTCGAGCTGAGGTTCTATATCATCGGAGGTCATTGTGGTTGAGACAAGGTTGAGAGGCAGAGAAGTCCGTCACCTGTCACGTCACGTCACACCATCCTTTCCATCTTGTTTGCTATTTCCTTCAAATTTTCTCAGATACTTGGGTTTCCATAACGTCGCTTTTTGAGGTTGCTCCTTCTCAAAATTTGGTGGGTCCCGCCTCAGATTCACCGACACCCTTGCGATACCCCGTTTCTCTGCCTCCCAAGGCCCCAAACGTCCTCACACGTTCACTTCGATCCAGTGCGTGCTTGACTACCATACAAGATTAGGGTGGCGCACGATCTGCACAAAGTTAACCCTAAACCAAACAACTCACTTTACATCGAACCAAGGACAACAATCTTGGACGCAGATCTCGGATATATTCTCGTTTCCTTCCTGGTAGCTACTGCCTTCATCATGGATGGCCTTTCTCGCAGGTTCCGCATTTTTCGTTTATCGCCCTTTGCTTCGATCCTCGGAACAGAATTCCAAACGACCTTTCCCGCATGAACCCCGTGACCAGCTGTGGGCCAAATGTGAACGCTCTTGCGATTGTGACCGGTCCAATCTGTCTGTGTAGTGATACCCCCTTCGATACATATCCGTGACACGCGAGCGCTTCCGCCCGAAGCAGTCCAAGACACCACCCTCGTGCCATAAAATCCTCGCCATAAAAGCGGGTAACCTGCTCTAAACGCCTCCTGCCCACCCTCATCTATTTTTCCCTGCATGCTGCGCAACAACATCTCCACTCAGCTGAGCTCCCTGACTGACTGGTCCGTCCAACATATTCAGGACATCTTTGAGTCCATCAGCGACGAAGCCGCATTGCGCGCAGTCGAGAACACATTTTCAGACGATTTAATCGCGACTGTCAATGGCGCCCGAATAAACAAACGAGGGATCAAACAACTTGTCCTCGCTCTGCGTCAGTCAGCCTCTCGATGTGGGCTCAATGTGTACTGGCAGCACGCTGTTGAAGCGTCTCGAGATCCGACGACCAACCGAGTAAGTTGAAATATTTTTCTGAGAGTCAATTTTATTTATTCTATCATGATCCAGGATGGATCATTCGGCGGCGTATATATCATTCGTGGTATACAAAAGGTACTTCCAGGAAACACGTACCCGACTGAGTTTGAGAGGCATAAAACTGTAACAGCTACGTGAGGTTTCAAGGTTGTGTAAGACGGGAAGGCATTGATTCACCCTCACGATAGCATTGAATCCCAGTCGCCAGACTCAGCAATAGACAGTCGCAAAATCGTCAATCTCGTATTCGTCGCATTAGACGTGCGAGTAGATCGTCAGTCGGCATTGTAGAAAAAATGGCGCATGGAAAGGGCGTGGAAAGCGTAACTTTGGATTAAGTAACGGAAAATGTGCCATCCCTACTTCGGAAAATCAAAAACACCCTAGGGTGCTGAACGGCCCACAACCTACCAAAAAAATCAAAAGAGCAGTTCCGTCGTTCATTAGACTCCCTGGGTCTGGAATAACCTACAAAGCATGGTGTCTTACTTCCACTAGCTGTACTCCAATCCACGGCGAGATGGGTGGACGACGGACATGTTAGGTCAATATGCAAATCCACCTGGATGGAAGAGGGTTTCATGTTTTCACTTGAGGCGAGCGGAATATATGTTGGATCATGTGAAATGATGTGATGCATCAAATAACGCAAGGTCGGAAGCTGAGTCTGCTGAGACAAACAAGACATCTTGAAGACATCTTCAACAAGCAAATGGCTAGCAGATTTGATCCATATCAACGCCGAAAAAACCCAATCCGCGATTTATACACAGGCCAAAGGCGGCTGACACCCGACGAGAACGACTCTACGCCGAGCGAATTTGAAGTTGTCAACCATGATGGGCAAAATCCGCCGACCAAGTTCGAGGTCTGGGTCACTGCCCTATGGAAGGACTTTGTAACCAACTCTCCGACGGTTGGATGGGTCGCAACACACCTTGTTTTGCACTGTCCCAACACGAGGTCTGAAGTGCACAAGGTTCTAGACTGGCTTCTCGACGAGCAAACCGTACCTGAAATTCGCAAAATGGAATGATTCATATGTCAGGAAGAGCGCCGACGTGACTTTGACGTCGGTCCGAGTCTGAGCCTCCCTCACGATATTCTACAACTGATCGTGGTCCATCATTGCTCTTACTTCTAAGGCTACGCTATTGCTATTGAAGTGGTCACATCTAATTGCTTCGTTCCTGGAGGATGCGCGTTTTTTGACGGGGGACAACGAGGCAAGGATGGAGTACATTGGTTGGAACTCGCACAATCATCAGATAAGACAGCACTTTGTCTGGGATAGGGAAAGCTTGAATCACACGTCCTTGCCGAAGTCGAGCCAAAAGTGGTGTCAAGAACTTTACCGGCTGACGGAAGCGTGACTAGCCGAAGACTTGGAGATACTAGCGCAGGCTCTCGGCCAAGCAATGCCTTTCAGGTGGGCGTTAGACTGGAGGTCGACAAGCGTTTTTTTTGGGCTCTGATACGAATCTGCATCCATGGAATGGCCAGAGATCACAGTTCGACGTGATTCGAAGACAATAAAGGCCCTAGGCTTTCCAAGCCTGAGGCCTCCTATCGGATTCAGAAGATCCCCCGCTTCTTGATCTTCACTTAGCTCCTTCATCTTGTGAACGTCGTTGGCATTGAATTGATAGGATGCAGTGCGCACCCCACTTATGGGTTCCTCCATGAATAAACAGGGGTTGTCCAGTTCAAGGGGGTCATTGAAATTTGGAAGGAGAAGAAGGCGAATGGAGGCGGCTGATCCGGAGGAACGGCGCGACGTGTGGCATCGCGGCGCACTCGCTCTTTGGCGATATGAGGAAGCGCCATACGAATAAAATGGAACTCAACTGAAATGCGTTACCGTCTAGCTTCGTCCAGAAGTCGTGGAAAAGTAGCGGAGGACGTATCCAAGCAGAAATTTTGACTCAAAAGATGGAAAATTTCATTTGATTTTTGCACACGATTTTGGCTGGATCCTTTACAGGGACGAAACGGGGATGGGTCTTAGGTAGTGGCGCCTGAAACATTTGCAAGATGGGGAAGACACGGAGGAAAGGCCGAGGTGCGCCTCCATAACACAATTTGCATTGAAATAATCAGTGGGTTGAGTTAGGAACGCGTTTGCGAAATTTCGAACCTGAATCATTAAAAGAAAAGCGCCGGTAAAATTTTGTTCGTGCGCTACAAACAGGAAGGTTTTTGTTCTGGACGCCAGATATTTTTTGTGGTAGGTGTTTGAGCACTTTGATGTCTCTTTCAAGTTTGACCACGTGTTAGACCACCGGGTCAAGTCGTTGAGGGAAAAATACAAAAATCAAGGTGACGATGTTGGGGAAGGCTATTTTTGAAATAGCTCGGCTCAACACACAGATAGAGTGGAGACGCATTGAACCTGAACATTTGACACCACGTTCAACAACGTTTTAGCAATATCTCAAACGCCGACTCCACTGTCCATTCTGTGTGATACGAGAACCTGCCTCCCGCGATTGACGCTCCGAGTCAGAAACAATCTTGAAACTGAAGAATTAGAAGCTGATGATAGCCTCAAGATAGCCTGATGCAGAGCAAACGGATAAAGCGGCTTCAATTTGTCCATCAGACAGGAAAACGTAGAACCTACTATGAAAGCTGGGGCCTGTTAATGAAGTTGAGGAGGTAGAGGCATAGGTAACTTACCTTCGTCGAATCGCTTATTTCTCAAAGAAGTTCGGTTTTCAAGGGCTGGGGACCAGCAAGGGAATATGATGGCCGTACGTATGCATGGAAATAAACCATTTACTGTAATGGCAATGGACTCACAGTTTCACTCCTTGCCAGATGCCTTATTGTCTGCTACGACGATGCCAAGCCATAGCAAACCTCCTGAGTCCCCGGGGTTGAATTTGATTCTTTCCGTGTCGCCTGAAGTTGAAGGGATGGGCCGGCGAATTCTCAGGCTTTGTACTCCTGACTTCAAGTTGGCCTCGTTTTCCACTTATTTCCAGACATGCCAGCAGGTTTTCTTTGAGGTGCGTCTCAGCGCTCAGCTTTTCAATGCTCGTCCCTGTTTATGGCGATCTCCGTTGTATTCTGCTGTGCTGATGTGCCAGCCCCAACTGAGCTACCTGACTACTACACAACTTGAAACGACACAAACTCGGCGCCAATATTTCCGCCTCCGACCCTCTAGCCGCGCTTGGACTCTGGAAGCGAGCTCGAAGGATCCAAGTCGACTCGGAGCCGACAGGCGTACACATGTCTTCATTTCGAAGGTATGATGGAAGAACCTGCCACACGTATGTAAGTCACCATTGCATCGTCCACGTTCTTTGGACAACTTGAGTACAGGGTGGAGCGCACCTGAATCCTTTAATCCCTGAAGATTGCATAGCATCGTATTCAATATGGCGCCCATCCGATCTTTGAATGTGCATACATACGTATCAGCTCATTCCAGGCACCCCTAACTCGGAGCCCACAGAAGCGCTGCCAAAAATACTTCACATTGTATTTATTCCCGTCTGTGGCTGTCTGTGGTACATGTGGTTCTCCACCCTGGAATGCTTCTTTTAATTTCGGGAAGGTGCCGAGAACTAGCCAGAATCCGTAAGGGCTACCAGGTATAAAGGCATACGTCTCGAATGCAACCCCTGCAACCCCTCTCACTGGCGTCTTAGATCAGAGACAAGACAACACCCCTACATCAAGCTTCGTCTACACCCCCAGGCCGACATACCGCAATGCCCTTCTCAATGCGCAACGTTAAATCCATCTTCATCCCCGTCTCCAGCTCCACGTCCGTAAACCTTTATCCCTCCCCTTCCATCACGCCATCCGATGCTACAGTCGTCGACGTGAGAGACAGTCTGTCCCAAGGCTTTGGGACTATTTCCTTCCAAGCCAAGCCACCGAGGCCTCGACGAGAGCCCTCCTATACGTATGTCACAATACCCAGCGTACCCGGGGTAAGTAGTCACTAGTGCCGAGCGTTGAGTGCGAGATAAGAGAACTGACCCTATGTCCAATTTCAGTATTGTTTTTGAATTAAAGGCAACTCATATTCACACCTTGCGGGTCAACGAGGGCTTCAAGCTTTGAAGCCCTCTTTCTAGATGGAGCCAAGGCTTCGTTCGTTATGTGGGAATCCCGCATGACATTTGTTCCTGTGGCATCATTAAGACCGACACTTCACTTTCGCGCAGCGAATGTACCTACTATCCTTCACATTATATTTCACTTGTATTCCGCTTGTATTCACCAACCCTTCAATGATGTCATGTTCCATATTCTTGCAAATGCGACCAAGTATCAGACATTGTCTCTAATTGCGAGCAACCACCCACCATCATAACAAAAAAAAGGAACCTCCAAATGAAGTTCTTAATCGCGGTCGCCGCTCGCCGAAGGATCAAGAAACAACGAGCGAAATCCGAGTCTGCGCAATCCACGTCGGATCCGCAAGCAGAGAATCAGGCAAAGGGGGAGGGGGAGGACGTAGAAAGTTCAATAGGAGTCGAGAACCATCAGACAGGGGCAAAGAGCGCTGGAGAGGGGTCTCAGGCGCCGGGAGAGACAAAGAATGCCAAAATGGCTCGTCAAGATGGCAGGCGAAAGCGAGAGGGACCCATCAGAAAGTTGATGCATGGGATGGTAGATAAAAGCACCAAGGCTCAAGACAGTTGATTCCATAGGGAGGGCGGTATAAACTGTGGGCAGTCGAGGAATCGAGGGAGGGCGGGCCAGGTTTGCTTGTTGTCAATGAACATGCCTGTCACTATTATCATCGTTGGAAAGGGGAAGACGAAAGAGGGTGCAAGATTTTTACTCAATGAAAGGATAAATCTTCTCAAGGCCGTCCGGGTCCGTGGCAATATGGGCCCCTTAAGCTTGAAAGCTTGACACTTGGTACTTTCGGACAACTTTTGAATGTCATCAGAACCCCCCCACTGAAACGACGAGCAAAGAATCACTCACTCATGGAGATTCAATACAACCCATACCAAGCCAACTTCGTCCGTGTCCCGATCATTTGTAGCCGCCTCTACAACGATGTCATGGCGCCTCTCACCCCGTTCTACTGCCGCAATAACTTCACGCGCCGACGGACGCAACAGATGAGCATCGTCTCCTTGGTGAATAAGGCCGGGGATGTTAGCGGTGCCGATACGTTGCGACTTATTCGTTTGAAAACGCTGCCACGTTGCGCCGTCCTCCAGCGGTCGTTGGTAGTTGGGTATACAGAATCTTCATACGCTATGGACTCGCAGCTTCAAGCGTTCGTTCCGGCGCATAGTAAAAAGTGAACGATATGGAAGATGAACGGGCCATGAATGAAGATCTTAAACCACTTCGACAGATTTGGAGTGTAGTGAAGGTCGAGTTGAAAGGGTTGGATGTATGTATATGGTGTCCTGTTGAAGACTTGAACGTTGCAACGTTGATGTAAAATTTGGTCTCCGCAACCAATCCGCAACCCGACAACAAGATATCCACATCACTCTCCTCCCGCTTATCCCTACACTTCTCTTTAATCCATGCCTCGCCCGACTTCCAATACTCAACCACCGCAGCCCCATACCATAATCTCTGTACGAAGTACCCATACCCCATATACTCCAAAACCTTTGCAACCTCATCTCGATTTCTAACCTGTGCCGCCATCATCAGTGACACCTCTTGAAGACAAGCCCATGCTTCCTGGTCTGTATCAGCACTGAAGAAAATTCCAGTGGGAAGGAATGCTTGTCGGATGTACGCTCAACTCCGCGTACTTCCACGCGTCTTCAACAGTCGCCAACGCGTCTTGAAGTTGCTGTGGTGATAATGCGCCCAGGGCGGTGCTCTGCCCACTGCTCAGTCGTGTCCAGGGCGACCCCAAGGAACCCGAGGGGCCGGGCATGGACGAGTGTCGGCGGAACACCTCTCTTTTACGTCCCTCGCCACAGAAACAATCCTTCTCTGCTCATTCGACGTTCTCGTCGCAGTTGAGTGTCTTTAGCTGCGGGATCCTTCGCATTGACACGGAATCGAGAGTCGTTCCTGGGCCAAGTTTGCTCGTTGTCAATGAACGTGACTGCCATTATCATTGTTGTGGTCAAAGGGCCCTAAGAACGTACTCGGATCCCTTATTCAATGAAAGCATAAGCTTCGCAAGGCCCTTCGGGCCCACAGTCATTTAGGCCGGCCCCTTGAAGCTTGCCATTTTACGAACGAATGTTTTCAGGACCGTCCTATCCGGCCTCTTGCCGCGAACCGCAAGCTGAACCCCCTCTCGCGTCGAAGTCACATATTACCCACTTTTGCAGACGTGAGAGCGCGCCCCTCACTTTGAGGCTCTGGTTACTGTTCATAACACAGGAAGGGCGCTCCTCATGCTTTGCGCTGTCCTCCGGCGGTCGTGGCTACTGGCGTAAAATTTTCAAACAGTACAGGCCTACAGCTTCAAGGATTCGACCCAGTGTATGGTGGGAGGTGAACTGTGTTGGAGGTGGAAGACGGACGGTTCATCATGAACACGCCCTCCGATGGGGAGGGACAGACTCGGAGAGTGAAGGTCCAAATTGGAGGGATTGGAAGTGCACGATATCCCTCTCCTGCTCGCTTTCTTCCCCTGTTGTATCGGGGCCGTTTTGGGGAACGTGGGGCTCAATACCCTCGGTGGGAGTGTAGGCGTCATATTGGGACACGGCGTCCCAAGGGCCATTAGGATGGGGAAGAGCTCATGTTCGTTCTGCAGAAAACGAAAGACCGTGACATTGGTATCCTTGTGACTGTGTACGTTCGACGGAGATTTATACCGGAGGTCGACAAGCGCTTTCCTTGTGGGCTCCAGTAAACGTTACATTTATGGCATGGGTGGAGATCACAATCGACGTGAATCGAAGACAATAATATCGGCGTGCATGGCACTTCCAATCCGTCCCTGTTTGGAACAAGTTTGGAAATGAATCATGCACTCCAAATTGAATATGAACTCAACAAGTTACAAACGTCCAAGGCTGATGCCTAAGGCCTCAGGCCTCAACGTTCAACATTTTCAATTTCGACCCACTTCGATCAGGATGTCTATTCTGGACGTGAAGCCGAGAGGAGGTGCTATGTACCAGTGGCTGGATCATGTGATGCATCGAAATAATGTCGCATTGAACTGAGACACGAACAAGACACTTCAGCTTCAACAAGCAAATGGCTAGCAAATTCAATCCATATCAACGCCGAAAAACCCCAATCCGTGATTTATACACAGCCCAAAGGCGACTTACACCCGACGAGGACGACCCTACGCCGAGCGAGTTTGAAGTTGTCAATCATGATGGGATTGAAGATGCACCAAGCAAGTTCGAAGTCTGTGACATTGCCACGGCATGGAAGGACTTTGTAACCAACTCTCCGATAGTTGGATGGCTCGCAACACACCTTGTTTTGCACAACACGAGGTCTGAAGTGTACAAGGTTTTAGACAGGCTTCTCGACGAGCAAACCGTACCTGAAATTCGCGCAATGGCAGGGCTGGACCAAACCTCCAAAGACTCACATGATAGATACTTGTATCCGCTACGTGAGACGCCGCCGCTTATTCGTCATGAACAAGGTTTCAAGAAAAGCTCAAATTTCATCTTCTCGCTAAATAACCGGTGGGAAGACTTTATTGTGGGGGGCGAGGATATCTGCATGTGCAGCTGCATCTTCTCAGCACTTGTTACAGCGCAAGTTCCCCCGTATACTTTCCCTTGCTCGTTAACATATCAAAATTTTAGGTTCATTGGCGTATATCATGTTGCTCTTTATATCGATCCGTGGGAACCTTCGGCCTTTCCTCATTTTCTTGTTGGTTGGTCCACGGTCTTTGCTTTAAACGGAGTGGCTTCCTCGCTCGCGATTTGGCCTACATATAGAGGTATGGAGAAATTTTTGTACGCGGTCGAATGGCCGTTTGTGAGTACCATGCCACTTGGAGAAACACGCTTATTCATATAGTGTAGAAAATTCAACCAAAAAATCCCGCTTTTAGAGGATTGTGGTGGGGAGTTGACCTACTTGATTTGCCAGCTTTCTGGGTGACGTGGTAAGCATCTTATATCGAAATTCCACCATTCATGACTTACATCATGCAGGTCCTGGATTTTTGGTGTGACAGGCATGATATTCTTACCCCTGTGTGAATGGCTACTCTCAGTTTCCAGGCCAGACACCCCCCCACCACAATCGACAGACCCGACTTTATTGAATGTCATTTTCCCTATCATCAACCGATGGCTCATATATCTCTGTGTGGCTTTCAACCTTGCGCATGTCCATTGTACCTTGTCCACGCTGAATGGTGACTTTCGCGACATGCGGAATTCTTGGGAGCGCAGAAAGGATCGAATGGAGGCCGGAGAGGACCCATTTGGATCACCATCCACTTCCAGCAAGTGACATGCACGATATAGAAATAATAAGAAAAGGTGAAACGATCAAGAAGCTTGCAGTAATAGTGTCATTCAATAATAATAATAAAGAACACCATCTTTAAGCGGAACACGTTGACTGAAATCTGCTCACATTTTTTGGTTCACTTCCTCTGGAAAAGCGGGACTTGATCGCGGCGCACTGGTTCTTTGACAATATCGGCTAATATTTTTATGAATTGAATGGAACACAACTGAAATTTGCCACCGTCTAGCTTCGTCCGGAAGTCGTGGAAAAATGGCGGATGATGTACCCAAGCAGATTGTTCAACCCAAAAGATTGAGGTCTTCATTTGATCCTTGGTTTCCAATATACCATGTTGACCTAATCCTGAACAGGGATGGCCCAGCTTCACTCCGGTAGTGGCACTTGAAGCATTTTCAAGATGGGAGAAGAACCTGAACGATCAAAAGAAAAGCGCCGGTAAAAATTCGATCGTGCGCTGGTAAAGGAGGACGGTTTTTGACGTTATACGCCGGATAATTTTTGTGGTCGAGGTTTGAGCACTTCGATGTCGCTTTCAAATCTGACCACGTATTAGATCGTGGCCGGGTCGGATCGGTGAGGGATGCGCATTGAGATATCTTGACTTTGAAAGCGGCCGCGGTTATTTGTGAAGTAAGTTTCATGAGTACAGAACGCTTTCGGCGACAGCGTTCAGTTTGGCTGATGTGGCGAAGACCTCTCAAAAGATAATTCTAGTTAAGAATACGAGGAAAAAGTAATCACAAATGCCAAGGTGCGCGCCTCACAAGATTTTTTATTGTGATGCGAGGAGTTCTGACATTTCCTCCAAGGATAGATGCCCCCGTTACAAAGATTCCCCTTCAGTGACATCAGCACTTGTCCTGGGGCGGTCGAGGATTCGTTAACCGGTACACCTCTCCCATTGAGCCCCTCGATGACCTCGTTCATGGTGGCTGGGCCAATTACCCTCTTACTCCTCCAGCTCTCCAAGATCTGTTATCGCCATGAGCTTCTTTCCGGAATTACAACACGGAAAGCAGAAGGATACATAGTACCTGTTTGGTGCCGACGAGCTTGGGTAACCCCTGCCTTCCCTCCGGCATTGCCAATTCCACCATCTTGAGGGTGACGTAGACTACGTACAACCCACATGTGGGACCACTCCCACCGCCACCGGCTGCCGCTGCGCTTGTACTTGGTTGAGAGGAAGAGGTGACATTCGAGCTCTTTGAGCATGCGATACGAGGAGACACGTTCCACATAATAAATCGAGGAGATTAGTAGAGGGCGTTAATCCAGGAGTTTATCAAGCCCTAGATCATTCGTCATTAGTACTTATCACTGTTGTACATGGAAGAAGAGGGAAAGCGTACCTTTTGACGTTCCTCAACGATACTACTGTACTAATACGACCAACTGTTCAGGCCCTTTGGGGTGTGACACCTTTTGACCATCTCTTCGTCACTTCATTGTCCTGTGTGATGCGTGATGAAGAGTTTTTGCTCTTCGTCCACCACATATTTCTCAGACGGTTTGGCCCAGCAACCTGTCAATTTTTTAGCTGGGTATAACATGGTTCTAAATATGCCAAATGTGATGTTTAAAACAAAGCACCGCAGGTCCGGAACAAAATGACTATTTTTAATTCAAAAAAAAAACTCTTCAAAACTTGGTGTGATGCGTGACATCACGCCTACTTCCCTTCCTTCACAACCCTTTGTGATGCGTGACGTGAAGACGTGGTCGTATTAGTACAGTATCCCGTAGATCCTCACTGCAGCCTGGGAAATGCTTCACTGCGAATCCGACGACCTTTTGGAACAATTGGTTGAATGCATCAGTTAGAAGGGGGAGTACTGAATGCGTTGAGTCGTCTAAACAAAGGCTCTTGACTCTTTTCCATTACTACCGGGTAAATAGTAGTTGAAGACTTGACAATCGAGTCCTTCGACGTTGATGCGTGATGGTTGAGTAAAATACTTGATGGCACGCCAAGCAAACCTGACCTCAACCCAACCTCAACCACCACGAGCTCGTCAGCATCAGGCTTCAGTATGGTTCGATGCTCATGGATCATGGATCATGGTTTGCCATCTAGGCATTGCTTTTACTGAGATATCAGGGGGACGACTCCTGAACTGAAGGTAAGTATGTCAAACTCATAATTCGAAGTATGAGCATCTTTTATTGGGTTTCGCAGGTTCGTTGCTGCAACTTCAACTTCAACGCTGGAGGAACGGCGGCATTGCGTTCTCATTCTTTCAATTTGAGTCGCCATCTCAGAACTGGGAACGATCGTTGACGAACGAGTTCCAAGCACGCCGCTCCATCTTCAACTGTAATGACGCTTCAACTGCCAGCAAGTCTGCCCCCTTCTCGCATCCTCAACAACTATGGCTGCGGCCTCTTCTCAGCCGCTAATAACCTTTATTTTCCTTCGACACTTGATCTCGCACGCGGAGTAAATCCGAACCGGTTGTCGTTGGAGTCCAGACAGCGGCAGGAAAACAATGCACACTCTAGCCAAAGGGGGAAATGGACGACCTCAATGGAAGGCAGCGGCGGGTTTCTCTAGGTCTCCCCGATTCGTCGCATCCCCGTCGGTCAAAATCAAGGTTGGAATCGGGTCGTCCCTCCCACTGTAGAAAATCTCGCCTAAAAGACACCAGCTCTTCGTCCATCGCACAGCGCCACCTCCCGTAGTTTCAGGCTCGCCTCACGCTGAGCTACCACCCCCTGCACACGAGCACCACCAATGCCTTGCATCACCAACACAAATACTTAGCACCAGGTCCCTATTCCGCCCTCTTGCCCATTTCTTTCCGCGCCTCCGCGGCCGCCTGTCGGGGCTACATACGGCGGGATACCCCCATGGTCTCAACGAATATACCCTTGGAAGGAGTACCTGGTGATGCGATGGGAATCACCAACGATTGCCACAGCAGATCATCACGTGACTCCTCAATTGTCCTTTGAGCGACTGCATCGCTTACACCTTTCCTTCAACCCTACTGTCTTGTATACACCGATTCCTTTCGAATGGTATTGTTTCAAGGTCAATTCGAAGCATGGATTACCCTAGATAGGTCCGATGGAGCGAAGAGGGAAGAATACGCTATTGAGGTTGACGAACAAAGGAAACTGGTGACTTGTTGGATCGCGTCTGAAGTGGGGAAGGTACGTCTCTCATCCCTTCTTCAATCTGCCATTCTCGCTAGATAATCTTTCCAGACGTTTCAGGTTTGCTGGAAGTCTTTAACGCCAATTTCATATCACTGTCAAGGGGAGCTTTTTTTGATGGCCACTGGCTCTCGGGCATAGTCTGCCTTCCGCATGACAATTTTTCAACAGTCGTACACCACAACTACCTGACTTCATCAACAACTGCGCGGCCCTTTATGTTCCCGTCGCTTGAGCTCACAGGTTTGGCTCCTGCTACCATAATCTTTCGACTACTGATGACCAATAGACGATGATGTATATCTCTCAACCAATTACGCCAAAGATATTGGGGAGATCCGACTGACACTCAAACAAGTCAGACCTGGCGAAATGACGGTACCCTGTCCATGTCAGCAGTTGGACCTACCCCCCATGGACAGAAAGATTCATGAACGCTCAAAGCAAATGATGGCACACAGGATCGGGTTAGTGGCTTGCGATCCATCTCCCCTTCACTGACCGTTTCATTTCAAGGTTCGGGGAGGAAATAGTCACGTCTCCTTTGACCAAATGGCAGAAAACATCCTACATTGAGACACTTGTAACCTTCGTGTTCAAATACAGAAATCTCGGCAAGTTGTATTCGACCTATCTGGCGACAGCCACGGATCTGATCTCTGCTTTTTGTCTAGCTATGCTCCAAGCAAATGGCGTTGTTCAGTCATCGCCCGACTCTCGACTTCAAGCCCCCGAGCCCCCGAGGAGGGCACCCAAACGTTCATTAGAGCAGGAAGATGGTCAAGACAGCGAGGAGGACGGGGACGATGAGGACGACGACGACGATGAGGAGGAGGAGAAAGCCTTGCTGGTGAGCGCATTTCCTTAACACCCCCTCATTACGCCAGCGAAGTATTCATTTTCCATCATACTCCAGGCCAAGCTTGCGGAAGTTCGTGCTAGGCGCGGGAACAGGGATACACAGCGTCCACGGAAGAAAGTAAAGATGGAAGATACACCCGTCGAGATGAACTACAACAATTCGCCTGGAAGCATCATTGATCTCACATAGGTATCAGTCGGAAGACTTCAAAGTCACGGAAGGCTGACTTTCTTAACCAAATAATGCAATGACATATAGTACGGTCATGTCAGCCCCCTTCTTCGATTCTACTTTGTCTTTGAGTGTTGATCTGGACCCAGACCTCTTTAACAGCTATGGACAATATTTCACTGAAAGAATACCACTCCTGATCTATCTGATACCCTGTTTGTCGGCCTATACTATCACTGTTGGTTTTATGTGATGCCCCTTTGACTCTTTCGTTGACTGTTAAGAGTTGCTCAGGCAGAGGCAAACACGTGTGAAGGTTTGAAGACAATGTGGCTTCAAGATTGCGTGCGGTTTAGACGCGGTATTGCGCCTTGCAGCGTGAGCCCGAGTGAGCATCGAGCGAGCTTCTCGAGGCTTGGCATTCGTCATCTGACACCATCCAAGTATAAAGTTGATAGATAGATTCCTAAGCACGCGTCAGTGGCTTATCAACCCATCAGGATGTTTGTGCTAGCCACCAAACTGACGAATCGTGAGGAAACATCTGGGAACATAAGTAGCCTCAAAACGTGGTGATGTCCTTACCTTCATCCACTACTACTTTTCAAACTCACGCAACTGCACTGTTTAGCGAAAAGCTATGGCCACACAACAGAAAGCTCTTTTAGTTCTGGCAAAGTTTGCCGACTTCGTCGTTGGATCCAAGGCAATTCCCAAGCCAGGGCCCGGAGAGCTTTTGGTCAAAATCCGCTCGACCGCGCTTAACCCAGTCGATTGGAAGATCCACAAATATGGTATTTTTGTTGAGGAGTTCCCCGCAGTCCTTGGGTCGGACCTTGCAGGAGACGTTGTGGAGGTTGGGGAAGGCGTTACCGCTTTTGCAAAGGGAGATAGAGTGTGCGTCATCTTCTGTCTACTTCGGCAGCTGCGTATTGACAACACCGCATGTAGCTTCGCTCAAGGTCAATACAAGCCGGATTGGGCAAGTTTCCAGCAGTACGCGAAGACCAACGCAGCTACCACAAGCAAGGTTCGCTTTTGAACGCATCTTAATTTTCCGATTTATCAATTCTTATTTGTTAGATCCCTTCGAAATTCTCATACGACGATGTCGCAACTCTTCCTGTCTCGCTTTCAGTAGCGTACGCAGGCCTCTACGGCAATAAGGGACTTGGTGCGGCTTTTGACGCACCTGCCTCTGTGTCGGCCATTGGCAAGTACGTCGACACACCTCTGGTCGTTTTGGGAGGCTCCAGCAGCGTCGGGCGATACGGTTAGTTAATCCTCGCCCTCTAGTCGTGCATTCGTCTTTCTTACACAATATCCAGTCATTCAGCTTGCCAAATATTCTGGTTTCCATCCCATCATCACCACCTCCTCCCTCAAACATGCTGACGAGCTCAAATCCCTTGGTGCGACACACGTCATCGACCGCAACGCGTCTGTTGTTGCAGAAGTCAGAAAGCTGACTGACAAGCCCATCTCGATCGTGTTCGATGCCGTCTCGAGTGCGGATACCCAACAGGCAGGCGTCGACGTCTTGGCGGCTGGAGGGAAGCTCATCACAGTGACGCCTGTTAGTGTGAAAGCGGAGGATAAGGAGATCATCTACGTTGTGGGATCGGCGTCGCTGCACCCCGAGCTCTTGACATCCCTTTATGGCAAGGATTTGTATGAATTCTTGGAGCGAGGCGTTCTCAAGGTATGTTTACAACCGTGGTGATTCTAGGACAATGATTTATTCACAATTTTTTATCTCTCAGCCCAGCAACCATGAAATCATTGGCGGACTGGCAGCAATCCCTGAGGGTCTAAACAGGTTGCAGAATAACCAAGTGTCGAATACGAAGCTCGTTGCTCACCCACAAGATTAAAGGAATTCTCATTTTGAGTTGTAGATTAAATTTGTATTTCGAATTACGATGATGATTTGAGGTTGGATGATGAATCAATGACAAGGTTTGATGAGGCTTGGCGGAAAGTTGATAAGATCTAGAGTTGAAAAGGCTTGGCGGAAAGTTGTCTCCTCCAATTCTCCTCAGGCTTCCGACTCAACTCAGTCACTGTTCAGCGCTCAGCGTCTGTTAAGATGATGCCATCGGCCGAAACTCGACAAGCAGCTGGGAGAAAACCCTTGAACATTCTGAACATTCCTTCTTCCTAACAACCCATCTGATTGCGTTGACGTTGGACATGGCCACCGAACAGAAAGCGCTCTTACTCCCAGCAACGTTCGCGGATTTCGTGGTCGGAACCAAATCGATTCCCAAGCCAGGTCCTGGAGAGCTCCTGGTCAAAGTCCACTCAACGTCGCTCAACCCAGTTGACTGGAAGATCCATAAGTATGGCTTTCTTGTTGAAAACTTCCCGGCCGTCCTTGGGATTGATCTTGCAGGAGATGTGGAAGAGGTCGGAGAAGGTGTCACTGCCTTTGTGAAGGGAGACAGAGTGTACGTCGGTTTTTTCCCCCTTTGCTAGCAGCTGCCCATTATGTTGCGAATGCAGTTTCGCGCAGGGTCAGTACAAGCCGGAATGGGCGAGTTTCCAGCAATACACCAAGACCGTTGCTATTTCCACAAGCAAGGTATAACTCCTGATATTCTTACAATCATGCTCTTCTAACGTTTGTCGGCTAGATCCCCTCTAAATTCTGTTATGACGATGCCGCGACTATTCCCGGTGCCCTCACAGCTGCGTACTTGAGCCTCTACGGTAATAGGCCACACGGCGCAGGTTTAGATGTACCAGTTACTCCAACCGCCGTTGGCAAATACGCCGGCACACCTCTGATCGTGCTAGGAGGATCAAGCAGTGTTGGTCAATATAGTATGTCAACCCTCCGTCCCTTGCCGTTATACACATCGTTCACACAGCCATCAGTAATCCAATTTGCCAAGTACTCTGGCTTCTCTCCCATCATCGCCACCACTTCCCTCAACCACGCCGATTACCTCAAGACCATTGGTGCAACACACATCATCGACCGCAATGCTCACCTCGCGGAAGAAGTCAAGAAGGTCACTGACAAGCCTATCACGATTGTGCTAGATGCCATCTCGGTCGCCGATACCCAGCAGGCGGGCATTGAGGTTTTGGCGGTTGGTGGCACGCTCATCACAGTTTTGCCCGCTACCGTGAAAGCAGAGGACAAGGAGATTATCTCTATCGTGGGGTCATCGGCGTTGCATCCTGAACTCCTGGCATCTCTTTATGGGAAGGAGATCTTCGGGTTCTTGGATCGGGGTGTTATCAAGGTGTGTCCTATCGCCATAGTAGAATGGAAATTCACTCATGAAAGTCATCTTCTAGCCAAACCGTTACGAGGTTATTGGCGGTCTCGCAGCTATCCCTGAAGGATTGGGCCGCTTGCAGAATAATCAAGTATCGGGCACGAAGCTTATCGCTCACCCACAAGATTGAAGGGTTCCGCAATTTGTCAACGCTGAGTGATACGGCTGTGTGCTTATAGATCCATGCTGTATATTGAATTCTGATGTGTTTGGCCACTGGCGTCGCACGCAAACATATTTTGTCTCTTCTACAGGTTTGTGCCCAGTCTCATCATCCCGGAAAAGTATGACGAACACAGACGGCTAAAAATACTATCTTGGCAACCGCTGAGCTGCGCAAGGGCGCTCGTTCAATGCTGATTAATGGAGGTCCGTTCGTCAGCTCTGCCGACGGCTTACTTACCCAACAGCCTCGATGTTCCAGATCTATAAATACTAGACTTTGTTAAACACACCCACAAGAACATGTCCGGACTACAGAAAGCTCTCGTTCTCCAGTCCAAATTCGGAGAATTCGCTGTTGGATCTACGCCCATTCCCAAGCCGGGTCCTGGAGAACTCCTCGTCAAAGTCCAAACAGCAGCGCTCAACCCCATAGATTGGAAGGTTCAAAAATATGGTGTTTACATTGTAGAATACCCAGCTGTCCTTGGACTGAATATTGCTGGAGATGTGGAGGAAGTAGGGGAGGGTGTCACCAATTTCTCAAAGGGAGACCGGGTGTGAGTTCGTTTTAAATTCATCGCTGCCGCTAAGGAATAAACAACAACTCACCCATTCCCCAGCCTCTCCCAGGGAACGTACGAACCAGGTTGGTCTGCATTCCAGCAGTATACCAAGACAAATGCGACAACGACGACTAAGGTAACATTTAGGGACTTTTGCGATGGGTCGCGGTGCTCACCTTCTGCATTTAGATCCCAGCTCATATCTCCTACGACGAAGGTTCAACTTTTCCTGCCACGCTCTCAGCTGCCTACGCTGGCCTCTACGGCCCAAAGGGTCATGGCGTAGGGCTTGACCCGCCAATCACAGAGTCCGCCATCGGGAAGTACGCAAACACACCTATCGTCATTCTCGGCGGCGGGAGTTGTACTGGACAATTTGGTACGGGTTTATGACGACAGCCTCATAATTTGTTCTTATTTGAATCCTTCAGCCATTCAACTTGCTAAACTCTCCGGATTGTCTCCAATAATCACCACCGCCTCACTCAAACACACCAACTCGCTTAAATCCCTGGGCGCTACAAATGTCATCGATCGCAATGCTCCCCTGTTAGATGAAGTCAGGAAGATTACAGATCAACCTATCACTATCATATTTGATTCGATCTCGAACGCCGAAACGCAGCAGGCAGGGCTCGATCTCCTCGCACCTCGCGGCACGATCGTAGTCATAACGCCGCCGACTATCAAGTCCGACGAAAAGGAGATCCTCCGCATCATGGGCCAGTTGAGCACTCCGACGTATGTAGAGCTCTTCCAGACCTTATATGGCCAGAAGTTGGCTGGGCTGTTGGAGAAAGGGCTTATCAAGGCAAGTGTCCAAAGAGAAGTAGTTATGGGAAACCTGACGCTGTATTTTCAGCCCAATCGCGTTGAGGTCTTGTCTGGTGGGCTTGCGGCTATTCCGGCTGGATTAAAAAGATTAGAGAAGAATGAAGTTTCTGGAGCAAAGCTCGTCGTCCACCCCCAGGAGTCGTAGGGTCCTTTTCGGTTGAAGTCACAAGAAAAATCTGTTTACTTGTACATAAATGAAATACTTCGCTTGTTCTTGTCTTTTTTTTGAGATATTTGAGTATCGGGTGGCTACCTTCTCGGGACCGCACCTTCACTATTTCTTTCATTTGGCACTTGATGGCGAGGAGCAAATAATGGGAGCATGTTCAAAAGAATCAAAACATCGTGACGATTGCGAATGATAAATCACTTCCAATTGTAACAACAGTAGAACCGTTTCTCGTGTACTTACAGTCAAAGGCGGGTCAAGATGCTAGTCATGACTCATAACGCGTACAGCCGAACAATATCCAAGTGAAAGCTATCAACTACTTATCCGAGTCTACACAAGTTGCAACTATGTACCATCAATGGATAATGCCAAATGAATTCCATCAGAGACAAATCACAGATGTGCTGAAGCAGATGAAGTGATAAAAGTGCTCCAGGCATTCAAGCTGCTGTCTGGATGCGGTGGACTCAACGCTTGTGGAGAAAGACTCTGAAAGAGCAAGCCATTGATGAACTGCCGGTCAAAAGTAGATCTGTATCTCTCCGTGGGAGTCGGAGATTATTCCGGTATTTTCCTTCCCGGTGTTCCGAGACCCAACTTCCTTGCTTGGCCACTTGTTGGCCACTCGATATGTACTCAAGTACTCAAACCGCTCGGCTCATTAATCATTGTTCAGTACGTTGGGATCTTATTCAAACCTCTTTCACAATAAATTACATGTCACAGGTCTTTGTCCCCCACAACCATTCTGCCCACTTGCCGCCAACTTCAGTGAAACGCCACCCGACCTTCGAGTTGGAATCAGATGAGATCAGAGTAACCGATCAAAAGGGTGTCCACGTTCACGTTCAACAGCAAATTACAGGTCTCGGGAGCGACTCTTCTTACTAAGATGGAATGATTCAATGCTTATCAACTCGTCCGTCTTAGAAGCCTTATATCCCTCTCCTCCAAATTCCATTTCACAGTAGCACCCAAACCATGGCCGAACAACAGAAAGCAATTTTACTCCCGGTCCAATTTGGCGAATTCACTTTGGGAACCACCCGAGTCTACAAGCCTGGCCCAGGCGAATTGCTCGTCAAGAACAAAGCAGCGTCGCTCAACCCGGTAGATTGGAAGATCCAGAAGTACGAGACCTTTATCAAAGAGTATCCTGCTATCCTCGGAACGGATATTGCAGGAGATGTAGAAGATATTGGTGAGGGGGTCATTGGGTTTTCGAAGGGCGACAGAATGTGCGTTGCGGCCCATTAGGCTATAGTTTATCCAGCTTATAGATCTTTCTCCAGTCTCTCACAAGGCCAATTTAGACCCGAATGGGGTGGCTTTCAGCAGTACGTCAAGACCAGTGCCCTCACTACTACAAAGGTAAGGAACATTGGCATTTTTATGTGAATTTTCTCATCTAAGTATTCTGAGATCCCGGAAAATATATCCTATGAACAAGCTGCAACGATTCCACTCGCCCTGACGACGGCGTACACGGGACTCTATAGCAATAAGCCATATGGGGGAGGGTTAGAAGCTCCTGTTGAGCCGATTGCGGTAGGAAAGTACGCTGGCTCCGCAATCGTTGTCCTCGGAGGATCAAGTTCTGTGGGACAATACGGCAAGTTCTTCCTATTGAAGGTTCAAGTGCATAATATGTGCGCGTCGTTAATATCAGTTTGCTTCAGTCATACAGTTCGCCAAGCTTTCGGGGTTTTCGCCCATCGTAACAACGTCCTCCGTTAAACATACGGATTACCTCAAAACAATTGGCGCAACGCATGTTGTAGACCGCAACTCATCTCTTCTCGCACAAATTAAGAATATCACAAAGCAGCCGATTCCTTTCGTATACGATGCTATTTCGGAAAGGTCTACGCAACAGGCGGGCCTGGATGTTCTTGCAGATGGCGGCACTATGGTGACGGTCTCGCCCGTCGACTCACAGGTCGAGGGTAAAGAAGCCATACACGTTGTGGGATTGTTGACAGCCCCTGCACATTTGAAATTGCTGGAGACGCTTTACAGCACGAAGTTGTCCGGCTGGCTGGAAGAAGGTATAATCAAGGTAGGCTTTACTTCCGGTGGCATACAACAAGCTTCTTAATCACTCATATGGTAGCCCAACCGTGTCGAGTATCTTCCAGGTGGACTAGGAGCGATTGTCGCTGGCCTGAAGCGATTGGAGAACAATGAAGTGTCTGGGGTGAAGCTTGTCGTTCACCCTCAGGATCTGGAATGATGAGAGAATGGCCTCCGCTGATAACCTAGTACCTACGAACATCCATACCCATTGCAAGCCCCTTACAGATGTGAAAACGAGATATACAATCGTTGCTTCATGATACGGTCAATTTAAAGTCTTCCGACTGATACCTATGTGAGATCAATGATGCCTCCAGGCGAATTGTTGAAGTTCATCTCGACGGGTGTATCTTCCATCTTTACTTTCTTCCGTGGACGCTATGTATCCCTGTTCCCGCGCCTAGCACGAACTTCAAGCTTTATGATGGAAGATGAATACTTCGCTGGCGTGATGAGGGGGTAGGTGTTATAGAAATGCGCTCACCAGCAAGGCTTTCTCCTCCTCCTCCTCATCGTCGTCCTCATCGTCCCCGTCCTCCTCGCTGTCTTGACAATCTTCCTGCTCTGCTGGACGTTTGGGTGCCCTCCTGGGGGACTCTGGGGCTTGTAGACGGGCTTCGGGCGATGACTGAACAACGCCATTCGCTTGGAGCATAGCTGGGCAAAAAGTAGCGATCAGAACCGGGACTGTCGAGTCGACAGATGGGTCCAATACAACTTGCCGAGATTTCTGTATTTGAACACGAACGTTACAAGGGTCTCAATGTGAAATGTTTTCTGCCATTTGGTCAAACCAGACGTGACCTTCTCCTCCCCGAACCTTGAAGTAAAACAGTCAGTGAAGGGGAGATAGATCGCAAGCCACTAACCCGATCCTGTGCGCCATCATTTTCTTTGAGCGTTCATGAACCTTTCTGTCCATGGGGGGTTGGTTCCACTGTTGACAGAGTCCCACCATTTCGCCAAGTTTGACTTGGCTGATTTTCAGTCGGATCTCCCCAATATCTTTGGAGGAAGTGGTTGAGAGATATACATCATCGTCTGATGGCTATGAGCAGTCGAAAGATTATAGTAAAAAGAAACAAACCTGTGAGCTCAAGCGACGAGAACATAAAAGGCCGCTCAGTTGTTGATGAGGTCAAGTAGTTGTGGTGTACGATTGTCGAATAATTGCCATGCGCAAGGCAAATTAAGCACGAGACCGAGTGGCCATCGAGAAAAGGCTCCCCTTGACAGTGGAATGAGGTTGGCGTTAGAGACTTCCAGCAAACCTGAAACGTCTAGAAAGCTTATCTAGCAGGGGTGGCAGGTCAAAGAATGTATGAGAGACGTACCTTCCCCACTTCAGACGCGATCCAACAAGTCACCAGTTTCCTTTGTTCGCCAACCTCAATAGCGCATTCTTCCCTCTTCGCTCCATCGGACCTATCTAGGGTAATCCATGCTTCGAATTGACCTTGAAACAATACCATTCGAAAGGAATCGGCGTATACAAGACATTAGGGTTGAAGGAAAGGTGTAAGCAAGGTAAGCGATGCAGTCGCTCAAAGGACAATTGAGGAGTCACGTGATGATCTGCTGCGGCACTATCATAATCACTGTCGTTGGTGATTCCCATCGCATCACCAGGTACTCCTTCCACGGATATATTCGTTGAGACCATGGGGGTATCCCACGGTATGTAGCCCCAACAGGCGGCCGCGGAGGCGCGGAAAGAAATGGGCAGGAGGGCGGAATAGGAACCCGGTGCTAAGTATTTGTGTTGGTGATGCAAGGCATTGGTGGTGCTCGTGTGCAGGGGATGGTAGCTCAGCGTGAGGTGAGCCTGAAACTACGGGAGGTGGCGCTGTGTGATGGGCGAGGAGCTGGTGTCTTCTGAGCGAGATTTTCTATAGTGGGAGGGACGACACGAGGCCAACGACGGAGTTGCGAAGAATCGGGGGTGACCTAGAGAAAACCGCCGCTGCCCTCCATTGAGGTCGGCTGATTCCCCCTTCGACTAGAGTGTGCGTTGTTTTCCTGCGGTTGTCTGAACTCCAGGTCCCATGTGGTTGGCTCGACAACTGGTTCGGATTTACTCCGTGTACGAGATCAAGTGTCGAAGGGAAATAAAGGTTATTAGCGGCTGAGAAGAGGCCGCAGCCATAGTTGTTGAGAATGCGGGCAGACTTACGGGCCGTTACAGTTGAAAATGGAACGGCGTGCTTGGAGCTCGTTCGTCAACGATTGTTCCCGATTCTGGGGTGGCGACTCAAATTGAGGGAATGAGAGCGCAACGCTGCTGCTCCTCCAGCGTTGAAGTTGCAGCAACGAACCTGCGAGACACAATAAAAGATGCTCATACTTAGTTGAACGTCGAATTATGAGCCTTGCGTACCTTCAGTTCAACAGGAGTCGTTCCCCTGTTGTCTCAAATCAATGCCTAGATGGCAAGCCATGATCCATGATCCATGAGCATTGAACGATATTGTAGCCTGATGCCGACGAGCTCGTGGTGGTTGAGGTCAGGTTTGCTTGGCGTGCCATCAAGTATTTTCCTGTATTTTCCTCAACCACTGGCATCACACATCATGCATCAACGTCAACGTCGAAGGTCTCGATTGTCAAGTATCCAACTAAGTACTATATACCCAGTAGCAATGGGAAAGAGGCTTTGCGTAGACGACTCAACGCTCAACGAATTCGGCACTCTCCCTTCTCCCCCTTAATCTAACTGATGCATTCAACTAGTAGTTCGCAGCAATCTTTGCAAAAGGTCGTTGGATTTGCAGTGCAGCATTTCCCAGTCTGCAGTGAGGATCTACGGGACAGTATCGTTCAAATCGGGGAACGTCAAAAGGTACGCCTTCCCTCTTCTTCTACGTACAACAGTGATAAGTAGTAGTGACGGATACATGGCTCGATAAACTCCTGAATTAACGCCCTCTAATTTCCTCGATTCATTATGCTAAACGTGTTTCCTCGTATCGCATTCTAGCTCCTCGAGCTCGAATGTCACACCTCTTCCTCCCAACCGAGTACAAGGGCAGCAGAACCGGTAGTGGTGGTAGTGGTGCCTCATGTGGGTTGCACGTAGTCTACGACCTGCTCAAGATCGTGGAGTTGGTGGTGCCGAAGGGAAGCCAGGGGTTACCCAACCTCGTCGACACTAAACAGGTATGTACCCCCTTTCTGTGTTGCAATTCCGGAAAGAAGCTCAAGGCGATAAGCCTCAGATCTCGGAGAGCTGGATGTGTAAGAGGGTGATTGGCCTAGCCACCATTGACGAGGTCATTGAGAGGCTCAATGGGAGGGTCTAACGGTTAACGGGTCTTTGGTGACCGCTGCAGGACAAGTGCTAATGTCACTGGAGGGGAATTCTTGTAACGGGGCATCTAGCCTTGGAGAAAATGTCAGAACTCTCGCATCACGATAGAGAAGAGGCGCGTGGCACCTTGGGATTCGTGATATTATTGACTAGAATTATCTTCTGGGAAGTCGTCGCCATATACGGAGGCATGCGCTTTCCTTATCCCCACTTCCAACAGCAACACCTTACCGTTTCGTAGATCATCGGCATCGTATATTCAGCCAAACTGAACGCTGTCGCTGTCAGCCTTCTGCACTCACATGAAATTTACTGCACAAATAATCGCGGCCGCTTCCAAAGTCAAGATATTTCAATGCGCATCCCTCACCGATTCGACCCGGTCACGTTCTAATATGTGGTCAAAATTGAAAGCGACATTGAAGTGCTCAAGCCTCGACCACAAAAATTATACGGCGTATAACGTCAAAAACCGTCCTCCTCTACCAGCGCACGATCGGATTTTTACCGGCGCTTTTCTTTGGATCGTCCAGGTTCTTTTCCCATCTTGCAAATCTTTCAAGCGCCGCTACCGGAGTGAAGCTGGGCCATCCCTGTTCAGGATCAAGTCAACATGGTATATTGAAAACCAAGGATCAAATGAAGACCTCAATCTTTAGGGTTTAACAATCTGCTTGGGTACATCATCCGCCATTTTTCCACGACTTCCGGACGAAGCTAGACGGTGGCAAATTTCAGTTGGGTTCCATTCTATTCATAAAAAATTTCGCCGATATTGTCAAAGAACCAGTGCGCCGCGATCAAGTCCCGCTTTTCCAGAGGAAGTGAACCAAAAAATGTGAGCAGATTTCAGTCAACGTGTTCCGCTTAAAGATGGTACTCTTTATTATTATTATTGAATGACACTATTACTGCAAGCTTCTTGATCGTTTCACCTTTTCTTATTACTTCTATATCGTGCATGTCACTTGCTGGAAGTGGATGGTGATCCAAATGGGTCCTCTCCTGCCTCCATTCGATCCTTTCTGCGCTCCCAAGAATTCCGCATGTCGCGAAAGTCACCATTCAGCGTGGACAAGGTACAATGAACATGCGCAAGGTTGAAGGCCACACAGAGATACAAGAGCCATCGGTTGATGATAGGGAAAATGACATTCAATAAAGTCGGGTCTGTCGATTGTGGTGGGGGGGTGTCTGGCCTGGAAACTGAGAGTAGCCATTCACACAGGGGTAAGAATATTATGCCTGTCACACCGAAAATCCAGGACCTGCATGATGTAAGTCATGAATGGTGGAATTTCGATATAAGATGCTTACCACGTCACCCAGAAAGCTGGCAAATCAAGTAGGTCAACTCCCCACCACAATCCTTTGAAAGCGGGATTTTTTGGCTGAATTTTCTACACTAGATGAATAAGCGTGTTTGTCCAAGTGTGGCATGGTACTCACAAACGGCCATTCGACGGCGTAAAGAAAATCCTCCATACATCTATATGCACGCCAAATTGCGAGCGAGGAAGCCATTCCGTTCAAAGCAAAGACCGTGGACCAACCAACAAGAGAACGGGGAAAGGCCGAAGGTTCCCACGGATTGAAATAGAGAAGAACATGATATAAACCAGTGAACCTAAAATTTTGAAATGTTCGCGAGCAAGGGTACTATATGAGAATGGGGACTTACCCTGTAGCAAGTGAGGAGAAGATGCAGCAGCACATGCAGATATCCTCGCCCCCCACAATAAAGTCTTCCCACCGGTTATTTAGCGAGAAGATGAAATTTGAGCTTTTCTTGAAACCTTGTTCATAACAAACACGCGGCGGCGTCTGACGTAGCGGATTCCAGTATCTATCATATGAGTCTTTGGAGGTTTGGTCCAGCTCTGCCATTGCGCGAATTTCAGGTACGGTTTGCTCGTCGAGAAGCCTGTCTAAAACCTTGTACACTTCAGACCTCGTGTTGTGCAAAACAAGGTGTGTTGCGACCCATCCAACTATCGGAGAGTTGGTTACAAAGTCCTTCCATGCCGTGGCAATGTCACAGACTTCGAACTTGCTTGGTGCATCTTCAATCCCATCATGATTGACAACTTTAAACTCGCTGCGAGTCGGCGTAGAGTCGTCCTCGTCGAGTGTAAGTCGCCTTTGGGCTGTGTATAAATCACGGATTGGGGTTTTTCGGCGTTGATATGGATTAAATTCGCTAGCCATTTGCTTGTTGAAGCTCAAGTGTCTTGTTCGTGTCTCAGTTCAATGCTACAGTATTTCGATGCATCACATGATCCAGCCCCTCCAGAATAGATATCCTGATCGAAGTGGGTCGAAATTGAAAATGTTGAACGTTGAGGCCTGAGGCCTTAGGCCTCAGCCTTGAACGTTTGTAACTTGTTGAGCAATTGTTGAGTTCATAGTATTCAAACTGTAGTGTCCAAACAGGGACGGATTGGAAGTGTCATGCACGCCGATATTATTGTCTTCGATTCACGTCGATTGTGATCTCCACCCATACCATAAATGTAACGTTTACTGGAGCCCACAAGGAAAGCGCTTGTCGACCTCCGGTATACATCTCCGTCGAACTTAACGTTACACGGTCACAAGAATACCAATGTCACGGTCTTTCCAGAACGACCATGAGCTCTTCCCCATCCTAATGGCCTTTGGGACGCCGCGTCCTAATACGCTCGGCTGCGGATTTGAACCATGGATACCTTGACCCTCGTAGCCCATCAATTTGCCACCATCAAAGAAAGCTTTCCCTGCCGTGCTGCTACCATTCGCCTCCGCCCTCCACTCGCAAAGACCAGCATTGGAAACAGGGCATCTGGAACACCAATCCCTCCCACACACCATTCACTCATGTGCCCTTCTGCACTCTATCGCCCACCTGTGTTCCCCCGCTGTTTGCCAGCTGCTTGGGATGGCGGACTGTTGTTTGACTGACCTATCCTCGCGGATCGTTCAACGCATCCTTTCTAGTGAAATAATATGGGAGGGCCTTTCGCGCGCAGTGTTTCGAGTTGGTCAGGACGTGGTTGTAAAGGTCGCACAAGACCTTGACCCCGACGAACATGGTATCTTACAGTACCTGGAAGCGCGTATCCCGACCATCGCTGTCCCTCGCGCCTTGGGACTGATTACCGTGGGATCCACATCTTTCATGTTCATGACTTTGGTCCCTGGTGTCACGTTAGAAACACGATGGCCTTCGTTGTCTGCTGACGCAAAAACGCACATTCGACACGCCTTAGATGAAAGCTTTGGCGCTCTGCGCCAGCTGGAACTGCCTGCAGGCTGTCCATTGGGCCCTCAGTAGGCCATTGCATCTGCAAGGATGTTCGGAGAGACCAACGGGTGAGCAGATCGAGCATTTTTTTGGAGGCTCAATTCAACGATTTCATCCTGGACTCTCCATCCTCTCGCGCCGCTCCCGGACACAAGAATTGGCTTCGCTCCATGATGCGTGTTGACCATCGCATACTATTTACTCACGCTGATATCCATCCGCGCAACGTGATGGTCACCGATCGACCAGACGGTGGTGTAGAGCTGTCTGGTATCATTGGCCGGGAATCCAGTGGCTTTTACTTCGAGTATTGGGAGCAGCTGAAGGCATTTTGTCGGAAATTTCCCAGGCGCCTGATAAGGCTCCGGCCTTGCAATGTTGAGGACATCTGAGTTATGGGAAATCCGAATGTCCGAGTGTCTGGCGGACAGTCCGAACGTCCGGGCTACGAAATATACAGTCATTCACCGGTCAATGAGTCACACTAGTCAATGAGTCAAAACACTTTTCCGGGGTCAGTTCTCAAGCTATTTCTTTAATTTTTTTTGCATTGTGTGCGGATATATATTCTTCATAGTAATCCCAAGTTTCTAAGGTGTAGCATATTTCGATCTCTTGATACCTGCAAATAGGTGCTCATTCACCATAAAACTGAATATATATCTGTGTGATTTTGGCACTAAATCTTGGAAAAGAGCCTTTTAAAAAAAATTATATCTTATAGCATTCAACAAGTATTCAATTACAGGAGTTTTGAGTTGAGCTGGTACTCCAGTGAACCAAAAACCACTGAATGAACGAAATCATACTTGAAGGTAGGGAAGGTCACATTCTGTCACACTTGCCACAGACGTCTGACGAAGAGATGGGAAACTGAAGTGACTAAGCAAAATGCCCAAATTAGGGCAGCGTGACATCTGCCTCATTGACTGGTTTCGCACTGATCTTCGTTTGCGGCACTGATAGCATGCAATATGTTGTTCAACAACTTGAATTTGAGTTTGTACCTAGATATTACATAGGGCATGATGTATGGGCATACTTCTCTCAGTTCATAATGTTCATATCCCTCGTATTTAAAATTTCCAAGGCCATTCTTTATTTGGGTGCCTCATTGACCGGTGAATGACTGTAGCCACATGGGCCGCTTTGGTCACATTTGTGACCCAGCGTTTCGTTCTGGGGCTACAACCTTTCCTCCAAAGACCGTGTGCTCAAAATTTTAGCATAGATAGGTGTACTTACAGTAATAAAACTTTATTCCGATGTTATTAGTGCTTAGTGGGTGAAGCCTCGACCTACAAGCAAGGTGAAAAGTCACGGGAACAAAGGCACACAAATGCCGCCGCGTCAAGAGAGTGCAGATAGAAGATTAGCTTTCTGCAATGATGAGCATCAAGTTCCAACGCCTCTTTGATGTTTTCCGTGCTCAGCCCTCGCTCTCTGATGGCTTGAGTAGTGTTTGAAAGTTAGGTTAGTTAACCGGAAAATAACCAGAAAATAACCGGACCTAACCGCAACACTAACCTAACCGCGGTTAGGGTTAGTTGAAGGACCCCTGAAAATACCCTTGGAACCCAGATCCCAATCCGGATAAAAATTCTGAATTTTTTTTTGAAAACCCATAGCACTGTCCAGATAGAAATTGGGCCATTTTGGCTGGAACCCGGAGGCAGATTTCCGGATAGAAATTGGGCTGACCCACCAAACCCAGAGCCACTTCCGGATAAAAATTGGTGCAGGTGGGGATCCGAACTCAAGACATATTGAATGTGAAGGTCATCAACTAAAGCCATTAACATTTTAACCACTACACCAAATGAACATAATATTTGTTTTCCACTTTGACCATCTTACACCATCGATATTTGCATTTCTCTGCACTCTCAAATATGTCTCAGAGGAGCCACGAAATGGGCACGATTGATCTGGGTTCCAAGGGTACTTTCAGGGGTCCTTTAGTTGATTTCGAAAATGGAATAACCGGTTATTTTGCGGTTAACTAACCGTTAAATAACCGGTTACAACCGGTTATAACCAGCCCTATTATACACCTTCAAAACGCACTTGAGAACGTCGAAAACGCTTAAAATTTGACTAAGTTATGGTCAAATCTCTAAAATATCACTCAAATGTGTAGACTTTCAAGGATAATTGCATAAATATGTCAATTCTTCACCGATCTTAGCGTTCTTGGGCTCGTTTTAAAGCTAGAATATGCAGAAATAATATCTATCAAGATACACATGAGCATATTTGCCTTGTTATAACTGATTCTTTATTTTTCGGTCCTAACCAGTTAGTAACTGCAAATAACCGACCGTAACCAGTTAGTTGTGGTCCGGTTAGGTTATTTTAGGTTTCGGGACAAAGGCTAACTGGTCTCGGTCTCGGTTAGAGCCCCTGGGCACCCAATAACCGGACCTAACCAGACTTTCGAACACTAGGCTTGAGTCTTGACCAAGTTGTCCACTTTGTTGTCTACACAAACCATCTTTGAGATGATATCCTGCTTGTCCAACCTGCCAACCATCCACCAGAAAATGTTCCCAATTTTTTACCACACTCTGTGCAAGGTTTTTTAAGTGAGGCATGCTCTATTCATTTGGATTTAATCCCCCACCTCTGGGGTGCACTTCGTGAGACAGTGTGGGGAGGAACCTTTGGGAAATTCCTCGAAAAGGAACCCCATATGTCAGCCTTCTCTCAGCATGGGCACAATCACGGCCTTAGTACATTGTTTCTGCGTGAATTCCTATATGGTTTAAATGTAACCTTACCTTCCATTTTCCAAAATAGCTCTCAATACAATTTACCCCCCATCACATCTATGCCAAAATCCGAATTGCAGCCACACATCAAAGCAACTGGCACTAAAGAAGACAGAAGCCCGTCAAGCTGTTCTCTTCACCTTGGCTTCAGGTGCAGTGCCTGTATGGTCAGTGCATCTTGTCTGTGAAAGTGAGTGTAACGTGCACAGTGTGCTATCATTTTTCTCAAGCTCACATTATATCCAGAGTGCAAAACAAATTACCACCATGATTTCCACGTCTTCGCGGGTCAGCACACATATTACACAACTACAAATATCCCAGATATTATTCAAGTTGGTGAACACCAGTTTGTAGAGACGAAGGTGATCAAGCTCTGGATCAATATGATGCTCATATCTTGGACTTCGGCAACAAATTGTGCTCGATTGTACAACCTTGCGATAGGAGGACAGCACCCACTGCAAAACACCCCCGTTCCTTGGCAGTTTAGCCTCACAGTTACATCTGATCAGGTCTATGATGGATTTACAATTTTATCCCTTCTTGAGGACTGTCAACTTCGCCGTCAGATTTTAATGGTACCTCATGGTGGCCCAGCCAAGGAACAGTTCAAGGCTGCAGTCCAAGCATGAAACAACCATATGCGGCTTTATGGTCAACCAGCTGCTTGACTTGCACTCGTTTTTTTGAAGGCAAGCATTTATTTCTTTACTATTTCAGCAATGGGAATCAATTCCCGCATTTAATTACAGGGAACCAAAAGGTATCCGTTGCAGTGATTGACGGCGTCACCGTTGGCCACCCATGCTGTGCTGTTCACAACTGTCACCTTCCTCTAGAAAACAACCGGCATCGGTTCTGCATAGCACATCAAGGACAGGAAGCAGTATGTGCTGTAATTGGCTGTTCTCAACTGGCATGACCTTCACACAAGACATGCGAGCACCCTGATCATGAGAAGGTCGAGGGTGTTCATAACGACTGGGGACAAGCACACTTCCAGCTACAGGAATGCCTTCGCCGTGCTTGTATAGCCCACCCCAATGATGCATTGGGTGCAGACATGGTGGATGCCAGCAATCTTGTGGATGGAGAGGATGTAGTTGAGGCATTTGATGTTGCACGAGATGGGTGGGCGCTTCCTGTGCAAGACCCAACAAAAGACCCAAAAATCCGTGCTCAGTTTGGACGTTGACGAACTCACAATGAACAACTCATCGTCACCCCTTGTGGAATGATTATAGCCTGGGAAACTTTCTACGGCGCAGAAGCCGTCACAACTGTTGTTGTAAGTTGGGTGCTCATGAGAGTCTTTTACCACCATCTGTACTAATTATTGTTCTAGGAGATGATTAAGTGTACGTACAGACTTCTGGGACATTTTTTTTAACAACAACTGCTTGCTCACCAATGCTGTGAAGAATGACCCAGTGTTCCAGAATGTGGGCCTGACAGTCGATGTTTTCCACTTCAAATGCAAGCATCGGAAGATGGATACATTCTGCCAAATGAATTGTAACCCTGCGGCTTATCCTGAGCTCCGGGGTGAGGGCAATAAAGCTTGGTACTTCAATTCATCTATTGCAGAGCAAATGAATGGCTGGCTTGGTGGGTATCAGGTGATTTGTCGTGAGATGCATGTTGACAGGTATAATTTTTTCCTTGTCAAGATGGTGCATCGTAGGAACATTATGACGAATGAAAGGTTAGCGAGAACAAAGCAGCAGCCAGGAACATAGCCCACCCTTTAACTCACGAGTTGTTTACCATCTCAAAATACTTGTTGTGTTGCTAGTAAATGTACATAGAACACATTAAGATATAGAAAAATAAAACTAAAGTAAGAAGCAATATCTACTCGGAATCAGACAAATCAACAGACACAAGTGTCTTTCCTTTCTTCAGGCGCTTTGCAAATACAGACCATCAGATTCTTTCTCCACCTAGGCACACGTCCTTGAGCTGTGCCAGAGCCTCCTTCCACTTTTTGACTTCATTAAAAACAGTTGAGCAATGATACACAACACCAGGATACCATTGTTCAAAGGCAGCCTTGTGCTGTCCTTTTGTTGTCTTTTTGTGCTCCTGAAGACCAGGAACGACTTTGTCAACGAAGAAATCCCCCGGCCACCGGCGTTCTTCACCATCACTGAGCTCAATGGGGTTGTTTGTGGTCAGTTCCGGCTTAATGATGGCGGGTGGTGATGGTCAAAATCTTGATAGTCGCATACCGCGACATCCTTGATAAAAATCTGCTGCCCTTCGCGTACCTCTAGGGTGTGTCCACCATCAATGTGCACCCAAGCACCAAGTGACGCGGTTTCGTACATTTGAAGCCCTCCATGATCAGCAGCGTCAGCGAGTCCAATGAGGGAAATAATCTCAGTGGTGAGGATGAAGAAGGGCCAGGTAAATCCTGCTTGGAACAGTTGGATAAGAGGGGGGGAGGCATCTTGATTCCAGGTGTAAACGATGAGGCTTTGCTTGGAACACTTTTCATTTTGAATACACTCTGCATCACGCTGGTGTCGGTCTTCGAGAAGCTCCTGTTTGCAACAAAGTTGATCAGGTGATTGGGGTGGTAATGATTGAGCTTGGGCAAGAGGAAGCAAAGATGAGGGAGGCTGGTGTGGGAGTGAGGCGAGGGCAGGCAAAGAGTCCAGAGAAGGCGGGGGAACATTTGTAGGAGGCGAAACTTTGTCAGGCAAATGGGTTTTCACAAGGCACCCACCCAGCTGGCGGCAGTGCTTGCAACAAAGGCGCTGTGGACAAAGCGGGGCAATATGCTTTTGCCCACATCCCGCGGTAGGACATGCATCGGTTGGAGCCTGCGCAGAATGATCCGATGGGACAGTGGGAGGTGCTGATGCCGGAAGGACACCTATTGTTGTACTTGTTGATAGGGAGGGGTTAGGCAATGAGGCAGGAGATTTGGTTGAACCCTTCTTGAACCTAAAGAAGTTGCATGGAACCCCCTCCTTGTTTGAGTCCTTGCACTACATAGGAAGAGGTCAGAGATATTAAGAGTAAGTAGTTAGAATGGATTGCATACCCTGGCTATTAACCAACCACAATTTCCATTGGCATCCGATTGGCATATAGTGAACTTGACGAATCTTCCACAGTTCGTACACATATAGCCCTCAGGATCTGTTGAAGCGCGAGTGGAAGATTGGGACATAGTAGGGGGTTGGCGTGTGGAGTGTGCACGTGATGGTCTGTTGGCGTTGAACAAAGGGCGGGTAGCGATGTGCCATTGTCAGTTGCATGTCAAAGCTGCGATGATCAATCAGCAAAAGCTTAGAATTGTGGGGAGGGAGTTAACTCACACGATAGGGAGGTGATGCACTTTCAGCAGAATGGGTTGCATAGGTTGTGTTGGCAGGTGCTGGAAAGTTTGCGCTATTGTGTTTTCAATGTTTGGCAGTGTGACATTGGGAAAACACCGGACATATGGACACAGCGGACCATCGGATGCTTGGACATTCGGATTTCTCAAAACTGAGACTTTCTGGCAATGTTGATTGCCGACATAATCAGGCCTTGCCCAACCCTTGTCATTTCACGGCAAACCTGACAAGATGATGCCGGGAAAATCCAGGGGGCAGTTGCAGGCGGTTGCTTTACAAGGCGACCATATGTCTGATGTAATGATTATTTCCACATTACAAGCTTGGTAAGGTGTGATAAGGCAAATCAGGTCTGATAAGATTAGTCCAGCCTTGTAAAATAGGCTCCAATTGCCTCTGCAGCCAACTCAGGCTATGAACCGATTATTAATTTTTTGTGTGTCTTATAAGGTTACCTGTATCTTTTTGATCATGTTCAGCTTAAAATGATACCAAATTCCATATAGAGAGTAATGATAATGGTGTTGTAAGGTCAACTAAAATACTAGATATATGGACAGCCTTGGGAAGTTTCTTATATGCCTTTGTAGTGTAGTGGTATGTTCTGACTACAAATTTGTAGTCTTCACGTGAGGATCACATGAGCCCCGAGGTTTTTGGTTCAATCCTTACTTGTTGCATTTTACTTTGCCACATAACATTGTTAAGTCTAGACTATTTATAATTTGGATAACCTTATCAGGTGATCTTATTAAGTTGACCCAAAACTTAATAAAATAACTGCAACATTGTAAGCCATTATTAGGTTAGGGGTGCCTTGAGTGCCTAATAACCCTTATTAGGCCCCAGGGAAATTTCTGACATTAACACATGTTCCATCAAAGCTGCAAGCAATTGGTGGGAATATTTACCTTCATCCTTCCTGGGCTATGACCAAGAGGTTGTTTTGGATAGAGTCAACTATAGTGTATTGGTCCCGGTGCTTGTATTTCATTGTGATCATATGTATGTGTGAGCACTAAGACCAAATTGTGTATGAGTAGTGAATTTTATTTTATTTCCAAATGAACATCCTATAGCTTCAAAATTACAGTATTGTTAAATGGTGATCCAAGTGGGTCCTCTCCAGCCTTCATTTGATCCTTTCGGCGCTCCCAAGAATTTCGCATCTCCTGAAGGTCATTGTCCAGCATGCTTATGGTACAATGGGCATGCACAAGGTTGAAGGCCACACAGAGATACATGAGCCATCAGTTGATAATAGGGCAAATGACATTCAGTAAAGTCGGGTCTGTTGATTGTGGTGGGGGGGTGTCCGGCCTGAAACCCAAAGTAGCCATTCACATAGGGGCAAGAACAATATGCCTGTCACACTGAAAATCCAGGACCTGCAGGGTATAAGTCATGAATGTCAGAATTTCGACTCAGATATAAGATGCTTACCACGTCACCCAGAAAGCTGGCAAATCAAGTAGGTCAACTCCCCACCACAATCCTTTGAAAGTGGGACTTTTTGGTTGAATTTTCTACACTAGATGAATTAGCATGTTTCTTCGAGTGGGGCATGGTACTCATGAACGGCCATTCAACCACGTAAAAAAAGTCCTTCATACCCACATATGCATGCCAAATTGCGAATGAGGAAACCACTCCATTCAAAGAAAAGACTGTGGACCAACCAACAAGAGAATGAGGTAAGGCCGAAGGTTCCCATGGATTGACATAAAGCGCAACATAATATAAGCCGGTGAACCTAAAATCTTGATATGTTAATGAGCAAGGGTACGTATACGAGAATGAGGACTTGCGTTGTAGCAAGTGCTGAGAAGATGCCACTGCAAAAGCAGATATTCCTGCCCACCTCAACAAAGTAGGACCACCATTTACGTTGAACTTGAAATCTGAGCATTTGTTGAAACCTTGTTCATAACAGATAAATGGCAGCATCTGACATTGTGGATTTGTGTGTCTTTCAAATAGATCTTGGGAGGTTTGGTCCAACCCTGCCATTTTGTGAATTTCAGGTACGGTTTGCTCGTCGAGAGGCCTGTCTAGGACCTTGTGCACCAAGGGGGTTCAAGAATTTTAAAAAAGTAGCTGGGGTCGATTTTTTTTGTAAGGCCCTGTGTGCTTGACCTACCTACCTACGTAATCAGGCACATGCCTATATATGGCAATATGACATCATCATCATGATCACTCTGATCCTTTAAGGCTTCACATACCCAATTTCATGGGGCTATCTCCAATGCAACACATTGTAGGTGGTACTAAAAAATAAGTGAGTGTAGTGATTAACTTGTGCAAGACTGATAATCACCTGTTGAGTCTCACATCCAACCCTTTTACATTTTACCAAGCCATTGTATGCTGAGTGCAATACCACACTGCACAGGCATCCATTTAGAGTGTCTGATGTGTTGAAAGCATCAAGATGATTCAAGCTTTGAAATCAGGTCACACAGCATACCCATTGGTGTCAAGAACTGGTCTCTAACTGTTTGTCAGTAAATTGTGATTGATTAAAACATTAGACAAAAATTTGATGAAGATTAGACTGTGAAAAACAATTTTGAAGCCAGAAATTGGGCCAGATATAATGAAATATAATATCCAGTCAAGATAACGAGCCTAAGACCCGTGCCTATGGCACGGCGTTCCTTCACCACGGGTCACGGCTCGCTGGGGGCAAGCCCCCTGGACCCCCCAGTACACATCTTCAATCCCAGTTCCAGTACACATGTTTCATCCCAATCCCCATGTACATTTTTTATTCTAATCTTTATATGTTGGTGTAAATTACTGGTACATCTACATATATGATAAATTTTGCATCACAGTGGCAATTTTTCTGATATCTGTATGTGCCAAGTCCACAGTGCAGTGTGTTGGGCCCCAAACCCTGCTTCCACATAGCCAATAACTTGGCTGCTCCTACAACATGGGTCATAGCATGCTGGGGGCAGGCACTTCAACTCCAGTTTTTTGACATACCATCTTGCAAATTCAAATTGGTTCTGACTACTCATTAAACAGAGTGTTGAATATTTATTACATATCTTTATAAATGGTACTACTTCCAATTTAACATCTCTTACTGCTCTACCATGCCCCAATGTTTCTCATATTTTTGTACTGCGAACCCTCTCTTGTCATGCTATAAGACACCAACACAAATAAATATATTTCTAACATGACCTTCCCTTACCTCCTCAGCTTTCCCAAAATCCTATTGGGCCAGAAACTATAGACTTCTAGTAGTTTTGAGAAATTAGATTATTTCTTCCTGGGTTTCTCATCTCCATGGAATAAATTGACTAAATCTTTACTTATATTTGTGGAACTTCCTATGTATGTCCTCTCCCAAATCAGCTCCCTAAGTCCCCATTTTATCTGGAAGATTTTTAACTCTCTGATTTATACATTTTATTAAATCTATATAACTCCAGGCCTGTTGAGAATCTTCAATAATAAAACTATGAGCAACTTACTGAGTTACAAAAATACTAATCTTTGAATTTCCAATCACATATTGAATTAGATAGAATACTTCAATATATAGCTTTGAGAGGTGCACATATCCACATTGGCATTACACTTCCCCAATGAAGAGCTGGGGTGAAGGGATAAAATTCTGACATAAAACAACAAACCCATCCAACATACTCTCAGATGTGATAATAAGCCTCCAAAGATTATAGGCAGGGATGTTTAGAGTAACATTCCCAATCTCTCCCTGGAGTGAATTGAAATTAAATATTGCATGTGCAAGAGGGGAAGAAAACAGAAACCCAAACATGATGATGGATAGATTACAGAACTAAGTGATTAGACCAACCAACTATAAAATTGTGATAGGTGACCCACCCAATGATAAATATTTTCTGACTGTAGAGCAGAGCTGATAGATTCAACCACAAAGAGCAGGAAATGTAAGAAAGTTTGTACAGAAATAGAATTCACACCTCTATGTATGTGCTTACAAACTGGCCTCTCAAGCAAAAGAGCATTTTAAAATATGTATAAAATACAGAGAAATATTTACCCAGAGTTGAGGAGGGTAGATGAGGTCAAGCTCAATACACAAGGGGCAAATAGCTTTTGTCGCCAGGCAAAGAGGTGATAAATAGTAAATAACTATGTTAAATACTTAATTCCACATTTGCAGTAAAAATGTTCAATTGAATAAGATAAATTGTTAGTGCAAGTTTTCTGTCACAAACAAGTGGTATCAAGTATGTTAAATGTTTGTTAGTTTTTTTTCAATCTGATTAAAAAGGATAATATACAAAAAATGGTCACCTAGAAAAGAAGATTGAATTTTTACCAGCGGCGATGTGGTATCAAAGAGGTAAAATAGTCCTTACATCTTTCTGGATGGATAATATTCAATGAAATTGATAATTTATGTATCTCAGAATTCTGGGGAGGGGAAAGACTGGGAAAGACAAAACCAATTTGCTTGGGAAAAACATAAAGAGTGTTGTTGCAGAATAAAGATATAAAGAGCATTGCCAAGAATTTAAATCAAATCTTCCTTGCCCAG